CATCCAACGTACCGGAAACCTTACTTTTTTTCTAAATAGTTGGCTGAAGACTGAGAAATATATTAAATGCAAGAATTTCAATCTAAATGTGTCGGCAAGATCTTCTGAAGGCAAAAATTTTGCCGATAATGCGTCGCCGTAGGTCTTTAAATCTTCGTTCACTCTCTGCACAGTGGACTTCAATGCATACTTTTATTTTGAAAAAAATTCAGTGAATAATTTATGTTTCTGCATTGATTTTAAAGCTGTTAACAGTTAACATTGAGGAACTTCAAGCTTTAGAACTGAAAGCAGTGGTATGAGTTTAGCTGAAGTGCCCATGTTGCCATGTAGGACTAGTTGCATGAGACAAAGCAATGCTGTCTTAAGTTTCTTAATTATTTCCTCCCTATTGGTAAATATTGCTCAATTGTTCTGCTATCTAAATCTAAATATCAACCAATTTGCAGACAATATTGAGGCTTCACAATATGTCCAACCAAGAAGAAGATGCCACTGACTTAAACTTTCCTAAAGGTAATTTCTATTGCTTTGCTTGCTGATTCTATGTTGCATGTACCTTTTGTTAATAATTTCTAATATTCTATATTATGAATTTGTTAATTACGGTACAATATAAGTAATGTGCTGACCTGAGTATGCTTTCAATAGTTGAAACATCTAAATCTAACATAGGGTAAACGCGGTATATTCCGACATCGTAGGTAATTCCGTCACCTCTCCAGCTTTTCCTTTATATTAAGCTTTGTTTTAGTTCCATGCGATAATAAATATGGCAACATTTTGTGACGTTTCATCGTTGCTGACGCGTAGTGAAGTGTTTTGAGAGTCATGTGAAGGCAACAGAACTTACGTAACGCATACGGTTTTTTTTATAGTTTTTCATTTCTCGATGCATCCTTAATGTGTCGGAATATACCGCGTTTACCCTATTTACTTTCAACCTCTCTAGACAGAAGTCACCTTTCATGTAAAGATTGAGAATATGATGAAAACAATTTATTTAAAACTTGAAAGGAACTTTTTCAAGCTTCACTTCAAAATTTAATGTTTGGCTATGAATTTTGCTAATGATGTTTCCCCATTCTACAGAATTTGAGAATGCTGAGACGCTATTGATTTCTGAAGTGCACAAGCTGCTGCTCCACCGCAAAACTACCAATGAGAGCGCTGAAGAAGAGCAAGAGTTGAATGAGGTGTGGTGTTATTGATGTGCATGCAATCATGTGACCTTACCTATTTTTTTTATTATTTTTACTATTGGTTAACATATTTTGTGTAATACTTTCTTTTATTTTAGAAAAATTATTGTGTCCAAAAAGGAAACTATTCTGTGGAATTATTTAAAATTGCTTTTGTTTTATATACTAAGATGGTTAAAAGCTAATAAGACTTTTTTACTTGGGATGCTTCAATAGGTACCCATATTGCAAGTTAGAGTGTTAATTATTGATGTGCTGTATTAAATTATCTTGTCAAGTTTTCATGAACTAAATAAATGCAAAAATGTGTCTTCAAAAATCAGAATTATGCTGGAAGTTTTTCATAGAAATCTGTGGAAGGACTGTTGTGTTTAATACTTATTCAGTATTGAACAATTATTGTATAAAATTACTCTAACTTGGATTATCCCTATTACAGAGATTCACCAAGACTCTGAACTATTGCCAGAGATTTTCAAAATTCAAGAACAGGTCAACCATCAAAGCTATTCGTGAGATGCTTGCAGGCAAGAAGCTGCACAAGTTTGAGCTGGCAGCTTTGGCGAATTTATGTCCTGAGACACCTGAAGAAGCCAAAGCTTTGATACCCAGGTAAATTATGTTTTGATATTTATTAGGTGCATCACACTGGTAAATGTTACAGTAACAGGCTTAGATCTATGAAAATAGGAATTGAGAGATCAAATACCTAAGCAAGTAGATTACTACCATAAATGAGATTGGCTTCTAAAGTAGTACATCACTTTGAAAGCATAATTTCTATGTAAATAAATTAGCTTCGAGAGTTTTTATGCAACACAAAAGTCCTTAGATAATTTCTGTGTTTAGTTCAAAGGTAAACTGTGTTGTAATTGTGTTTCAACAGTCCTCGCATCATTGGTGAATTTACACAGTATAATAAATTTTAGTCTAAAAGTTATTCGTTGTCTTGGTATTGTATAAGCATAATTGTCACTTAAATATTACTAAAATTTATTTTTACAGTCTTGAAGGACGATTTGAAGACGAGGAGCTTCGGGTCTTCCTTGAAGACATGGCTACCCAACGCAGCTTGCAGAGCTAACCCAGTGCCGTGTTAAATTTTATCTTAATAGTTAACGTTCAGTCGTAATATTCTTAGAATAGTCTTTGCGCGCTATTGCCGTCTTTTCATTTATAATTTGGTCATGATTTGATTTGATGAAAAATTCCTAATTTTGAAATAGGTGTGTGGAATTTGGTCAATTATACTTTAATTACGATTGCGGCTACAAATTAGGGTTAGGGGCACTGCATTAAATGTGAAAGTTGTTTGTTAAATTCCGTGATTCATTTTATCATATAAATGCTTTTGATTAGAAAAAAAATTCAATCAGTGTTTTTTTTTTCTATGCTTGTTCTTCTAGCATCTTCATGAAATTAATTTTTTGCTTGATAGCTTGATAGCTCCGGCAGGTATCAAGCTTGGTTTTGCCTTTACGAACAAATGAATTTAGAAAGAAAGTTGCTACATCCAAGAAAAGTGGTTTTGGTCAAGATCTTTATTTTTTTCCATTGTGAAGTAGTATCGTGAATGCGTGAATGAATACATAATGAAAGTGTTTTTATTGTGTAGCAGTTTTTGCTGTGTTTTATGTATCCATCTACGTCATCATATTAAATCATGAGACATTTGTATTGTATGTATTTAACGTAAAAAATTTGGTTTTAATTCTGCATTTATTATTCGATAAAATATCAGTTGACCATTGCCAAAATCATCTATATGCGTGTGACAGGACATGTTCTTCTGTATTCAATTTCCTCTTGTTCCCGTCGTTACATTTATGCTGGAACCGATGGATCGTCTCCTGCTTATTTATCTGACTATGAAAGGCGTTATTAAATTTTCTTCATGGCCGTGTCAATTGAACTAACATTTTTAAATCTTACTTCCTGTCATTATGGAAAAAATAACCAGTTTTCGCAAGTATTTTTAGATATTGTAGTACCTGAGCTTGGTAGTTTCCAAGTAATAAAATAAGGAACCTTAACTTCCCACATGTTTGCTGTATGGTTCCTGCTTCGCATGCCAATGTTAGCTCACGTCTTGATTGATGGATTACTTCGTCATTCTTAACGGTTCTCTTTTTCGTGGTTGAAAATCACACGTCATTTTCTCTTAAATTTCTTAATTTGACTGTTTTGTTAATTATTCAACTATTATTTATCACGTGGATTAACTGGCATTTTCTGTTAGTAAGCACTTTCATGTCGGCATGTTTTTTTCGGTTCCTCTGATTTTTTATGATTGTTACCTTTTCATCGGTTTCATCTTATAACATATTGTTATTTCACTAGTAGACATATGGGCATACAGCATATAGTGAACTATGTAGTAGTACAAAAATTGAAAATTTTTCATACCAATCAAGATTTAGTTTCTTTAATTAAATTTCTTAAATTAGATATTTTCGACATTGAGTGCGCCAAAGCTGCCAGTAATAAAAATACATTGTGTTTGTGATATTAGAAACGAACCGTCGCGTCCAGGAGGTCGCCATTACAGCACGTCATCGTCTCGTATGCACGCATCCTACTTGATGATTTCAACCCTCAATCAAAACTCGCAGTCTCACCTAACGTGCTTCGTCGTGGAGTCCACAGTGCGAGAAAAACATGAGACTTTACCATGATTAAGGAGGCGCGATGAGAGTCGGCGAAGGTATGCCCTCCAGATTGAAACTTCTCAAGTATTTGTATATCTGAAACTCGAGGTATTTATTAAGGACGCTCTCTGACGTGCGTTGGGAGCTCCCATGGATAGAAAAGATTCGCATCGTCTCGCTATAAATCAAAATCACCCACTTTGCCGCGTTACTGAATTAGTTACAACCTCTGATGGAAATTGAGAAGCTGTGTTCATTGCGGTCGTGTCATAGCTACTTCTAATCTGTCTAGGTCGACAATGTAGATGCTGTATGAAAGTATTTTACCGCAATGCAAACTTTTTGGAACGGAGAATGACTATTAATTTAACTGAACTAGAGGAGAGTCATGATCCAACCTTTGAAGTGTTATGTATGTTGTGCTAAGATCCGATTATGGATACCGCGTTATGGCAGAATATTTAAGTAAGCTAATTTAAAAAAAACCTGTTGTGTATCTGTTCTGCAGTGTTCCAATGCGACATGTCGACTGCTGTTCATGTAAACTGAATCTTCAGTTATCTCGATCATCACTCGCGATCTCACAATTCAGCGGCCCGGACTTGCTATTGAGATTCAAATCGTCGAAGATTGAGATTCAAATCGTCTTTTCGTCGAAGTTGTCCCTCCAGGCGTTGATGCCTACAGGCAGCAGACAGTTCTCAGATGATCCCGAGTGCGGTTGGTCACTAGGTCGATAGCGCATTGTAGCGCTGTTGTTACGGTATCAAGATGGGGATAACTGCAGTCATGTGTTTGAGCTTAGAGAAGTTCGGTTTATTTCTCGGTGTTTCTGGTTAGTGGAGTGATGGACGCGAAAGTGGTGCATCATGTCGGTGGGGGGAGCCAAAAATGACTCCAGGTAATGAGATTGAATTATATAAGGTTATCCCACGAGGATTTCCGTCTTTAAGTTGAGCTTTCATGTTACGTCACTGAGATCGAGAAATGTGAACAATCCTGTCATTCCCATGACTGATTGGTTGACTCGTTTGATCGTCTTTCGGTGATTGGTTAATGCTTGTGACGTCACTGAGGTCGGTGACGTCACAGGCGAACAACGCACTACATCCGCAAAAATGAGCTTCTCATATGTCAGCCTTATACTAGTTCAACCATGGTGTTACCTGAGGAGATCTTGAGCTAAAGTCCAGTGTTTGAGTTCTTTGGTGTTTATGCTCACGTGATGAGGTTGTATTTGTTTCAATTGTGTGGTCCTCTCACTGGGGTTGTTTCCTGTACTGTTCGCAACGGGTCGTCTGCGGAAGACCACCACTGCCCTGGATGTAATGGACCATCATGATTCCTGCCTTCCGGAACGTAGCCTTCAACCTTCAAGCCGTCCGTACCTAGACCGTGCGTCGAACCAGCCCTCGGTCGAACGGTCACTTGTCGAATGACGATAAATTTGGGAACAGAACTATGCTATTTGAAACCTAACCTCAGATGCGGTGAACGTAAAATTACGTAATTTAACGATGCCCGTAAGTCATATTCGATCCACGGCCTGGTGGTGCACGGCAGGTTCTATGCAAGGCCGTAGGAGGACAAGGCCGAGTGGTTCACGGCTGATTGGTGGATGTCCGGAGAGATCCAAGGCGTTCGATTCAGGGCTTATTGGTGCACAAAATTGGTGGTGCACGGCTGCGCTCTCTTCGCAACTGCTCTAAAAGTTCAATATAAGTCGTGCTCGTAACGTCCTTCCAATTAGTGCACATCATGTATCGTATATAAGACCTGCATTGATTATACTTTATGTAATTATACGGAATTTATATCGTTCTGACGTGATGCGGCATGGACTCGCCTTCAAGTTTTGATAAAACTCTAATATAAATTTAAATATACCTCAAAAAACTATCTAGTTAGTAACTAAAATTTTACGTGAATCATGTGATCGAAATAATCGACGAACAAAAAAGTAATGTCGACTTATAAAATCGGACTATCCGACAGCTTGTTTACGCGCTTCCGACCGTGTATGCCGACCAGTGCGTGTATGAACAGTTATCCTACAACGTTTCTTCAATCTGTAAGTTTTCGTACTAGTTTCGGGTAAAATTTTCATACGTTTTTTGCTACTAAATGTACTAATATCAATTTCTATAGGAATAGGTTATACTTACAGGGTTCGTGGGCGCACTAACTTGCATTATGATTATGATGTTTGTGTTTTATGCACGTATCTTTTACTTTCATTCATATTAGTTATTACAGCAGTAAAAAATGCCAATTCAATGCTTCCTTACTACGTTACTATAAATAACTACCTAGATCATAGATGATAGATGCCATGGGCTGATGAGTTATGAGAGTGTAGTCATTGTAGCTTTGTAGTTTGTAGGTCTGTAGTGTACTGTACAGCACAAGCACAACTCAAGTTCTGATTGCTTTATGTCACTCTCAAAACAACACAATTATGACAATACGCGCCAGCAATGATGAAACGTCACAAACTGTTGCCATATTTATTTAAAAGCCTTTAGAATTGAAAATCTACAAAATCACTGAATTCCAATGGCTAACGCTGTGTGTAACTAAATTTGGCATATTGCAAGACTAATTCTGATCTCACTCTAGTCTGGAAAAGTCCTATTTTTGTCTGAAATATCACGGCTCTAATATCATATAATTTCAGTAGGTATGAAATCTTGGGGCTCGAATGTCATAAATTTTTGTTTGATTAAAAAATTGCGGTTTGCACTTTGCAAACATGTCATTTCATAAAATTTTCAACTTCCGCAATGCGCATTGCTTTACCGTTTCCGACTTTCCGCCAAAAATATCTTGCAGAAAAAACATAAACATCATGTAATGTTATCTGCTTTCTAGCTGTGATTGGTTGCTGGGGATGCTTTCAAGCTGTGATTGGTTGATGGGGATGCTTTCCAGCTGTGATTGGTTGTGCCCATAAGCCCCGCCCCCAAATATGGTATATGTACTACAGTACTGGTTAACTAAATACTTAACTTAAACTTGATCATTACAAACAAAAAGCCTGGAAAAATTTCAAACAATCCATTAAATAAAAGAAAAATAGAGAATATTTATCAAACAAGAGACATTCATACAATTTTATAACAAATCTGAGGTACTAACACAATTGAAACAGTTTGTCCACTTCTGATCCTCCTTTTCATTTATAGTCAGTCACCTGGCAGAGCACTGTATCTAAGGAAAGCATTCCACCTTGGGTGGAAAGCTTTTTTATAAGTGAACCTCCATTTCTAGAATTCCACCCTGCTTGAGTAAATGAGGAAATTAAAAATGAACGGATTCTAAAAAATCTCTGGTTTGTCACTATGCTTGCGGTCCACGGACAGAGCGTTTCAAAACCGTAATTTGTAATTCCGATGCCCTGTGTGTGCTGTATCGGAATATGACTTAGCTCTAAACAAGCTGTATGTCTAATTCCAAGCTGTATTGGAATATTTTTATGTGTCTAAAACCGTCTCTTAACTTAATCATCTATTAGTTTATTTACCACTTGGAATCAGCAAAGTTTACTTTAATCATTCCTAATATATTCACAGACTTATTTAAAAGTCTCAAACCATAATATTCTTTCTACACAAACAGTTTATCACTATTTGGTAGAGCAAGGTCAACTATCAACTTCGACATATTTTCGATGTTCTCAACTTCTCACTGGGTGATGTGGACTTTTGCTCTGAGGATCTTAACATTTTTCCGCCAGACCTAGTGTTTTGTGGGAATCTGGCGCACAATAGTATGACATCACTATTTCAACCATCTACGCATGTGTGCCACTGTGCAGAGAGTGGATGAATATTGCAAGATCTTTTTCGACGCTTCAGTAGCAAAATTTACGCCTTCAGAAGATCTTGCCAACACATTTAGATTGAAATTCTTGCATTTAATATATTTGTCGGTCTTCTGCCAACTATTTAAAAAAAAGTAAGGTTTCTGATATGTTGGATGGATCAGGATGCAGTGAAGCTTGTCCGGAAATCAGTTGCGATGAGTTCCCTCCAAAAAAATGTAAACATCAAGCTTACGATTAGGTAGTTGCGGTCACATTAGAGCGGTCAGACTGCATTATCACATTTCAGTTGACACTTGCTGTACAATTGGACTGTTTTTAGGGTAAAATTAGTTATTTGGGGTAACACGTGCATGCAACCTTGTAAATAAGTTCGTGGCTTGTAAATAGTTTTTCATTACTCAGCGTAAGTGGCTTTTCATTAAAAATTACCGGCGACGCATCTTAAAATTACCCGGCCACGCTAAGGGCTTAAAATCCCATATATTGGCGATGCTGCATCCACCCTCTGCGCCCTGGCATGTGTGGAACTAAGACAAAGCTTAATATAAAGTAAAAAGTTGAGAAGTATTGGAATTACCCACGATGTTGGAATATGGTGCGTTTACCCTATATCCTTTACTATCACGCACCAAAACACTTACGCACAACGTAACTGACTTCCAGACAAGCTTCACTGCATCCTGATCCTTCCAGCGTACTGGAAGCCTTACTGTGTGCGCTTGCGGTCCTTCAAATTTCCAGTAACTTTGTAGTTATTTCTCATATGCAATATATAATTTCAATCCAAATGTGTCAACTGTTGTCAAGATCTTCAGAAGGCGTAAATTTTGCTGGCAATGCATCGCCAAAGATCTTGCAATATTCACCCACTTTCTGCACATTGGATTTTTATCAAACAATATTTCAAATTGAGCAATGGGCTCTATCCCATACCATAGGAGTTTCAAAGTAATTTCTAAAATGCAATAATTTCAATGCAAATGTGTCAGCAAGATCTTCAGAAGGTGTAAATTCTGCTGCTGATGCATTGCCAATAATCTTTTGATATTCACCCACTTTCTGCACCCTGGTGCAAAATGAGCTTCCTCAAAGTAATGGTCCAAGCAGTTTGGGCAGGACAATCTTAATTGGATAACTTTGTGCAGATGTGTCAGTGTAGTGCAAGTAGCAGCATTGCAGCAGCCAGCATCCAATGCAGCTCATCAGTAACTAATACGTGTACCTAAGGCACAAGGATACAAATACATTATCAGACATCACACAGCTGCAGCTGTTTGCAGCAGCAGGGATCAAACTATGTACAGATATTACTTGATTATATTCTGCGAGCATTGCCACTGGTGGCATTGTGAGAAGATATCACCTCATCACATAGCAGCAGCTGCTGGCAACAGTAGGAATCAAGTTATGTACCTATGGTTATTAATACACTGCAAGCATTGACTTTGGCAGAATTATGACAAGATCATCATGTAGCTGTAGTGGTTGGCAGCAGCAGTCAATCCCAGTCATCAAACTATAAAAAATTCTCAGTTTAATACTGCGCACCAGTGAGTCACCACACAGATTAAAAAATTGAAAACAATAAAATTCCTCCCCACCTGGGACAACTTCCTGAGTATGGATTTAAACGGGGCTTGTGTCTGATTTTCCAGTTTAGTGTAAAGAAAATAGAAATCAAATTGAAGAAGAAGAAGATGCTCATGGCACTGAAATTGTCTATTAGTCAGGGTTGGCGATTTTTTTGATTTTTTTAAAAAAATCAAAAAAATCAAAAATCAATGATTTTTTCATGATTTTTTTGATTTATTTGATTTTTTTGATTTTTTCAACTTTTTTGTCTTTTTGAAGTGTTCTTTTTTATGTTGCAATTAGCCCACTAACAATAACAGTATATGGATCATAAATGAATAACAATACCTCAATATAAATTAAAGACTGCCACTCAATATATTTAAATATATGAAAAAATCAAAAAAATCGAAAAAATAAAAAAAATCATGATTTTTTTATAAAAAAATCAAGTGATTTAATCACATGATTTAATCATTTTGATTTAATCACTGCCAACCCTGCTATTAGTATTAGCCCCACATTTGTCTCATTCAGTTGGCTTCTGGAAAATCATGTGGAAGCCACCTGTAAATGAGACAAAATACCTCTTTTTACAGTCAATTTTGCCCATTTTTATGACCTGTGCCTAATTTTTCCATTAAATGAGAAAATGGCATACTTTTTGCGTGCAACTTTTGAAAACCACCTGTGAATGGATTGTTTTTGCCCACAAATTTTAAAAAATTCTGCTCACTATTCCAGATAATGTTTGGGGTATAGTAGTGGTCACCAATTACTAACAGTTGGAATATTGGCGAAGTAAAAAAAATTTATATAAATATGATCTTATCTACTTCAAATTTTTTGTAATACATTATTAATGTTGAAATTAATATTATTGATGTAGGTAGTAGTAACCATTGATTAAGGTGAACATCTTACTCTCCAAGCCACAACTGGATTTTTGAAGTTTTGAATTTCCAAATTTTTGAGTCATGAGTCAGTTTTTCAAGCAATGACCTATTTTTCCTAAGCTCTGGAAAGCCAGTTTTGAACTGGAAACTGAATTGTTAAGCCACATGCACATATTATCCAAAATCTCTGATTTTTAATAGAAATAGAAAAAATATTTTTCTTTATCTATGAGGCATTCAAGGGTATCATATAATAATATACTTTTCATTTATGTAGACAAAACAATACATTAAGTGTTGAAATAATCTAAAAATATATTCTCTGAGAGAAAATAGTAAGGCATTGCAAAATTATTTTCAAATACTCAGTCATTCATAATTAATTCAGTAAGCCTGAGTCTAATTTACATCTATAGATGCACAAAGAAAGGCAATTTTCTAGCTTCATGTGTTTGATGAAACAATCACTTTTTTCCCCTCTGTTGTCAAACTAATGGTATATATTCACTTAATATGTGCAGTTCTATGTAATGTCACATTTATTCCAATTTAATTAAAATGAATTTTTCACTCGTGTACTTCTCACTTTACTGATGTAGTTTTTGTTAATTCACTAATGATTTTTTGAGTTTGTTGAGTAAAATTATATTTTACTATACAGCTAGTAAACAATTGTTCCTCATTTCAATCAGAATTACCACAATGAAACCAAAACCCAATTCAGAAGATGTTGACGACAAGGAAGAGGAGTTGCACTCGCTTACTCACTACGTTGGAGATGAAGAACTGCTTGTCCAGCACATGTTTACTGCTATTCAGCACACTAAACTTGAAGCCATGATGCCACCAGTACTCAAGGTGAGAGAGAATATGGGATATAAAAATACTAGGGGGCTTTTTTTATTAGGGGCAATTGTTGGCTTGCTATTTCTTATCTCTTTCTTATGAACATGTCCAGCACATGTTTACTGCCATTCAGCACACTAAACTTGAAGCCATGATGCCACCAGTACTCAAGGTGAGAGAGAATATGGGATATGAAAATAATAGGGGCAATTGTTGGCTTGCTATTTCTTATCTTGATTGATTAATTAGAAATCTATGTGTAGGATTTCTTGTATCAAAGTTGTGAGGCAGTAAATAGTTGAAGGCTCCTAATAAAGTCTTGTCGCCTTGAACATAGGCTACTATTCAGTTTCAGCTAGTTTTAATGTAAATCAATAGTTTTAAGTTATTGTTTCTGTCAAACAGAAAAGTGACAAAATTTATCTGTGTGAATGTATAGGTATCCTGTATTTAATTTCAATTAGTGTTTATGAGACTTATCTTGTGTATGCGGTTTATTGCATACATATATTTATAATTGTCTTATGAACAACAACTTGTGCTTATGCATATTTTTAACTCTTATCAGTGAATGTGATTTTCTGCCTAATACTTCTGACAGTGTATCACTATCATGAATGGGAAATAAACTTCTAAATGTTTGTAATATTTATACTGTTAATTGTTACCACTTGAGAATCTGGTTCAAAAAACCTAACTCGTTGAAATTTCCTCCTCCACCTTTACCACCATGGCCACCATATCCTCTGCTGCCTCCCCCTCCACTAGCTCCACCCAAGTTAATAATTGTAGCTTCTATTTGTTGACCTGAATTGATTGCAGCCGCTCCTCCATTGATGTTTGAACCTCCAGCAACGTGCTGAGCTCTCTGTATTTTATAATCTCCTTCTGGGACCATGATTAGGTATATTTTGCCGCCCTCTCCTCCACCACCTCCGCCTCCTGCTGGAGGAGGTCGCAACGGAATACGGTGTCCGAAAGAGGAATGAGAAGTCCAGCCGGGCGGGATAGCATATTGATTAATGGTACTGGTCGCTGCCGTTGCTAGATTTGCGTCTTTAGGAGAGTATTGAAGCTCTTCTAGTACATCTGAAGGCAATTGATCAATGAAGGGTTTTCGAAATTGTGCCGAGTTGGCATTGAATTTCAATCCTGCTTTATGTATTGGATTGTCATGTAGCAGCTTTGCCTGTCCCAAAAACGAAGGCAGTCGTGATTCTGTCACTTCTGCTAAAATTTCTTGCGCTCCGTAAAGAATCGGAGGCACTATTTCTTCAGACTTCTGGGGCGCTTCAAACTGTTTTGGTTCGTCATGAAATTTGAATGTCGAGCTAAATGCACTGTTCGTGTTTTTTAAAGCGCCAACGCTTGGCGTGCCTTCACTGTTCAGTAGATCTTCCTCTGAACATCTTTCCATGGGCACGATTTTCTCACTATGCGCGTCGTGAGTTATCGACTCCGGATATCTACCTACGACATCGTCTGGTCCCTGATAGTGAGAAGTCATTCGCTGATCCCGGGATTTTTGCCGAAAATAATAATTTTCATATCCTTCGTTATTATTTTTTCCATCCCGAACAGTTCTAGACCCTCCGTAGTAGTCACTGAGTGTCCGTTGGTTCTCAGTATGAGCGGGAAGTTCATGAGTCCGTGGGTGGAGCAACTTTTGGGACGGTAGAGGTTCTGAAGTGATTTCTCTGTTAGCATCAGGGACATTCGCGTCGATGTTATAGTCCGCGTTGGAAAAATTAGATAACTTCGCTTCGCTGAATGGCTCTGAGTTTTCCTGAGAAGACGTCTGGTCGTTTTGACTGCCTTGGTAGACTCGTGCATTTCTACGCGCATGGTATTGCGCTGGGCCCTGCGGTGTAGCATAGTCGGCAATGTTGATAGCATGGCTTCCATATATCACTCCATTATTCTTGCCGTCTTGCGGAAACCATTCACCGTCTCGATGAGAATCTGCAACTTTTGGTTGTTTATGGTGGTGTGTGCTATCATGAGTCTGCTCAGCGAAGATAGTTATCCTATCATTAACGCGTTGCTTGTTGCTTTCGAAATCATGTTGTTCGACTATTCTCTCCCTTACGTGGTCGTTGCTCACAATTTCTTGGCCATATTGTTCATTTCTTTGAGAGTCCTCTACGTTTTCTTCGTGATATTCATTTTCTTGCTCGTTTGCGTTGCTATGATTCTCTTTATTTCGAGCATTGTCTCTCTGATTCGAACTGTCTGCTCTGTCCTCGGAATTTCCTTGAACGCCATCTTTAGACGAAAAATTTTCAGTGTTCGAAGCATGTGTCTGGAATATATTCCTGATTTCACCATCGTATTGTCTTTGGCCTTGCGCTGCATGGTTTCCACTTCTTGCTCTTTGTAATGAACCTGTTGGCTGTTGATGAATGTCAGCAGGAGGAAACGAATCTCGGTTCTGCACAAAATGTTCGTGTGTCACAAATTCCTCTTTATGTCTAAAATTAGTCAATATATCTTTTATATCTCCGAAGCCATGGCTTCCTACTTTGTATTCATTGAACGCATCTTGCGCCTCGGTGTTCGGGCGTCCGTCGTGAAGTCCCGTGATTCTTCCCAATTTATTTTCGTCTATAATTTTTTCGGTTGAATTTCGTTCCTCGACATCTCGTTGATCTTGCTTATTAATTAAATCACTAAAATCGCTACCCGCCGTGCTGACAAAATCCAGCTTATGAGAGCCCAACCAAGTACCGTGACGAGACAACAGCTCTTGGCTTGCTCGTTCAAAACGTTTTTTCAAACAATTGTTATGTTTTTTCTTAATTTGTTCTTTGATGGGTCTAATTTCTGCCATAATTTGTTTCTTTTCCCTAGGATTTAACGTTTCTGATCTCAATTTATCATTTATTTCTGCATTGACTCTGCCCTCGGCATTTTTTCCTTCGCCTTGGATATGATAGTAAGATTTTTCATCAGTCTTACCATCCTCTGAACGCCTATCGACTAATTTATTTTTGAAACTCTCCCGTAATTCCGTATCCGTTTTTGCGTTGCCGCGCGCATGCTCCTCGTACGCGCTGCGCTTCTCCCTCACTGACTTGGGGTAGTCGACAGGGAGGTCCACGGCGCCGTGGTATAGCGTGGGAAAAAACTCTTCGTCAAATCCCGCACTGATTTTGGACGTTTTCACTCTAGGGTAGTGGATCCTCTGTTGAAAATTTGGAAAAAAATGAGAAAATTCAGGAAATTTGCTCATTTGTATACAAGACAGCCACAGATTCACTTGCAGAATCACCAGGAGCGTAGAGACTGTGATCACTGTCAGTGTAGTATGATGTTATAATAAAATTTAAGCATAACATTACGTAGGCAACTAAGTTACCTATCATCAGCACGTTAATGAAATGAACAAGCCAGAATATGCACGAGATTAAACTTGCTTCAACTCACCAAGTACGATTTAGTGAGAGACTGTTTGAGGTAGCGTTGATCGTAATCTTCGTTGACTTCATAATATGGTTCATCCGGCCAGCCAGCATGTGCGTGTTCCAAGAAAAAAGCTGCAAATAATGTGAATGTCATTCGTTTTCCAGTATTAATTATGTCGATCAAATAAAACTTAGATGTATGTGAAAAATTATCAATGTTACCGACGCTTTTTTCATGATGCATTTTCGTTTCATTCATACGAAACACCTCTAAATGTTCAGGTAGCCTCACTGAAACTGAAACGTGACACCCGACTTTCAAGAAACAAGTCCCCGTCAATCACTTTTATTATCCAGATAATAAAATGCTGACAGCTCATAAATATAAGGTATTAGCTTGTCAACATTTTACAATATATCAGCTGTTAGTTGATCATCGGAACATGTAAGACTTTTAGCGACATAACAATAACGTTGATTTGAACCTAAATGTGGTGTCAGTTTCAATCGGATATTGCAAAGATTAAAGCAGCAAATTAAACTTTTTATATCATATTTTTATTCATAGAAAAAATATGCATGCTGCATTTATAGTGGTTGACGCTTTGATTAGGCCTTTTAGGCCTAATGTCGCCGCCACCTTGCGAATGTCGACCAGTATTTTCATGGCGACTTTTAAACCCTAAACTCGCTGCTCCAATTTTTGTGATCTTAACTACTCGACCACCACAAGTATTTTTAGGACAGCTGGGCTATAACTCTTACCTAAGGCCGCGACGATTACTGCTAATTTCATGGGGACACCCGCCCGTTGCGGTGCCATCGATGATGTTGTGGCCACGACCTGCGGGCAGTTCGCATCAGTTTTACTAATTAAATATCATTCTAAAAATATTAGGATGCTTTGGTTATTTTTGCACTTTACCGGTGTCGTTATTATTTTAGTATTTACGTACATGATATTACTATACTCGCCATTATGATTTATAGTATTACGTCATCTAGGATGTAGCTCCTTAACTCGTGTGTTACGTGGCTATTTCGAAACCCTATCTCGGTATTCATTTCAGCATATTTGCACTCCGTATTAATAATCAAGATGTCGGTGTTAATATAAAATTTTACTTTTTTCTAATCTTAGTTATCTGTGTGAACGATTTACTGTAGCTATTATGTTACGAATTTCTACATGACACATACACGAAACAAGTTAATTTTAGAATACATCTCTTATTTTCCTTATATACCAAACGGGCGTTATTCCCCCACATCAATTAATGCGCTTGGAGAAATATTAATGGCTCTATTACGATCTGCCTATTAAAAATTTTTAAGTTTTGTTAACAATCTGCAGGGATATATCTACTTGTTTGTTATTGAAACGATGAAAATGAGATTACGTATTCATGAACTTTCATCACTTATTGACCTAAATCTCAATAATGGTTCTTGCGAATACTAATACACATGAACAAATTTGTATACATTATTATATTTGTTCCAGAAAACGCGTTCCTCGTAATAATCGAAGCAAACCAATTATTTTATTATTTTTTCTTCATTATCATCTTTGAATCTCCCTTCATGCACATTGTGCACGCGTATTTTTAAGAAAATTTTCACCACTTATTTATTAAGTTCCGCTTATGGTTTAGAATACTGTGCAAGAGTATCTCCGTTGATTCATGTTTGATATAAAAACGTACCGTGCACCTGAGAGCTACACACAGCACGCTTGCTCCATCGCAGTCCTGAGATACTCTCAGTCGCGCGTTACTATACGACGCTCTTTTATAACAGCGTTCCCTTCACTGTGCCTTCGTGCAACAAAAGATACGCTACACAAACAACCTCCTGCCTTCCTTCAGGCCTCATATGGCTGCTGCACGCTGTCATATTAATATTTCGACATTTGTACCTGCAAAATCTGCAGTGTGAATTGATAAATTTTTTAGAAGCAAGGCCATGCCGTTGTAAGATAAACTGTAAGCAAATCTGTTTGAAGTGCCTTCCAATGCGCTGTTTTTTTCTGTTGCTGCTGATTACGCCCTCAATATTTGTTTCTGACTAGCCGAACGAATTTCCCTTTAACCTTTTGATTGAAGAATTCTGTTATGATTGAATTCTGATTTGATTTGATTGAATAATTCTGTTGATTTTGGTTAATTGGTAACGTGGCCACTACAAACCAATGATAGATAAACATAGTTTTTTTATGAAATCGGACTTGAAAATAATGATGGTCTTATATCATGATCAGTCTCACTACGTACTATCATAGCCGAAGATTTAGTTTCCTACTCACCGATGTGCTTCAAAGGCTTCCTATTGGTTATGATTTCAACGAATTAAATCTCTTTATTCTTGTGCTCACGGCGCGTTTTGACGTGATGCAAACACGTTTGTAGGAGACACGCAACATTGTGCGTTGTGTCATCTGAGAGCGAAAGTTAACAGCTTCGCTCAGTCTTTTCTTTTCGAGCTTGAATCTTCTGTCGTCTTCTCTGTCACTATAATAAAGCCCCAAAAACGCAGACTCTTGTTTCTGTTGACTTGTTTTGTACTCGATATCTTTTCAAATGTAAATGAAGGCCTGAGGGGGGAAAGGAAAAAGAGTGTGTGTATATACTGTTCTGCATGAGACCGGTTAACCTGTAATGAAATGTGTCAAGTCACGGGAAAGCTCAGTTGATGTCGCTTCGAATTGTGCTTCCATGCAACCACAGGATGTAAAAAGTACTTTAGAGGATCTTGAACTCAATTTTAATGCTTAATTTTTTATTTAATGTATACACGTGTAACTCCTAAACTGATGCACGTAATTACTAAGGCCCGACTTGAATACAGTTGCTGAATTTATAACATATAATTGCACCCGTATAAATTTTTACGATTCATTGATGATCAAGTGTTTCATCAACAATATATTTCTAATAGTTCCGATGAAATTTTATAATGTAATGATAAATGCATGATAATTATTTGCAATATTTCCAGGCAATTCCACTGCAGGATCTGAAATTGTTGTGCATCCACGAACTGCGCGGCATAAGCAAGAAAAGGATCGTCGCCATAATCCAGGGTAAGAGAAGATCTTGCCAATAAAAATCTTTTTGCAACCTTGAGCTAAATTAAATGTGGAATTTCTCCTATAATTTTTATGGCAAGTAAAGTCCATCATTTTTTCAATTCGACATTATTGAGTGGTGAAATGTGTCACATTGATTTGAATGGCATGCCTTCTTATTTCTTTGATTCGATTGATGCTTAATAGAAGTTCTTTCTTATTTGAGTAAAAATGTTTTCCTCTCATTTTGAGTATTTTATAGATAGTACTGTCAGTTAGAGATTGAATAGAATATCATTCGCAACACTGGCATTAATTAGAGTTCAATAATAGCCACTTAAGGCATCCCTCGAAGCTAACTGTACCCAGTGAGAGGCTGACTGCAAAAAAGGTAATCATTCTCCTGCTTTGCAATATTGCTTCAGGATTGCATATATTTTGCAATGCCACTTAACTCAATCGCGAAATCAGAATCCCTATTTACCCGATGTATGCATCATTACGGAGGATGATTCAGCAGAATGAGTTATATTATGTGACCTTGGCTTAGGTCGCAACATGTCAGACTCCAGCGACTCTGAGGACGAAGAGGAGCTGCCTGAGGCTACGAAACCGCAGCGGGGCAGACGAGTGTGAGTTTTGCAATTGTATAATGTAAAAACTTTAAATTATCTCAATAATTTAGGAATTAAGTTAATAGTTTAGGAATTATCTTAATAATTTAGGAATTATGTTGATAATTTAGGAATTATGTTGATAATTTAGGAATTATGTTAATAATTTAGGAGTTATGTTAATAACTTAGGAATTATGTTAATTTAGGAATTATCTTAATAATTTAATCTAAAGACCATATATTACCTTGACAATATAATCTGAAGGTCGGAGATTACGTTAATAGTTTAATATAATGGACAGGAATTAGGTTGATGATTTAGTCTAAAGACAATGAATTACGTTGATAATTTAGTCTGGATACCTGGGCAATTTAACCTAACTTTCCTTCTCAATAATCTTTAATGCTAACAAGATTTATAGTTGGTAATATGCTTCCAAGTATGTTTTTTGTGTATATTTAAAAGAAAAATTTGCCTTTTCAGTAAATTTGGATAAATCGGTGTTAATTTCTTAATAAATTGTTTTAATTTTTATTGATTGACAAGAAAGCATTTCAGTAACGTCTGTATCTTATAGATAGGCATATAATCATACATTATTGTTTGATCTAATTCTATTCAGTTAAGAAATTGTAAAACTTGCCTTGCAGTTTTCATGATAATATAGTTTAATCAAAATTAATATTTATATGTACGTTGAATATTAGTTCTCATTTTCATTATCCTAATAAGAAAAACTTGTTTTACGTTTGTATCTCGTTTGTATCTCGAGCAATTCATATCTGTGAGCTTAGATCAACTTGACTCGCAATTATTTATTTCAAATGTATTACTTTCTATTCATTTATGAAGTTTAGTGCATGAAAGAACATAAGTACCTTATTGGTACAAATAATAAATATCCTTATTTACATTTTCGGTTTTGCCATCTGTAATTCTTACAACTACTCGAATTTTTTATTGGTACAGAAACGACGGCGAGGCTGACGCCGCAGATCCTAACAAACCTATGGACATCGTAGAGCTGGAGATGCGAGCTCGCCTCATCCAAACCATGCTCAAAAAAGACCCAAAAAACAAAGACATTCCTGGCCTGGAAGATATCAAAGCCAAGATAAAGAGCGAGCCTTTATCAGACCGCAGCCGTAGCGGCTCTTCGAGTAGGAGTTACTCGAGCCGCAGTTACTCCCGCAGCCTGAGTAGGAGTAGTTCTTACTACAGCTCAGACTCTGAAAACCGGCGTAAAAAACATCGATCTTCTCGTCATCGCTCGCGCCGAGACAGACGCGCTCGCCGCGGTAAGAGCCATCGCGATTCCAGCAAGAAGCGCGATTCTAGTCGTGATAATTCTGCGGCAACGCCCGATAAAAATGACGATAAGAAGCGGCAGAGTAAGAAAACTAGAATAAGTCGAAAAGAGTTCGAAGATCGCATGAAAAAAGCTAAGGAGAATAGAACCTACCGCAAGAGAACAGATTCTGAAGACAACTCGAAGCATGAAAAACCCACGAGAGTTGGGGAAGAACATGAGCCCCAAGAGCGATCTCCCTACGTTGAACACGAAGAAAAGATTGCCAAGGAGCCAGCTGAAGATGAATCTGAAAAAGAAGAGGGAGAAATCGATAGCAACGAAGAAGGCAGTGGTCTCGATAGTGATAGAAGTTTCAGGCGCAAGAAAGGGCAACGCTCGCGTAGCTACTCGAGCGACAGGAGCGTGTCCGGTAAACGTTCCAGACGCAATAAAGACAAGAAGCACAGTCGTAGGAAGGACCGTCGTCTACCTGTGGACAAAAACCTGATCTTGGCGACTCTAAACGACGGAAATGTTCCTAACGTCCCCATTGACAAGAAGTCTAAATATAAGTCGGGCATTGAAGCCGTTGACTCGGAAGAAGATTTTGATAGTATGACAGGTGGTGCTAGAAAAGAACCCGAGGCTAAAGCTGGTCTCCGTATGGATCGTAGTAACGTAAGCTTTTCGTTCAATAAGAAGTTAGCTCCTAATTTGATGAGTAGCACAGATTTTGAATTCGGGCTGTCATATGGAGGACCTTCACAAGCTACCCCTATTATTTCACCGCCCAGTCAAAATAAGGCCCAAGTTGGTGATCAGATCGTCATAAGTTCGGACAGCGAAGGCGAGTCCAAAGCAGGTAAGAACAATAAGAAAAACAGTGATGAGATTACTTCGGCTCCTGAGGTAGACGACAGTCAAGTTCCACTCAACGTCTCAGACGAAAATGACCTCCAGCGTTGTGAGGAGACCGTCATGAAAGATATTTTTGCAGACATGGAAGAAGAGGACGAACGAGAAAAGAATTTCGAGAAAAATTCCGACGTGCCCATCAAAATTGAAACCACGGAGCAGTCTGACGACAGTGACGCGGCAGCTGATGCTGGAGATATAAATAAGGTTAGTTCGAAGTACGGAAGCGTATCCGACCCTAATGCCGCCCTGAAGCAAGAAATCTTATCTCCTGAAATTCCGGAATATTATCGAAACATTCGGGAGGAACCCGCTGCACTAGAGCGGTCAGTTGCTGATGATTCTGAAGAAGGAGCCTGTAGTGATGAGGATGGCAATAATGTTGAGAGCTCATCAGAAAAATTTATAAATTCTTTTCGTTCCGCTCCTGACGACAGTCCGACCAAACCAGAGGAGATGGATGCATCAAGTAGGTCTTACACTCCAGTTGATGCCGCGCCTGAAAATATCAATCGGAACGGCCATCTTAGTGAAGATGACGACGAAGATGTTGGACTAGTAGATCTGCCTGAGGACGAACATTTTGCTATTGATTTAGACGAGGATTCCGACTCTGTTAGTAAATACGAAGATACCCCGTTCCCTACTGCGGCGGAAAGGGGCGAAGACAGCGACGTTACTGCTGACAAAACCGATTTCTACCGAGGAGCCGACAACTTGAACACGAGTGCGGACAATTCTTTGTCTGCAAACCAACCAGAGCAAAAAGAACGTAAAACTGATTCTGAAGAAGAGGGAGAAATTGAAGAAGATGCTGGATTGGTAGAGTTAGAGCCAGGAGAGGCGGAAGAACTTTCGTCAGCCTTGCTACCGTTAACACGAGGCCGCAGACAAGGAGGTACTGAAATAATCGGAGAAATTGAACCTTCCACAAGAGACGCGACCGGGCTTGACAATCTCGCGGGATCGGGATCAAGTTGGAGCTCCAGGTGGCTGCAAAGTGAGAAAGTTCAAAAAGTCGTCACCAACAGTAAAATGCTTAGCCGCATGAGGAAGCGGATTAAGATTGACAAGATCAACTCTAAGGCCGGCGCCGCATCGACTGCTTCCGACGGCACGGCCGTTGATCCGAACGCAGATGAAGGATCTTCTGAACAGGCCTCACAAGACGGGTCATCCGTACCAGTTATTAGCAGCATGGAGGCTTACCAAAGACTCGTGGGCAAACCTGAGGTTTTATCGGACGCAACAACGGAGAACACAAACGTCCAAGTCGAGACTGAGAAGACAGGAGATGCTGACGAGGGCTCGTCTGACGACAGCGACGAAGATCTCTGGTCTAAAATGATGGGTAACTGAATCGGCATGTTCGACGCAATTTTGTATATAATTAATGCAGCATGCTGTGCCTCAACGTGCAGTATGAAAGCAGCGCAATGCAGGACTTTTTTTCCACCATACCACTATGTTTAGCTTAAGTTTTGTCTCATTTTCTATTACTCATTTTACCCATGCAAGAAAACTGAACCGGTTCCATAAGATTAGGCGTAATTAGTGAAAGTTGTCCTAGTTTTTCATTTAATTATCGATTGCTACTGTTTCAGCTTCAGCAAGTGAGGTTATTAATTACTAACATAGAAATTCATTCACATAACAAGTTCCCAGTATTGGAAATACGCTTCAGTTTAGACAACGATGGCTACGTTGATAAGAAGCTTAGGGTTCTCTAAGGTTTACGTGCCGAAATATTTAAATACAATTACTCACTTCATTCACACAAAGCAAGTTGTTGATTTGTATTTTAATTTTCCTTCAGGGTTTTACTAATAAATGAATCGGCTAAAAAAATAGCTATCTCACAATTGCGAGCAACATAACAACAAAGGTTAAAAAAAAGACATTATCAAATTTTTGAAAATTTTTTATAAGGTTCATTACTAGACAATGCTAATCTGCATGAAATATGTACAATAAAATTTTCATCCGGAAAAACAGGTTTTTGACTTGCACGAGCGTCGACATGACACGCATACGTGCAGACACTCGTCGACTCACAAGCGGCACAGACATATCATGAGACTCGTAATCTCTTCATATTTATAGCATTTACAGTTCGATTTAAGTCAAGCGGGCGCTTGGCATTGCATTGTTTCAAAATATCGATTTTTAAAGAGTTTTCCCGCTTTATCCCCTTGATTAAATACTTCAATCTGCAAGAACAGCGCTTCCTATCACAACTACTACCTCATCTTGCGCTTCCAGTGAGATGTGTGAGGACTGAACATTTCTGGAGTTTCATCAGACAAAATTTAACGTGCTGGGTAAGGTACGCATCCTACTTTCCAACGCACGGACAAAACATTTTTTGGGAGGCCAACGTTCACTAAGCCAAGCAAATCGAAATAGACCGAGGATAAAATTTACGAAAAATGACCAATTACTAGTCTCAAGTCGAATTCTTTGTAAGAGCACGATTGTAAACTAAAGGTAGACCAAAAATTACCGCATCTCGGTCATTTATCATTTGATTCATCACATGAAAATTTGGTCTGGAAACGAAAAATAAGATTAGAAAGATAGGTAACACAAAAATTAAGCTTGACCTTGGGAAATAGCTGCTGATGGACCGCTCTGTATCAAATCCTTGTTTACGGTTACACAGCAATCAGAAGCCTTCACTAAGCAGCGGTTCGAAGAACACCCAGTGCATTGCGGCGTTGCATTGAATCTTATTCTTAATCGCAGTACCTAATGCCATATTTGTATGCTTATCTAGTCAAATAATTATCAGACACTATCGTTAATTTTTTAAATGGAAATATCGACAAACTTTACGATAATCGTCAAAAATCAGATCTACCTAAAATAGGCACTAATCAGATGAACAAATAATTATTAAAAAAGAAAACAAACGGTTCTAATATGATCAACAAATTTTCAAACGGGTGATGGGAATTTTGGAGTAATTTAAAATAATAAATAGTGCGAGCTACTCGTGTCTAACAATGAACAAACGTAAAGAAACCAAGCAAAATGACGAAATTGCGAAGCCGGTACAGCATCTAGAGCTCTTGCCATAGGTATACCGTAAACGCGACATGTCTATGTGAACAACTACGACGCCGAATTGTGAAGTTGCCAACATGTGTCGACATACCAATTTGTATGCCAATTCATGAAAGGAGACGATGCGTTAAATTCGTGAAAAGAGAAGATGCTGAAAGCACCGATGTTGGTGTGCAACGGACGATTCTGCTGGTTATTATGGGAAATACGATGTGGTTCAACTGAGTTCAACCGACGCTTACGGAACTCTTGCAGACGAGTCTAAATAGAGGCCATCGCTCACTTCGTAACGGGGACAATTCTAGGAAATTTGTTACACCCTCAGTTATGCAACACCATGCCTACGTTATTATTTAAGACAATAACTGGACAAAACAGTTATGAATATTTCTCAAAACTTACAACATTTTTCTAAACAGAACTCACAAGCAATCCTACACTTCCTGAGTATCACAAACGTTTCATGTAAGAAAAAAGTTGACTTTTGAGCTTTCCAGCAATAAAAGTTTAATTGTATTCCTAGAATAAATTAATTAATTCAAATAAAACATTTCAATAAAATTAAAACATGACATAGAAACAGAATAATTTACCACTGACTAAAACAGACGTGGGTTTAGAATATATACTTGAAGTGACATATTTACGAAGCCGTTGGAGACATAAACCGTAGCTGGACTTAGGATTTACAAGTTTAATGCAAAGTAAGGAGAGGGAAACTGACAACACAATTGCAAGATGAAATTGGCATTTGTGGTATGATGTTCAACGCATAATATCTGTATTCGTAATCTTTTTGAAGATTCTGCGCATCAAGCTTCGTAAAAAATAAGGCTTGAAAGTGAGGATCTAGTAGCTGATCGAAAATTGTTTCAGGAAAGTTCTTTGTCAATGTATACGTGGTCTTGATGATATAGCGTAAACTTGACGTGGCAAAACTTAGCGGAAGTTATCTTAAGTATTAATGACTTTAAATAAAGATTTTTTAACCTTAGTTGCAATATTAATGAATATTAAGCAAGAGCAAAAAGTCGTGAGACTAATTTAGATGGCCTTTGCTGTGTGCCAGACGTAGTCTTCTACAGTAGCATTGATTAGAGGCTTCAGCGCGCACGCGCATACATTACACAAGCAATAAAATGCTTTTCGTGATGCAAAATTGGGAAAATCGGGTGTTTTGCTCCTCTAATTGTGACTAACAAAGAGCGATATCAAAAGATGAATTGTAACTTTTCTAATAAGAACGTGAAACTTGCATAAATTAGGTCCGGACAAATAAATGGCGAACACAACTTCGAAATTTCAGGTGTTGCCCTAAACAAAATCAGTAAAAGTTTCGCAGCAATTCTTGATGAACTCTTGCATGCGAGAAAACTGCATCCGTTTCTTTATACAGCGATGTATCAGTAATGTCTTTATGTGCACATAGCTCATTACATTAAAATAAATGTTAGAAAATTAATTGCTGAGACATTACATAGCAGCAAAATATGAGTGAATAACCAAGTGAAACAAACAAATGGCAATGAAGTTTGATCAAGATACGACGCGGCAAATAAAGCTAGCCAGATGGACAAGACAGGTATTGATAAGTGACATTATGCACATAGAAGATCTCACTTATCTTCGACAATAACTACTAGGAACGCCAATTTGAATGACGAACCAACTTTTTTGCTCTGATAATTTCGACAGTTCCAGTATCCAAATAACGACGTACAATTAACGTGAAGGCGAGAATCTCCAACTGGCAAAAATTAGAGATTTACACAGCATTTGCAACGACAACAATTTCAGGAAGAATTAATCTTAATATCTAGCAAAGCATTTGTTTGCGCTTCATGTTAATATAATAAAACCTGGAGGGATAATTTATACCAAAGCAATAATAAAATTATTTCTACTTTAGAATTCTTTTAGACGAGCACAATTAAGAAGAATGACGAAGGATGGATTATCATCTTCATATATTACTACAATTAATTACTTTAATAATATTCTCTGCGGTCCATAAAATAAATTAACAACGAGTGGAATGCACAAAAAAACGCTGAGCACCGAACATGACTTTGAGACTGCAGCAAATGTGTAAGCAATTCAAAACTATGAATTAATCATACACAGAATTTCAATGTGAGTGTGGGTACACTTATTGATGTAGCTTCTAGGACAAGGCAGCTAAGACAGAAGTCGTGTTAGGCAAGAGTTTAGGACGAAAAACACAAGCGGTTGCGATCCAGGAAACTGAAGCAACTATAAACATGTAATGCTTCATAATTATCATAAGACAAACAAATCATGTCAAAACTGAGCAACGTAGGTTGCCCCTTCTATGATTAAAATTAATTTCAGAAACAGTCTGACGCATGAAATCAAGATTAAAACTAAAATTCAGACAAATTTCGTCGTTTTCTAAAACGTAATAATCTCGGCATTTACTATCACTTGCAAAAAATAAACCAGCATTACAGGACTAGAAACGCAGCTTTCTAAAGGTGATTTCACGACTTTCGAAAAAAAAAAATATTTCCAGGCGCTGAACTAACGTATAGCAGATTAATGTACGAGAAAATCCACACGAGGCAGAGGCTAACTTTAGTGCCGGGGACAGAGCGCTGTAAGATCGCTGAATTCTGTTAGAAGTTAGAACCTCACTCGGTATCCGCATGAGATGCGTTTCGTTAGAATAATACAGAGGTGATGAGAGTAGCCGTGCAATATGAATAACCGTACCGACTTTTACACCAACTGATACCAGGCCAACTCTCTGGCATAGTTGACAGAGTGAGAGCTTTCTCAATTAAGCAAAACTTTCGCCGAATTTACACAGGACATTCAACTCTTTTGCAAAGGGTTATAGCTCGCTCAAAAAGGTCCAGTCCAACACTGGTACTTAACTAGATTGGCCACTGTTAAAAAAGTCCCCAGTCCCAGCAAACCACCAGCAATACAGTTACACTTTCTCCTGCATAATTATTAGCCTAAGTTAGATACATAAAACATTCTCTGCATACAAGTTTGTACGGCGAAAGCTCGGAGGCCAGTAAACACGAGCAATAATCTCCTGCATCCTCCCACGCACCAGCAGAGATTTCTAGATCATATACAAAGTTTGGCGTGGCATCATTTAACCCAAACACTTTTCTAAAAACTATTTTTACGTTTTTTTCAAGCAGGGACAATAGACACTTGAAGAAAAGGAATTCAAGAGTGACCCGAAGATACTGAAAATGCCGACGGTAACATAATCAGGACCAAACAATGTATTCGAAGAAACACATGGATCAACCATCAAGCACCAAGCAGCTGCACGCATTGTTTTGTACACGATAGTGTCTGCCAAGTGAGTAGAAGACCACATCAACAGCAATCAAACGTATAACCTTTAGAGATTAGTCTTCGTCAGTAGCAACCAACAGAGATCAAAGAGGCCGTCAAGTAGAAGTCAAGAGTCTGGGTCGAACCTATACAAGGTCTACGTCCCTAAACGAAGAAGATTGCCAGTGAAGGAAGACCATTCTCACATTTATCACTGAGCACGACTTGTGAATCTGGAGGACTCTATATACCGATGACGTCCATAGTATGCAAATATCACCACAAAGATGCACATCTCACCGTCCCAGGAAGACGTTTAAAACTCATACAGCATTGATTGTATTCTCATGTTATCGGCTGAATTATCTGCGAGGCGCGCAGCAATGGCAATGACAATATTCACAACATAGAACGCTAAGCAAAGATTTTTGTAGAACGGAAAATGGGGGGAGAAAATGCATTGTAGAAAATATTGTCGCCAATCGCTTGATCCGCATCTTTTCAACATGAATTCAATTTTAAATTTACACTAGGAATGAAATGCAGGAAATTATCGTTTATCTCGAGCGACCCTCCTCAACGCGTTTCATCTCTGAGAAAAAAGACATTCCAAGAAGCAGCAGCTGCAATTTTTCCCGAGCGGACAAACGTGGTATCCAGCCTGCCTAAGTACTACCTCCTCACAACAAGAATATCATACCAATGAATATTTCATCTTAATGGTCCACAAAGAACGACCCCAAGGCATGAAGCATACACGTTCAAACGTCTGTCATCCACGCGCAACCATGCAAATATAGAAGCAGGACATTATCTTGATAAGTTATAAGCACTAGTAAATGGTATGATATCATCAGTGCCACTACAGCAGTAAGAATTCCTCGAGTATCCTAATAGAGCTTTCTAAATGTTATACAGTAACAGGATCTATAAAAAAGATGACAAAATAAACTGCACATCAAAAAATAAGTCCTTGAACGTCGTACATCACTACATAACAATATGGCCACTAGATTATCTTCCACTTATTTACATACTATTTACAGCTCGGCTAGGGAGGGCTGAGAGACGGTCTAATCTTCCCTTATGTATTTGCCGGGATAAAACTGACCAAACGGCAACAATCCTTTCACTCAACTACGAAAAACAGCGTTTCTAACCCACCACCAAGACATCATGAAGTACGGTCAACTATACGCAACTATTATATTTCGAATTAATCGTTTATTTCTCACGTAAATTGTACGCTTGGTTGCCGGTTGCCGATAAGCACGGTTTACCCTTATTCATCGAAACTTGCAACCTTGTCTATTTGCTGCTCTTCAACAAAACATATTAGAATATCGTTCACATGTGCAGGGCGGCCACTGCAAAAAAACGCGCAAGTAACACAAGTACAGGAGATACAGAGAGCTGTGATCAAAACAATATAGTCAAAATATAACGAGTAATTATAGAATGATCAACAGAATTAGGCTCATACTTGGTCCGCAAAAGCTGACAGGGAAGAGGAGCTGTGAAATCTTTTGATTTGTGGATTTAATTCAGAGGTAATTTATTCTTGAACGCATAATTAGATGTTGCAATAGTAGTCAAACGGGCGGTTTAAAAATTGATAATTTCAACAAATTACATAAACAGTCGTAAATATGACGAATATAAATAAAATTTTTATAAAAATTAAATAATTTCTAGATACGCGACAGAATTAGATGAACTGATTATGATGCACGTGTAATAATTCCGTGCCATTTGCCAACACTAGAATGCAGCGTGAGAAAACTCCTGCCACAATTTATTTTTTCGAGCATATATATGTTATGAAAGAAGGTAGAGATCAATAATATCCACATAATGGCATCAGGCAAAACTAGATGCATAATAAGCTTTAATAATTTTGCAGAGAGCTAATTTTCTGCAGAACAAAGATCGTCATTGAAGATGCTTGATCTCTAAGAATACTTCGATCATAATGTAGGTTTTGTCATTAGACATAAACAAGGACAACACTCTTCATCAAGGAAAATAATAATTTTTAATGCAAAACAAACTATCAATGGGACACGAGACGGAACATATGTAAGCAATTGATTTGTACGCACAGTACTAACAGTAGCATGCTAGGTTCGCCGAACGCTATTAACATCATTCCAATAGCAATGAAGAACTCAATTAGCACTAAAAGTGATTGATTACCTCGTCCGCATTAAAGAAATCGAGCTCATCTATGATTTATGGTTGTCTTAACACCACAATTATCTTTGAGAAATGAAAATATTTTAGGAAGAGAAGAAAAAAATTGAGGTCTCTTATCAGCTGCTATCAAGATACATACATCCGTTGCTGAAGTCAATCATGTCTGTCAACAGTTCGAGACGCATAACATTCATCCAGAACATCGCCTATATTACGTACATCAACGAGCCGTTTAAACAATTGCTCTTTCAATCACAGGACAACAATGCCCTTTAAACAACAAAGTAGATCGTAGAAACAACTAATAAATATTTTTAGCTATATATTTAGCGATTAGCAACAATATAACCATAAAGGAGGAGCGCACCATATTTTTTCTATTTTCTTCTGCAAAACATACGAATTAAAACTAAGGGTTACTTAGGAGCTACAAATGACAGTATTACTGACTAGCAGATGCACGTATGATCTGACTGGCGGCATAACATGAAGACGGGTAGGCAGACACACCAAGCGTCACGAGCATAAAATTTCAGTGAACAAAATGTAATTTACTTTGACAATTTTATCTCAAGTTAGGTACCTTGAATCATTCATCATAACATGAGAAAAAATTCAGCAAAATAATTTCGGGTCTTCCCCCAGCTATTGAATTTAAATAACAAAATCATGCTATTTTTCCATCCTCATTTCCGGAAATATTTTCTTCAATTGTAAACAGCAGGATTCTATTGACAATATTTCTATGTCAAACATAATGACAATATCATAGTTGTGACCAAAAACATTCGTTTCTACTTAGTAATTTTGTAATTTATTTTTTGTAATATATTTTGGTCAATGAAAGATTCAGCATACGAATAGAGAAACCATGAGAACACTGCTCTTCAGTCCTATCATTCCCATGTATTTGTTTTCAACAGAGCTCCTTGTAGCCAATCATTTAAATTAAAACGAGTAGGTGCGGCAATTCCCCGAGCCAAAGAGCAGCAATACGAGTTAGCAGCCAACACCAGATCATCTCTGGAAATATTTCTAGCGCACGCACATGACAAACTTTCGGACACACTCGAAGGGAAGAAGAGTATCGAAGTATTTAGTTACATTAAGACCATCAGCCTGACGCCAACCCTATGCAATATCATGCTAAATAAAATGGCAGTGATTCCAACCACGTGGACAACGTTACAAAAAATATTGACTACACATCACATACAAACCTTAGGCCTACACAAACGAATGTGATGATAGAAACCTTAGAAATGACGGGCATGGCTGCATCACAGAACCTAGAACCTACCTCGGGATGTCTTTAGCACTAGCAAACTAGCACTCTAACAGTCGTGATTCACAAATTGCAAGACGATCATTCTAGTCTAAGATAGTATTCGTATGCTCCCCGTCTCTTATCACAGGCGCCTCATCAGGAACAAGATGACTAAATTAGCCCAATTTGCAGGACTCAGGTTCAACAGGAGCAATTGCCTACAGTAGATGTGGAGCACCTCTTCTATATGTTAATAGATTATCCCAATGCCGCACCTGGCAAAGATCATCTTTCTTGTCCATTACACAAGGGCATCACATAAGCAGTATCAAGTCCTTGAGGACGTAAAAGCCTTCAAGAGAATTCACTTATTAGTGCCCAGCCTTTTACAGATACGCTTTTAATGAAGTCCTCTCACAAAACCAAGCAAAATACTATGATAATCGAATCATACCGCTGCAGCACAAATAATCTATGAAACTTTGGAACGCTTGGTCATGTCTTCTATGGAAGCTTCTCTACATTCAGTGCCTCGATGGCCGAGCTGCCCACAGTTGTAGCAAGACGATGGTTTTTTGCTGGCCGAGTAGTGAGGGGCTGCGCTAGGTAGGTTGTTGATGAGTGGTGCCTGTGCGCTGAGATGGGGGAGCATTGGAGGTTGTGGGTACTGGCTGTGCTGGGGTGAGTGAGCATAGGATGCGAAAAAAATTTCAGGGGGAATGTTTCCAGCTGCCGTAATGCTAGGCAGCGACGAGAAGTTTGGCGGAATTGGAGGTTGCGCGTGAGCAGGAAATCCATTACTCATCGCCGACGTCTGTGCAGGGTTAATAGGGGGAGCAGGATGAGAAGGTCCAGCTGGGGGATGAGGGTTGGGCACAAGATTGTGAAGAGCCATTACAGCAGCGGCATTGACTAGCATGGGATAGTTGCCGGGATGATGACCCGTGTACGAATTTGAACCCATGGGCATGGGCACACTGCCATTTGGAAGGCCTGGAGGACTAACGCTCGGCCCTCTCCCCTCAGGATGTCTACTGCTGTCTCCGGCAGGAGGTTGAGGCAAGTGTACCAATGCTGGGGTGGTCTCTCTGCTGTTCTTCTCTGCGTGTGGAGGAGGCTGTGGCTGGTGCATGTGAGGCGGCGCAGGGAAGCGTGAGTGAGGCATATGGTACCGCCAGAGATGTGCTGAGGGATTGTAAGGCAGATACTGCAGATACCTGGGGCGTGCAGAAGAGCCGTGGTGTGGAGGGAACATGAACGGCATTTGTGGCATGGGAGGCGTGGAATCACCACCAGTTACACCTCCTAGCGATCCTGTTCCCTTAGTGGGAGGAAAGCCGCTTCGATCCCAGGGTTCTTCTTCGCTTCTCTTGCCTGCAAATATATTAATAATAGAATATGACGAATTTGAAAATAAGATAAAAAACAATAAACGATAAGATGAAGAAAGCGCATCAACACGGGCATAAAATTTCAAGTGCCACAAATACAAACAACATGTTGGAAATGTTAACAAATGACGAACAAGCTCATTAGTTAATAGAAGAAAACGTGGGCAATCTGAAAAAACACATTCCGAATATATGTAAAAAGGTTCGATTTACGTTCGGTCGTATCTTTGTAATCCTGAAACAAGAGCTTTAAAGAATGTTGCAACTGTACTGGGCCCGTCTCCAACTGTTTATGAAAACAGTTTAGCTATATCAGACAACTATTTTTTCGTACAGGGTTTGTTATTAACAATAAATCATGAATTCGTTACAAATAAAACAATTTTGAAGATTACACAATCAAACTTGATTTCATGATTCGATCTTGGTTAGATATGAAGTTTGCAAGATTTTTGGTCGCGAGTAGTAGTAGCATAAGGTTTACTAGCGCTTCAGATAGCTTTTTATCTCGCCGGAGGTAAGATCTTCAGTTACATCAAAGGAATTTGATCTCTTCTGTCTTCAGGTTTACAGTCTGATACATGCAGGTGTCGGGGTTGGGCAGTTAGATTATTTCCGTGATGGAGCGAGGGTCCACTCCGGTTTTATGTCCAAGGTAATCAAGGAAGTGGGGCTTGGTCTGGAACACGGGCTAGGAGTAATCCAGTTTCGCAGCATATGGCCGATATGCGGTGTCATTATAGGATCATGAAACTTCTCTGGCAGCTGATTGCATTCTATCAAGTATTGTCTAAGGTGCTTAGCATTCTGCTGAGCATCTCGTCATAATCAAGGGCTGATATGTTGGGGCAACAGTTCTTTCGCATTTTGCGGTGGCTAGGACACTCCGCAAAGAAATGCAGCAGTGTCAAGGGCACCAGGCAATCGTCACAGTATGTCATATGACGGCGCTCAATCAAGTAGCCGTGGGTGAGGCGCGTATGACCAATCCTCAGTCTGCATAGCGTTTCCTCCATCTGTTGAGATCTCTGGTACGATGAGCTCCATGCTGATACTCTGGCCTTGATTGTTCTCAGTTTATTGTCTCGCGTGTTTAGCCACAGCTCGTGTCATATATGGCGAACGCTAGCCCTGATGAGGGAGTGGTGGTAGAGGCATGAGACCTCCTTCCTATAAATGGGCACGTCCGACAAAGCAGCGCCCACCGCCGCCTCATCCGCCCCACACCCCCACGTGTCCCGGGAGCCAGCAGAAGCTTACCGTACTCCCCGTCTTCACAAGGCGCACAAGACCGGCCAGGATTTCCGGGATGATGGGATGCTTGCTTTAGAAATGTTCAGGGCTTGCACTACACTTTGAGACAATAAATATCGTGGTCATGTCCGTGGTCATACTCGTTACAAAAGCTTTTGTTTTGAAACAGGAGCTAATAATTCTCCCATCATTTTTATCATCGGGAGCTTTATTGACAGTGGCAGACCATGCACGGTATTTACCAGTAATTTGTCTTCATTATCAGTGCATGCTAATTAATAATTTGTGCAGAAAGAAGCGATTTTTGCTCTCACCAGGGGTTTTGCTGTCTTGATCAGGACTAGGAGTCTGAGGAGGAGAGGAGTATTGAGAAGAATCTGGCGAGGTGTCGGTAGATCCTCCAGCAGGAGGACCAGGTGCCCGGCGGTTGCTAGGTCCTCGCCCTTCAGGCTGGTGTCCCCAGTATCCTCCTCCTCCTCTTGCCCCACTATTGTTATTGTTGTTATTCTGGGACTTCCTGTTGACGTGTCGCGACTTGTGCTGTCTGTTGCTGCTGTGACTGCTGCACGTGCTGCTGCTGCTGCTGTTTCCACCTATACTACCGTTTCCTGTTGATATAAAGGTCCATTACCGCCAATTTTTTTTGCAATGAAAAATGAATTCATTGCCACAAGAAAAATATTGGAAAGACCTGGTTAGTTATTATCTGACTAGCAGCTATTGCAACAAAAATGCAATAGAAAACCTATAACTGATAACAATGACTATTTTTGGGGTTTAATAGTAATATTAACTAATTTGTCCTTTAGGTTAAAAGCACAGTACAAAATTTAAATACTCTATAAACAATGAGATAACGTCCAGTTGTATCTTGACAGATTTAATAATAATATAATACGATCACACTAAGGTCCATGTGTACATAAAGCTGCAACCAAACACTCCATCTGAAAAAATCGCAATAGAACTAACCATGTCGCTGTGCAGAGTATGGGGGAGGAGGGGGAGGAGGGAGCTTGTGGGGCACATGTGGAGGACGAGGACCGCCCATGAAATACGAGTGTTGGGGAGCGCCCATATGGCCGTAGGGCATGTACACCGGCCCGCCGTACGGGGCCAGGGCCTGAGCTCCTCCGTTGTGTCCGTGATGGAGAGAGTTGTTTCTGCTGACGTTATTGTTGCTGTTGTTGTATACACCCTGGTAGCAATAAAACATGGTTGAGAATGTGATGAATACATTTACAAAAAAACAGTCAATAAGTGAAATGATGTTTCTACTAGGGTGGAATATTGATTAAGGAATATTCAGAAGAAGTTAGAAAAGTTGGTGATCAACAGTAAATGTTAGAATTAAAGTTGAGCAAACATTGATAAAATGAGTATCAACTCTTATCAATTGGAGTATCTTGAAATATCGAGAGCTGTTTTTGAACCCAATTATTGAACCATAAATATAAATTCAGGCCTCTTCTTAGGAATGACTTTCAACACACTGGTTTGTTTTCAATATAAAATTCTTATTCACCGGAATAGAAGCAAAAGGATGTGGCTGTTCTGAGCCGCGCGGTGGTGACGTGCGTTGCTGCTGCGGCGGTGGCGTGCGCTGGTGATGAGATGACACAGAAGACGACGTGAGGGTCGTGGTGCAGGCGGTGGTGAAGGTGGAGGTCTTACTCGGGGACGTGGTGAGTGGGGGAGGAGAGCTGGAGAGCGCCATGGGAGGTACCTTAGAAGGAGGAGGTAGTGGTGCAGGTAACAGTCCAGGAGCACCAGACAAGAATGGCAGCGAGGGTGGAGGTGTTGATAAGAAGTTGTGTGGTGCAAACTGAAAACCTCTAGCGAGCAAGTGAGGCGGCGCCGTCATGAAGCAAGGACGTCCCAAGTAATGAGAGGTCGCATCATCAGGTAGAACATCAGGCGCTCCGCTCGAGGAGTTAGGGGGCGGCACAATGCCGTTGGTGAGGCATGCAGGGTGGGCATTGCGAGAGGCAGGACAAGGCAGAAGTGGAGGCTTCTGTTCAGCCTCACAGCTGTGCGCAACTGAATTTGGCATTGAACGCGAGTTGCAACTTACGGGAGCGTTGCTGTTAGGCAAGTGAGGCGTCTCTCCAACATTGGGCTTCAAAGGCGGTGGGAGATTCATGAGGTTCGATCCTACACCGTTCGTGCAGTCAAAATTGCGTTTTGCATTTCTAGAATTGAGACCAGAGACATTTCTATAAGTGGAAGCATTGCTATCTTCATACGAATTAGGTACAGAGCCGCGATATTTATTATTATGACTAAAACTATTGGCATTATTACTATTATTAGAGCTATTATGATGATTATTATTGTTGCCTTTAGGAACAGGCTTGCTCCTGCTATTTGTCAATATCCTAGGAGTACGATTGGGATCACCGTCTCGGGCATCGGACTTTTGGCAGGTAAATTTGGCATCATTGTTATGGGATGAGCTCTGATCAGCCACACTGCACGGTAGTTTATTGTTGTCAGATCTTGTCATTGGTAAATCAGATGAGGAGGATCTACTGATGAGCACCACAGCATCCTGCTCTGGAAGATCCAATGAACTCAGATTGACGTCTCCGAATGAGATGCTTCCACTCGCAGCGACGGACGTGAGGCCGGCCATGCATGTCACAGAAGACGAGATGCAAGAAGACGAGGCTTGTGTGATCGTTGCTGGAGAATTGCACATTCGAGAGCCACTGGACGATGATACAATTGCAGGAGCTGGACTGTGATCAGCATAAGGAGACATAGGTCTCGAGTTACGGGATGTTGGGTCAGTGAAAGATACTGGCTCGGGAGCGTTTAGCGTGGGATCTGACTGACTAGTAAGAGGAGTATCTGGTCCCATAATTCCTGGTAAAAACGTCGAACTGACAGGAGATGTAGAGCGGACCGAAGTGTGCCCAGGAGGTAAAGCAATCTCAGACGAAGCGGGAGGTAAAACAACGCCATTCATTCGGTCCTCACGCCTCAAATTTATTCTGTTGTCAACTGTAGTGGAAGCGTGTGGGCCAGCAGTTGGTTTTGTCTCTGCATCAGTTGAGGTACAAGACTGAGGGAAGAAAATTAGCATGTAAAAAGCGTTCCCACAGAAATACAATCAAGTTGATTTCAATCAACAAAATATGATAGGATCAGATATTCATTGTGAATGAAAGAAAGTATTTTCATCAGAAAGTGATGAAAGTACACAATCTTTTTTTAAAAAAATTGTAACAAATCATCAATGAATAATTACCTGCATACAAGAGGAACTGGAGATTTTGGGCACTTCATTTAAATGATCTGATTCAACAACCCTCGGCCTATTGTCTGTTCTTACGACGTTAGCTGCTAGAGGCAAGGCATTTCCTTTTGATTTAGCATGACGAGTGGTAGAATCATCGCGCTGAGATTTCTTGCTCGGCTGATGAGGAGCTGCACCAATCTGATTTCCTGACGTGGGTCTACTTGGAGGCCTCATGGTTGGACTGAAGTCAGTAGTGAGTTTCTGATCAGGCTCACAGTCACAACATTTGCAACAGCTGGATTCTGAGGTGGTCATGCTTAATGCTGTGTCAGTTGAGGCCGATTCAGACTGTAGTGTGTAGTTGCAGTTGCATGAATGCGGACAGGAAGTAAAACTGATAGAATTGCTGTAAGACGAATCTCCATGAGACATGAAGCACAACTGAGAACTGCAAGAGGAAGGGTCACCAGCAGTATCCATACCAAAGCAAATTAAGGAACTTTCTTCCAGTGGCCTAACCTGTTCTGTTTTGCTCTTGCCAGGAGATGAGGAATCAGAAAAAATGTTGGATCTGGACTGAGAATAAGATTCCTCCTTTTGTTGCGACGATTTCAAGGTCCCCTTGTCATGTTTAATGTCATTAGAGGAACTTTTTCTGCTCTTGTAGACATTTTTTCTTGATGGGGACAAATGAGAAGAGGAGCTGTTGTGAGCTGTGACCGTGGTGACAGTTGTTGTGACAGCAGTGGACACGTTGACATTTGTAACCTGTCTCCTAGGATCACTCTCATTGAACTTCAGAGAGGAATCACCTTTAACGTCTTTAGTCTTAGAAGGAGATCCTGTAGGGGTAGCAGACCTTGTGCCTTTGGATAGTCTATTATCCGGGCACGACACAACGACGTTAGAAGTATTCAGACATATTTGGCAGCTTTCTGGAGAGAAATGAAGTGAACTCAAAGGACCACACGAGTGTTGAGAAGAAGAAAGATCAGAAACAAGATTACTTGTTAAAACAGGACTATCTTGTACTATAGACGATTGTAACTGTAAAGATTCATCATCAGTGTTGTCATTGTTGATAAAAGGGGCATTAGTCAAGCTTAGCTCATTGGAGTGCGCTTGAAGATTTTGTGACTGCTGATAGGCAAAGCAAGCAAGGTTGTTAGCAATGAGTGCTGAATCTTGTAGAGAGAGACAACCTTTGCTTGGTGCTGTGTCTGAACAAACAACAGGAATTAGTGACTCTTGATGCACCTGCACCCCAGGGGCAGGTGAGCCACAACGACTGGTGGGTAATGACTGAGGAGGAGAAGCATACGGAGAAGATGATTGAGCAGAAGATTGTGCAGACGAGGTGTTCTGGTGAGAACAAGAGATGATGGGCACACTCCCAAACTCAGCATTAGGCTTTCCAGTGGCGGAAGCGCACGGCAGTAAACATTCGCCGCTGCTTCTTTCAGTGCCATTCACCACGCCTGCACGGTTCATAAGTGTTCAACATAAAAATGTAATGAAGTGGTATAAAAAACTTGCACAATACAAAATTGAAAAAGACCTCAACAATGCTTTTCTGACCAAAGCTTTTTACTGTACGTTTCAAGAAAACAAAAATGTATTGACGATTCAAGCAAAAATATTAAAAAATACAATTTAATTTACTAGAAAATTAAACTCTGTGACTCTTTACCATATCTACCTATTCCAAGTGAATACATTTCACAAGAGGTAGATATATTTGCCAAGTCACACCTTTTGAGTAATTTTTTATTGAGGCAGAATCACTTCTCTATAGATAGGGTTATATCAAAGTCAACAAAACGCAAATAAAAGTATTAGATTAACTTACCACCTAAAGAAACAACTGAGGAATTGTGATGATGAGCCAGAGTTGGACCCACAAGATTTGAGTTGTAAATGTAGGTTGTTGAGACCGACACATCGTCTCCAAACATAAACTCCTCTTCGCTCTCAGTCTGAAAAAAAAATCATTTACAGAGTATGAGGTAATGACATGCAGAATAGAAATTGTCTCAAATGTAAGCTACAAAATCTGAAAAAGAACAAAACTTTTCTGCTGGTACGTGTTGAGCCTCATAAGTATGCATGTTAACTTATTAATAACACCTATAAAAATTATTTAAATAAGATATTAAAAAAATCAAATAAATGTCATCAAAATACTTAGGCAAGAATAGGTTGAAAATTTCAAAGTAGACTCACGTTTCTTCTTCTGGCATTATGATCAAGGTTGTTTGGCTGATGAGGAAGCAGTGGACCCATGATGGCAATAGGTGCATCATGAACAATTGGAATGGCGCCAGGCTCTTCATATTCACCATAAACCGGACCTGTTCTCAACATCGGATAAGGAGGCACATGCTGCAGAAGGTGGCTATGTAGGTCCTGAGCAGAATCGTCCACTCTTGAAAAAGACGTAGCTTTGGGCAATCCCTCTGGAGGCAGAGTTGAACTCCCAGACAGAGGAGGAGGTGATGTAATGGCTTCTGCGAGGGCAAACTGACGATGCTGCGGATTTAGAGCAGTTGAAGAAAAGTAGGAGTTAGCTGGCATTGTTGCGTAGTCCAAGACAAGAGGAGGAAAGTGGTGACTTGAAGAGAAAGTGTTCAAAGCACCAGGCACCTCTGAAGGCATCGAAACTGCTGGGTGTCTTGGAGGCTGTTGCTGCATGGGCACTCCATGCATAGTGTGAGATAGGTAAGGAATGGCTGGCACTGTACCACTCAACTGCTGGCTCAATTGTTCCAAGAACTCCCGAGGCATGTTCTCCAGATACCTCAGATGACCTGGTACTCTTGCTGGGGCACCATCACTGCGGTGCTGAAGACAGGCTTCCATGGTGTCTGGGCAAACAGCCACTTCTGGAAATAAATAACTTGTGTGAATTACTCTGATAATTCTTTCTTTTGCTAAAATAAATAAGCCAAAAGGGATTAAGTATAAATTCTTATGTAAATCCCATTGCATCATATTCATAGATTATTGAAAAAACATAATCCTACCCATCAATTTAATGGCAGCTTTGTTTAAAAAGTTGAAGATTATTTCAAGATAAGTGTTTCTAGGAATGACAGGAAGTTTATAAGTTTGGAACGTTTAAACCATGACATCATATCTAGCTTATATGAACACAACAAATCCCAATTGCTCGTCATTTAACCTTAGAAGATGTGAAAATACTCAGATGGTAAATAATTTTCATCACATTTTGTTATCTAGAATTGACATCAACAATTTATTGATATCAATTCATCACATTGATAAATACAATAATTATAAATTAGGATGATAGATGAAATGTATTCACATAAAGCAAATAAAATAAGGTGACAAATTAATGCACAAATTCAAATAGGGTACCGTAAAATGGGGTAACTTAGACCGGCGGGGTAACTTAGACCACTTTTGGTTTTTTTAACAAAAACCCCCACAACTCAAAAACTATTTGACATAGAACCAAGAGCTGGGGTAACAAAGACCATCACTTTTTTTGAAATTACATAAAGACTATGAGAGGCAGGAGCCAGCAATTTATGGTGAATGGAGCTAGAGTATAGACTTGTACTTTGCATGTTTCAATTCAAGTATAATTTAGCTAGTAAAAAATGGCATCATTTATAAAAAAAAGTGGCCTAAGTTACCCCATTTTACGGTAGTTGATTAGCAAACTATGAATTTGCATTTCTTGATATACTTGTTGATCCGGATTTGAGGACAACTTATGATCAAAATCAAGTCTAATCTGCTTTCTTATCTAACCTCCTGCATCTTTAGCATATAGAAAATAAAGTGGAACTGAAGATTAAAATTGCCAATAAAAGGAAACGTGTAAAGTTGACTAACCGGGAGCAGAGTCAGGAGTCACAGCCGTAACTGGAAGTTGCTGGGGGTTGGATTCCTCATCGGAAGACACTCGAGCATTCTGCTCCCCAAAGCTTGCGGCATCACACTGAAAGATTACATTACATTAAACAAGCATCTATTTAATAAACTGAACTTTGAAGGAATTATGAGTTGTACAAGAGCTGATATGATTTGGTTATAAGTAACTTCAACATTTTCTTCCTTATTCTTACATAGTTAAGATTTCATTTTCGACTAGTTTCAAAAATAAATATTCTTCCTTCCTATTTTTTTGTGAAAATTTGTATTGTTATGATTTCATAGTGGAAAAGGAGAACAATTTTTGTTGCCCTTCCTCAAGTTCATTTTTGAATCCTATAAGTGGACTATTAACATTTTACCGCCAAACTAGACTTTCAAGTTGCCTTTCAAACAAACACCTGTACAGGTAATATATTTTTCACTCTTATGGCTCTATAGAATACACTGCTATGCATAACTCAACAAGTGAAGGAGCAGTTTGTTTTCATTCATTTGTCAGTCACCTGCCAACTTCCGTGGCAGTAAAGGGTTAAGTTAAGGGGAGCATCTGGGTCAAATTTTATTTGGGTTACATATTTACTAACGGATCACTTTGAAACTTGGTACACATATGTAAAACAGAAAAATAGACAGATTTTACTGTCAATTTCTTGAAAAATGAAAGAAAATGTAAAATTCTTAGAAAACAGCCAAAAACAGGGGTACTGTAGAAAACTATCTCCTCCTAGAATTTCCAAGCTACAACATCAAGATGTATATCATTTGATGCGTAAAGACCATATCTATTGATTGGTTGTAGATTTTTTTTCAAAATTATAGTTTTTGTGGGTGAAAGGTGAGGCATTTTTTTTTTATTTTTTATTATTTTTCTTCCCCACTCCCCCATTCTTTCAGAACATTTTCAAAACCATAATGAAATCGAAAAAAAGCTACAATCAATCTCTGGTCCTTTATTTGCAAATAGAATGGTTCATGTCTCAATTCTGTAGCTTCAAAACTATAAGAGGAGAGTTTCCCAGTGACAATAAGTGCAATGTTCAGGAGAGCGCGACAAAGCCCCGAGAGCCCCGCAGCACACTATATCAAGGCATTGAAGATGGAAGATGTTACTTAATCTCAAATTCAGTCACATATGGGGGGAATTATTGCACAAGTACCTTCCTGCATGACAGCTACCTGATAACTGAAGTGTAGCATCCACAGATGTTAGCCTTATGTGCCCTGGCCGCTAATTTTCCCCTAACAATGTGAAAGAGCTCCATGACACCTAACCCTTTTGCCATCTGTAGTGAACGCATAAATAAACGTACAGAGATAATTTTGGTACCGTTGTATAGGTCAGGATGTCAGCTTTAAGATAAGCATAAAAATTTGCGATTTTTTACCCAGACGCTACTCTTAAATCAGGCGGTAAAGGGTTAGGTATCTTGGACACCAGCATTTTCATACGTAAGAAATTGAAGAAACTATTGAGTATATGAGGAAATTAAAAATGAACCGGTTCTAAATAATCTCAGCAAGACTGGAAAGGCAACTTGCTTGGAGATTTAATTTCACAAGGGCTTAGCACAGGCTAAACTTGGAATATTTGGCACTAGGCAGTAGTATTCTAGAGTCACAAGTATAAAATTGTTACACGAGTGATTATCAAAAGCTGTAGGTAAAGTACTTTTCCTCATTATTTACAAAATAAATTAAGAAAAGGCAATAGGAACAGAGACAAGTTGCAAGATTTATGAGAGTATTTGTTTGATTGATGGGTGATTGGGTGGCTTCTGCCCTACTTTGGACCTAGGTCACTCCCAGGATTAGGTAGGCCCTATGCAGAATCAGAAACAAGAAAATATTCAGGCAATTTCTGAAATTGGTGGCAAAAATGTACCATTATTAATTTTTACCAGAGGAATAGTGAAGAGATGAATGATGAATGTAACTCAGTGTAACTCAGGCTTACATTATGTAAGACTTGACCACCTTTCTTCTAATTCATGGGTGGTGTCTACACAATTTAGGCTACTACCTACTTTAACAAATAATTAAGATCAATCCAGCGTCCAGCCTAGTTGGCTTAATTCCAAAAAATGGATGACCTTATAGATGGGAAGTCTAGCTTCAAATTCTTCAATGATCACTCCATGTGCCCACATTCCACAATTCAACAGCACAACTCAACAGTCAACAGGCACAACAGCAAATATAATGTGAAATAATAATAAAATTTTGTTTTCAGCATGCTCAAATTTTGTCACATTCATCATATAAAAGATCCAATACAACTTAAATCAAATTAAATATTTTCAATGATAAAATGCACGTCAAGTACACACCTGCATGATTGGAACTGGAGTTTCACATTCGTCCATTTCTTTGAGTGCCTCGAAGAGTTTGGTCACAGAGTTCTTCTGCTGGAACGTAAATGCTGGATGATTCAACACCATTGTGTAGAGGAGCAACATTTCCTTCAGGAAGTTTACATCATGACTTCCAGTTGGTTGCGTTGCTGCTAATAACAGCCGGTATATCATGTCGGAACCAGTTCGGTTAGAAGCATTAAGCAACGCCACGCAGATGACCATCCTGCTACGAGTGTGCTCATCTAAGATATTACTGGACAAAGATTCTATTTCTTGGTGACTGTTTACTTTATTCTCCACCTCCTTCAAGTCAACTCTTTTGTTTAAATCTTCCAAACATGTTTTAATGAAGTGAAGTTCGAATGGGAGACACAAGTTGAGCAAACAGCACAGTAACTCCAAACGGCGATGAGGTTCATTGTTCTTGAACCACAAGCAAACTTCCTCTTTGCACACCATCTTGGATACCACGAGTTAGACTTTAAATTCGTGGCACAATTAGCTAATGTTATATCATGTTTTTGGCCAAAAAATCGAAAACTAATATCATCTCGAAGACACAGCAGTCGCCATTTGCACCAAAAGCTGATGTTCCAATATTCCGAGTCTTCGTAAAGCCCAGCAACGAACATGAGCATTAAACTCCGAATATGATATCATATTTGTCAATTAATAAGCTACGTAATTTCATTTCAATATTTTTCTATGCGTATTAACATTTAAATTTACATATATCCATGCTGCTAGTGTTTTTTTGTTTGAACCATCTATGAACGAAGTGACAAGTTCTAACGAAGTAAATAATTAATAGAAATAAATTGAATAAATATGTTTCCGTAATTTTGTAAACCAATTCATCATACATTGATACAATATAAATAGTTTGTACCTAAATACACATCTATACCTTGAACACTTAATGGCTATAAAGATGATTACAAGATGAACAATCTAGAAGTTTTATTCTATAATTTATACTACGAAAAATGACTCTTCCATAAATTCTAATAAAAACTACCAATTATTATCAAATATAGAATAACCCAAATCAAAGACTTTCCTCTTTCAGATTTTTGTCCCAGACTTTTTCTAAATCGGTTGTGAAAGTGTCTATGCGGTATCTTATACGGTCCTAACCGTAACCAACGAATATTTATTTAAATAAACAAATTTTAATGCCCAATGCGCTGCGGTGGGTTTTTTATTTGCATTTTTACCTCTCTTACTTTTCAATTTAAACGTTAAAACGTTTGATTTCAGAAGTCTCGGAGTTAGAAATGAAGAGGTAAAACTATGGGATTAACCCTCTCCACGGCGCATTACGCATTGAAAGGTGTGAATTTAATTTCCAACTTATTTTTTTTCAAATTGATTGAATGGAACGAGCCGGCATGTTTCAATTCGCCCATTTTACTGTTTTGATAGCCTACAGCGTAGGAGGTAAGAATTAAGTATAAGAAAAAAATTCGCCACAGCGCAACAATTCTTAAGAATGTTCATTTTTAATTTTTAATTGTATGTCACGAATTGAATAAACGGGGCGTGCGTGCATGAGTGGCGGATATTAAATATTCTATTTAGCGCAGGTGTAGCGCCGGGATGACCCACGTAGCGGCTTATGCTAAGTATTACGCACTTTTGTCCGACTGGTTATAAATACAACCTCAGCTTATCTCCTCTTTTGTAAAGACAGTGCACATGTATAAATTTTAAATAACTCTTCTTCTTTAATTTATGTACAGAGGCACAAACAGTTAATTTTTTGGTTGTACCTCGAACGAAACTGTGGTTCGTGCACTGGTATAATAACTATACTAGTATTTTTCGGCAACAACTTTTTCAATCATTTGCAACATGTTGATTCTGAACATTTCAGCACATCGGTCATACAAGGTTCTCTGCAAGTCGTGTTATGCATCCGCTAAATTCAATATTGATATTCTTAAGCGCTTTAGTGGTGTCAACTTTAAATTGAATATTTTAATCATATCTGTATATATGTATTGAATTATAGTCCGACACACACCTGTAAAAACCCTCTGATAAAGAGGGTCAATTATTGTTATATTATAAATTAAATAATATTAATAAATTGTACGGTCAATTTATTGTTATATTATATTTAATAGGAATAGTATTATCGGCATCGGTGATTCGGCAAAGCCTAACAATAATACCTATTCTTGTGAAGTTCTTGGCATGCTTGTTTAAAGAACTGGTCTTCATACTGGGGCAATTTGAAACCGGCTCATATTATTGCAACAATATTATTCTCCCGTCAAATACGGAATGAATATCATAAAACAGTCAACGAAATGCTAGACAAATCGCTGCTTGCAGTACACTAATAATTTTTGAACATAGTATAAATAAGTGCGTTTCGATAGTAACAAATGTCGAGTGTTCAATTTTTTCCGCCCTGACTGCATATGCTACCAACTACTTTCGGTTTCTTCGTTGTGCATTAATTAATAGATTATTCTATTTGCTCTCTTCTCAATCTATTAATATTTTGTCTAAATAAACCCATGAGTTTAGAGACTGTAATTTGATATAAAATCATATCAAGTGGCAAGCAACGCAAAATTGGCCCGTGTGCTAAATAGGGCACTAGCACTACGAAGTAGCACTACGCACTACAAGCCGTAGTGCCTACTAGTACGACATGGAACACTACGATTGGCATGCTAAATAGGGCACTAGCACTATGAAGTAGCACTACGCACTACAAGCCATAGTGCGGCATGGAACACTACGGTTGGCATGCTAAATAGGGCACTAGCACTATGAAGTAGCACTACGCACTACAAGCCATAGTGCGGCATGGAACACTACGGTTGGTATGCTAAATAGGGCACTAGCACTATGAAGTAGCACTACGCACTACAAGCCATAGTGCGGCATGGAACACTACGGTTGGTATGCTAAATAGAGCCAAAAGCATAACGTGCACTACAAAAATCTGAAGTGTCCGACACACCGCACTTCACGACGACACTACGGTATATTTATCCTTATTTACTTCGTCAGCTATGGATCTGTTTGGCCTACAGCAAAGGCATCATCGCGTAAAAACCTCAGGAACTACATGCCATGAATATAAAAAAGTGTACCGCTTCAGTGAACAACATGTTATTCTTAAGGCTGACATTTTCCTTGGCGAAACAGATGAACAGCGTAGAAGTAGAAAATACTTCTCTTGTTTTTGATACCATGTTTGAATTTTCTTTTCTGTTTTTTTTCTGGAGTCATTTTGAATTCTTCTGCAATAACTTTCCATGCTTCTCTCTTTTGTTCGATGTCTTTGGGAAGCGTGGACTTTGAATATATGATGGGAAAGGTGCGCAGACGCATTGCGAATTTCAGCTCACCATCACAATTTTCACTAGTACCATTACCATCACAATTAGACATTTTACATCAATCTTCTGCAAAGAATGAGAATTACTTAGGGAATAATTAATTATTTGAGCCCTTAACTACCATTCTTCAATAGACTCATAGCGTAGTGCGGCACTATTAAGTACTCTAACAGAGAAGTAGCACTTCAAAGTCTTTCTGCATACGAATCAGTAGTGCGACACTGAGCGACACTAAACATTGTAGAGCTACTTGGAAGTGCTTAGTGTCTGTGACGTATTTAGCATACCAACAGGACACTTCGTGGTGCATAGTGCTACTTCGTAGTGCTAGTGCCCTATTTAGCATACAGGCCATTCTCGTAACCATATGATCATATAGCGTTAAAAAATATAAATTTAAAACTTCATTTCAGGATCTGTTTTAGTCCTGCCGCTGTACTAATTTTCAGCAAGCTAAAAAATTATTCGCATTAATCCATAAATAGTTTTATGTTTTGCAATAGTTTGGCTGAAGTTCCTCCTTTAAAATGTATTCGGAACGTCGTTTATTAAAATGTCTCCTGGTAACCAGCGTATTGATCTGCCAACTCCAGCAAGAAACATTGTTCGACTGAGAGAAAAAAAATTATTAATAAAAAACATTCGCTATTTCTTATATATATGCATGTACAGAAATGATGATATTTAATCCATGTAACGGAGGGTACACTTTTTGTGAGGTAATTTTGACTCAGTTTGTTTTTGAAAAAGATCGTATCTGTGCTACACCCAATTGCTGTGTGCAATAAAGTGTGTCACATTTTTGACAACATAACACTTCCATTTTACTTATCAGTGCTACGTCCGCTCATTGTTTGTGCTGTGTTAGCACATGTGTTATCACTTGGACAACACGACCCTTATATATTTCAGAGTGACTCAGAAGAACCGGCTCCTCCTGGTGGCGGTAGAGAAGACGTCGGGGCAGCGGTGGGTGGCGGCCTGCACGTAGACGCTCGTGGGGCTCTCGACCACGTCGACGGCGACGCGGTCGGAGGAGGACCCAGTGAAGTGCAGCGCGCGGGTGTTGGGGTACGCCTGAGGAAAGCAGATTTAAGTTTAACAAAATTTTATTCTGCTTCTCTTACGCTTTTCAATGTATGTTGATGCGGAATAGTATGCTTTTCAATGTATGTTGATGCGAAATAATATGCTTTACAATGTATGTTGATGCAAAATAATATGCTTTTCTATGTATGCTGATGCAAAATAATATGCTTTTCTATGTATGCCGATGCAAAATAATATGCTTTTCTATGTATGCTGATGCAAAATAATATGCTTTTCTATGTATGCTGATGCAAAATAATATGCTTTTCTATGTATGTTGATGTAAAATAATATGTTTATCAATGTATATTGATGCGAAATAATATGCTTTTCTATGTATGTTGATGCCAAATTTTTTTTTCGTATTTTCTCTAGCATTTTTTAATTTCCTTCTTCTATATAAAAGGATTTTTACTATAGCCTTAAGGTTGTTAGTTTAGACAGACTTATACCTCAAAAATACATTATTTCAAATACCAATTTGCAATACATTAAGATTTGGACCTTAGTCTATACTCTATAGTGACATTTGTATGAAAACTTCACATGCAGTAAAAATAATTAAGCGAGTTAACGCGAAGAGAAGTTTCATCTTGATGTTTAAATTTAGTTGAACCTTGAACGCATTTATAAAAGTCTCTTGCAATTAAAACATCTGTGCGTAAATTTAAGCTTAAAAACTGTAATGAATTCCAGCCATCAACTCGATTAACGCGTTGACTACGAAGTTGTACAAATGCGTACCACGAAATGTATTTCTCCATGACGTAGTGGTACATACATAATTCAGGTTGCCTTAAATCGGCCAAATCCGAGAACAAAAAAGGCCAAAAAATGCTGATAACTCAATATATACTAATTTATTTGTAGGTTACGCTATTAAAATTCCATTAATTTTTTTGAAGTATTTAAAATTTAATTAAGAAGTACCCCTATCATAAATTTTAGCTGGCCAACGCAATTGAGAAAAACTAAATCACGGAATTTGTCCAGAAAAAATGACCGTCTGGCAACCCTATTTAAAAACAGTACAAAAAATGAAATACTAGCACAAGATGAAGCAATCGTAGTCAACGTGTTAAAGCAAACAAATTTTACTTCACCAAAACATGTAAACCGAATTTACGATCATAAAAAAATATTGTTCACCCAATAGTTAGTAACAGAATCATGACCATTGAAGCTAAACTGACCTCTTGAAAGCTTCCCGCCAAACTGGTCTCGAAAAGCTTCTTGAAGTACGTCCATGGGAGCGGATAGAATATTTTCTCCGGCAGAAGTGTAACGTCACGACACAAACTCGGGACGTCATCGAAGTACGGAAGGGCGCTACGCTCGTTACAAATTTCTAACGCCGCGGCGGTCGTGGCTTGCGGACCAATACTTGTCCACTCACCTGGCTGTAAAATTACTTGCGCTTAATACATATGTGCGATTTAATTTCTTGTATGTATAAGAAGATATGGTGAAAGCAACAAAAGAATAGCAGTTTGATAACCTTAATTTTCTATAATGAAATATTTCATATTGCCTATGCGGGCTATTTATAAGTATTATTACTCATGCGCTGCATATGAATGGTCAATCACCGTATGTATTCGTTTTTAATGGCACAAAAAAACGGTGGAGTTTAATTAAGTTACCGCAAAGTGCGCAGGCATGTAATTCATCACAGCCACAAGGAATTCGTGTTTGGCTTCAAAGTGGAAAAGCGCGTTGGCAATCGACCTGTTGTTCTGAAAATAACAAATATTAAAACGAAAAATTTATTGGAGAAAAGTGATGCAGTGCAATGGAAATGGATTACAAGATTGATAGTAAACTACTTCCAAAGTGTATTGGAAACAGACTGATTCATCTAAAAAACTAGCAATGATAATTCGAGCGTATAAACAATATGAGAAGATAATTAAAACTAAATTAATGTAAAATTTAGTGCTTGACACCTCAAATGCAATAGCGTTGCTGAGGTCACTGATGGAGCTGAGGGCGATGACGTCATTGTCGCTATAGAAGCCACCGTACCGCCACACCAGCGCAACACGCGCCATGTCGCTCATCTGCACGTTGATGTAGCCTGCGCCACAAAAATGTTACGTACTATACTAACATGTCTATTGAAGAGTATTTTCATGTTAAAATTATAAATACATTTGTTGAATCATCTCTTTTTGGTGACTGTTCAAACAAATGGCAAAAATCCAAACGTGAATTAATGCAATTTCTTGCATATCCAAATCTTGGAAATGTAGCGGGTGTTTCTGTTAAACCAAGGCTGATACGAATAACATACAAAATTTCAGTGGAGTCTCACCTCACAAAATTATTTCTATGATTGCAGATATTTGCCTTGTTATTCGTTTCTTTCATTTACGTGATTCAAGAAGCTCGTGCGTCGTGTAGAAACCGGCCAGGGGAGTGTCGAGGAACAAGAGGTTCAGGTCCAGGGCAGCGAGGCGGATGTTGCCGTAGCTGCGGACGAGGGTTGACAAGAGACCATCAGAGTCATCCAGTGCATCCACTGTCACCAGCATCCAGACCTCAGACTCCGGATGTAGGAGAGCGTAACTGAAAGTGAATGAAATAGTTGCATCGATCAAGAATAAATGTATGATATTTGTATCGAAATTAAAGCGGATGCGTTTTAATTAATCTACAGATATGACCCACATACGTCTAAAGGACATACGAATATATTCAATAATCATGATATGGTAATTTTACTAGCCTCGCTATCATTGTAAATTTGGTCACCAAAAAGATATACATTGCATATTTAACTGTATGGAAATGAAAAACAATCGGTTATTATATTTTCTCTGATCAGATTTTATTAATGGGAACTAAATCTGCAAGAGTAGTCCGGAAATACGTAAATGACACTTGGAAATGTATACAGTTAGACACACCTCTCGAGGGCACAGAGATGTCGGTTGGGGAGAGCGTCCAGGCAGCCCGTATCCAATAAGAAAATGTGGTGGACTGATGGCGTGGGCTCCACATCTCTTTAGAAAATGAATTACAAAGCGAATTGTTTTTTGGGATTTGAAGGCCAGGAATCTCCTAGAAAGTTTGCGCTCATATAAAAGTCCTACCGATACCTGTCAAAATTTTTGCTTTACTTTTCTTGAGTATCTTGGGGCTTGAGTGTCCGTTTACTTTGGGGCTGTTAGGCGTGTATCCAGAGTATACTTATCGTGCTTATTGGGATATTACTGAAATTTTATTCTAACTGTGAGAAAGTACGGCGTTAGATATCATAGATGGGAGAGCTAGACAAAAAAAAAGGAATTTAGTTGTAATTTTTTATAAAAATCTTGTGTTACGTATAAATATGATTTTCGAACTTCAAAACAGGAGTCGGCAGGAGTTCTATGTAAAATTTTTTTGAACATGCTATTCTGTAATTAGCATATATCATTTATATCTCATTTACGGGATTCTAAAATTGCAGAAACTATCGATACCGAGCAATGTCGGACAAAATTGTTAAATTGCTGGTTATTTATAATCGTGATTGTAAAGCTTGTATCTATAGAGAGAGGTTGGCAAGCAGTATTGACTTCTGACACTGTAGAGCACATAACGAAACGTCGTGCGTTTTGGTACACATGATAAGTTATCACAAACAATTGAAATAATACCATTCAGTTTAGCGGTTGACATTCGAACAATTTCAATTTATAAAAAGAGAAATTGATTCGTGTAGAAGGACTCAATTCATTCAAATAATTAATAATAATTCAGGTATTTATTCAAGCTACAAACTGACCTTATAAATACATTCATGTGAAGTGAAGACTCCATCATCTTTGGCACGCTCCATCGACACACAAAGTCTTCCCACGGGAAGGCTCCTGCGTTGAGATTAAATTTGGATCAAAAAACGTTCGACATAAAATCTATCTCTGATAAAATGCATCCAAAGGATTGTTTTGAAGAGTATGCTGAGTCAGATTTATCGATTAATTTCACAGCAAAATCGAAATTTAATTTATTACTAGAAAGTGTTTCCCATCTCACCATTTTCGTGAATTTTTCTTCCAGATTTATGTGGGGAGCCAACTCGTCTTCGGAGCTCGTAAGAGTTATCATTTTCACCTTCAGAATAAGAAAAAATCGGCAATCTTGGAATATAATTTGTCCATATGAAAGTTATTATAAATAACATGTACAGCCATATGGCCGTATATGATTTGACCGACCACTTGAAGCGCATATCAAAGCATTGTTCTCAATTAAAATAACTCGTGATCATCGTAAATTGAATTTGTGAGCACATTGTTACGATTGTACAAAAACGCAATACAAGATACAAGGAGTCTGAAACATATCCTAAAGGCTAAGCAGTGATTATGAAAATAATCGTCGTTAACGGCTTCATGTTCATAGCTTTAATACACTTCTTATTTTTCACGAAATCTTAAGGCCTTTCCTACTAAGTTGGTCTTTTTTACTTATAACCGTCGCAGTCATATATAGATTGTAGGCACCACTCTTTCTATGCATAGCCTAACAAACGGTCAACATAAAAAAATTTACACTAGCAGTTCACTTTGCCCAAGGTTAATTTGTAGAAGTGAAGCATAAATTGAACGGTGCGTAACATTAAAATTCAGCAAGAATCGTCCATGTCGCCGACCTCCTAGCACACACGCAACCGTCCAACGAACATAGCGGGTCTTGGTTGCAGCCAACTGACCTAACGCTACAACAGGTTTTGGCCGATTGACTATAAAAAAATGTAGAATTAGAAATGATTAGATGGTTTTTTCACACGACTGACAAAAGAGTACATAATGTAATTGTAATATCTATTTTTTTTCGTACATAAAATTTACCATCAATGCATAAACTGATTATTATTGCAAATGGAACAAAATTTTTATTTGTAGTCTTAAGTATATATTAGGAGTGAGAAAAATATGTAGTAGGTTGACAAACGTAAATACGTTGTACGATAAATAAGTTTTCACATTTGGACCGTTTAATCTTTGTGATAGTTGAATTTGCATTGAATTTTTCTTCAAATACGGATGTGTAACTTCTCCGGCTCTCGTGGCTCTAAATTTGTTCTTGGTTGCGGTTCTTTGGTGAACATCAATTTTATACGAAATTTGTTTATTTCATTTATTGCAATTTAGCCGTCGTCTGACTGTGAGTATGTCTTCCTCAAATAATTGCTAGTTTGTTATTTTCAAATTGTAACAATGTTATTATTCTATCGACATTTAATTGCCAATGCCATACGCTGTCGCTGATACGCACCTATTTTCTTTGATTATTGATACAATCAGTCATTTCTCAATCATGACATGACGAGCCTACAAGGCCTTGAGAGTTGAGGGGCCTGGCAAGTGGCAAGTTCCAATGCAAAATATAACATTGCATCTATAATACATCACTGAAACTTGTTCATTGAAAAAAGTAAAAAAACCTGGCAGATAAAAATCTCCACCTGCACCTGGCCGGGCAGTTTGTAGATGATGTAAATGTAGAATAAATGAAATTTTCTGTGATTTTTACTTGGTGTTTCTTCATTGATATAATATTACCTTATCCATTCATTACCATATTATTAATGTGATATTACTGTATCCATGGACTGATGGCATTATTGGCATAGTGGCAAACCAGAGATTTTTTAGAATCAGCTCATTTTTAATTTACTCGTATACTCAATATTTAAATGAATTTCTTATGTATGATAATGCTGGTATCCATGATACTTTATTGGTCTACTTATACTTATAGTACTCAGAATTGAACTTGAGGGAGAGTCTAAAAAACTCTCTGCTTTGCCACTATGACTGATGGACATGCCATTGAGCATTGACAACAAGTCAACAACCTTGTGTCCTTGTCCACTGTGAACATTGAGCATTTACAACAACCTTGTCCACTGCAAGCTTCATATCAGCAGCATCATAGCATTTTTTCTGTATCTGTAAGCTTACAGGACGGCTTGTAATTTGTGAGACGATAAGTGAACTTTTTTTTTTCGCTCAGCGAGGTAAATGTAATCAATATTCTTTGTTTTTAATCAATTTTTTTCTTAACTGGAGCCTTTGCTAACTGAGGTTCTACTGTAAATGTGCTTTCCGGGGTGTCCCAAATAGCCCCGGGGGGGTGTCCCGAGTAGCCCCGCCGTGCGGAAATGGCCGCCATTTTTTTTTTGTAATGAGATAGTGAGATAGGCAAAATCTGTCAATTACGTTTTCAAGCCGACACCTGGGTGCAACTTTTATGTAAGTAAAATTTTTTAATACGGCAAATATTTTTTTTGCTACAGACCTTAGCAGAAGTCACTTTTCAAAATAGCGTTTTTCACCATTTTTTTTCAGGAATTTTTCAAAGCTAGTAAATGTCGTATTATTCGACTTCCTTTATACTACATAGATAGGAAAAATGTTGTTGTTTAGGCCACTATATTTAGTTTAGCAATATTCCAATTAGTTTCGCTACTATGACCATTTTACGACGTGTCAGAGGTACGTCCCGAGTTGCCCCGCCAGTCCCGAGTTGCCCCGGTTGACGGTAGACTGATAAAATGCACTAATAAAATATACTAATGAAATATGCTAATAAAAATAACTGAAAAACACTAATAAAATACACTTATGAGATGTTCTGATAAAGTACACTTATAAAATATACTAATAAAATCACTTAACACAGTCTTCACTTGTCTACATTCTTTCAAGAAAATAAGTGTAAATGTATATTTTTGCTTGCAATTGTTCAAAATTGCTAAGTAAACAAGAGTCCTTACCAGCAATTTTGATAAAATTTTAGCTAATATTCCAATCCCATTTCAGATTGGGCTCCTGGTTTCTAATTACCTGCCTGCCACCATAAGAAGTTTATCAATTATGTTGCCTAGATCAGGTTTTTAGGCCCAGGATGTTTCAGTTTTATTATGAATTTGTATCTATTTTCTTTGACAACCTTAAGTCCTAACAGCCTAACCAATATAATTTCTTGCCAAAAATACATGTAAGACATTTAAAAAGATATGTGTTGGCCAGGCCTTCTGAAGGCCTATATGTATATATTATATGCATATTTGATGCTAATTATTGCTAAAGATCTTTAGTTATTCAGTCAATCTCCACGCCTACAATTCCTGCATGGCTGCAACTATCTTGAGTTTACTAAAATCTAAGCATGCTGTTGAGGCAAAAAAATCTTGTTTTTTAAATAACCATATATTTAGCTAGGTGCAAATAGTTTTGTGAGAACAATTTTCAGTGCTGGATAGTGAATTTTTGTTTTATTTTACAGATGAGTCAGAAATTACCAATGCCAGATGACTTCTCTTTCCCCTTCCCTCCATATGACATCCAGCTGGAACTGATGAAAAAAGTCTTCACAGCTCTGGAGGACCAGAAATTAGCAATATTGGAGAGTCCTACAGGCACAGTGAGATCCTTATTATTTTGTTTGATACTCCATTGAACAGTAAATGAAGCATTGTTACAATTAATGTTTCTCTATCCTGGAAACTTTTATTTTTTTTTTGGTTCTTCATATTTTGAATTTTTTAAATGTCAGCTGGTCCTGATATTTTGGTAATGCTGACTGTTTATTTTTAGTTCAGCTGCATACAAATCATTTAATTGTTGTTTTTTTGGATAGATTTGTATTATTTATTATGATATATAGGTACCTAGTATATCTGACTAATTAAAAACCTTTTAATTACACATTATTGTAAGGCAGGACAGGAAAATATCTACTTTTCCAGCAGCAACTGGAGCTTTACTGCTATTTTTGGAGCTGCAAGATTCTTGCTTGAGAAATGATTACCCATATAATTGTTGATAAATCTGACCAATTGAAAATCTATCTAAAAATATTCACTTTAGGAGCAAGATTTCCATAAAAAAAACAAGACTTTCCCAATATTAGTAAAATTTAAATGAGTTAATTTCTGATCTTCAGACTAATATGCACATTTTTTCTTTAGGGTAAATCACTGAGTCTCATCTGCAGTGCTCTTACATGGCTTCATAAATACAATGAAGTGCAGCAGGTGAGTCATACTGTGCAAGATGCTATTCCTGTAATCCTAAACATTGATTCATTGCTGAGCTTATTTACATTAAAATTATTTCTGAACTTATTTATTTCTGAAATATATTTTAACATAGACATTTTTTATGCTCGGTTTGCACAAATCAACAAATTGAAATAGAGTTTTGTAGAGAGAGCAGACATTTCACTACAGATTATTGTGCTAAATGCACTCATTTTCTGCTAGAACCTGCTACTTGCAGCCTCCCAAGCAAGGCTGATCATTCATTCTGTAAATATTTATAGTTTTAATATTTATCTGTTGCTGCTTCACCATGTACAGATAATCTATAATTTATTTAAAGTTAGGAAGAGAAATTTCCATCAGCTGAACTTTTGAACAAGATATCCAATTTGTTAGCTATTAAGGAAACTTGGTTTGCCAATATGTTTTTTTTTTTCAGAAGTAATCTTCCGAATTGGGTATCAAATGTTTCAGTAGAAAAGCATTTGATTTATGTTTGTATTAATGATAAAGGCTTCAAACCAACACCCACAAATGACAAAAAATGTCCAAAATAAAATCCCGAAATTAGTTTTGTTTTCACTTATGAAATTTAAACAAGTTTAGGAACCTTTTTTGGATGAATGTTAGATATGTCCTATAATTGCAGTCACGTCTGGAGATTGAACTGAGGGCGGCCGAGGCTGCAGTGCAGCAGTGTGAGGCCGTGGATGACTGGTTTGCAGCAGCAGGAGTGCGTCAGGCTCAGACTGAAGCTGTACAAAATATTAAAGAAAAACTTTCTCGGCTCAACAAAGAACGCTCTCGCATCCAGGCAATCAATATCAGAAAGATGAAGGTGACTTATTCTTATATTTGCTATATAATTTTACATATAAATAACAAGATTTCTTTGTATTTTCCTAGATGAAAGGAATGGGATTTTTTTCTAATTTTCAACTTGCTTTTAGAATTGTTTCAGAAGAATGAAGTTCACTGGTTATTTTTTTGCCATAAGCATAAATAAGCCACACAAATTATTCAAATTTTCACAAGGAATTGATTTTTCAAGAGGAATGAAATGAAAATTGTTTGCAATTTTCAACATGGTGTTGGGTTTTTTGCCTTGTTTAGGTCAATGGAATTTTAATCTTCATATTTATATCGAAATTTTATTATTAAATAATGTTCATTCTTTCTTAACTGTGCTAGTACCATATCATGACTAGAGTAGAATAAAATTATTTTGATAGAGCAGCTCACTAATTTGCATGTTTTTCTTGCAGGCAAAGAAAGAAAAAGAAAGTGAAGGATCATTTTCAAGCTCCTGGAAAACTCGTGATGAGAAAACAAGTAATAATTCCAGGGAAAATATTTCTCCTCAGAAAAAATCTCCAGGTAAATAATATTTGTGTTTATTTTCCTTCAATTTTTAGCATTAATTTATTGTGAATATTTACATTATAATATAATATTTACTTTGGAACTTCTTAGGATTAGGAAATCAAAGGGTTTGAATTTTTGGGCATCTTGGGAGAATTTCATGAACTTCCACATTAGGTTTACATTTGAATAAATATCTTTTTCACTACCGTATGTGTTCTGGCACACTGGCTGACGTTTGACACGTAACTAAAATAAACAATATTTTGTGGCTGTCTTCCATATTTGTCTACCAGTTTGATAGAGGTTATTAAATTTCGATTGATTAATGGCCAAAGCTTGTGAAAAATATACCAATTTTTCATGAAGTCTAGCCTATCAGTCTTCTCTTCTTATGTTATATTGTGTTAATGTTGTCGCAGGCCTTGCAAGTATTTTTGAGTTTTTTTGAGATTTTGTATGTTTGTCTTGCTTTTCTGATAATGTTTTAGTAAACTTTTCTTAGTTGGAGAAGATTTTCTTGAGGAAGAGTTGGACCTGTTGCTCAATGATGACGTGGATGAGTCGTCTGAGCTGGAAGAAGCGGCAGATGAAGATGAAGAAGAAGGCTGCATTAAAGTATGCTTAGAATAAATTAGATAACCTATCTCTTTCTTTAATGCCATATTGTTTGTATCAAGCTTAAAATTACATTGTTGTACAAGTTTGATTCCAGGGAAAGAGCTTATTTATAGTAGTTCCGGAAATATTTTTATTAAATATTTAAATAAATATTTTATAAATATTTATTTATATTATAAATATTTTTATATTTTATAAATTTATTAATTGCAAGCTAGTTTTAGTGAATCACTTTCGCATAAAGACCCTCGATTGGGATCTTTTTTGTAGTTATTTTAATGACAGTGAATTTTTGTGACAATATTAATGATAGCAATCAAATAACAATCTCCAAATATGACTGGTCTATTGACAAACAATCCATCTTCATGTTTTATTATTTCAGCAATAAATTCATGCTCAGTGTTGACCGCCAATACATGCACCTCCTTGAAGGTGATGTTAATGAAGCATTCGTTTTCTGAGCAGATTTATTCGTTTTCTGAGCAGATTTATTCGTTTTCTGAGCAGATTTATTCGTTTTCTGAGCAGATTTATTACTGCAGCAGAACGCACTCTCAGCTCTCACAGTTCATAGGGGAGTTGCAGAAGACGAGGTTTGGAGGCGCGCAGACTCGCGTCGTAGCACTCGCCTCCCGCCACAACCTGTGCATTAATCCTGACGTGATGCGCTTAAAGCATCCAAATCTTGTCAACGACAGGCACGTTAAGCTTTACATAGAAAACCAAGTGTTAAATAGGAATCACTGCCATGCTTGCAAACATTTAGTGGTTTGAATGAGGTGATTATTTACTCGAGCAAATAGCCCTATCAGCGAGTAGTATGTCAACGACATAAAGCGAGTATGTAATTGTTCTCCTGGTTAACAAATTTTATGTAATTTTTTACCATGCAAAGAAGTATTTTTACAATTAAAATGTAACATTTATAATAACTGGCGATTCGGCATGTATTGACAGTATTGGTCGTATACATGGAGGCATTTCTACAGCAAAGTATGTCGAAAATCATAAAATCTTTAAAAAGGCTAACGCTAGGAACGAAGAGGTTGGAGTACAAACCTGTTTAAGTTACATTTACAAATGCGCTGGATAATAACTGGTATTAAATTCTCAAATAATTGTATTTTGAAGAATAGAAAGGTACGTTTATGTAGAATTCTATTGTATTGGGCCTATACTTTCATAAAAAGTTAGGAGATCGTAAGTTCATCAGCCAATCATTCATTGACGGCCTTTCAATCAAAATACACCAATCATAGACAAGAAAATAGAGCGCAAGTACTTACGTTCACTTAGCAAATTTTGAAAGTATGGCCCTTGGACAGTTGCATTGAATAATGTGCATGCATAATCTGAATGGTATTGGCTCGAGCAGATGCCTAGACCTGCAGCGCGGTAGCAGTGGTTGCGTCAGTCTTAGCTGCGCTGACGGCAACACCAAGGGGCAGAAGCGCAGCAAAGCGAACCAGGCCTGCCCCTGGAACCGTCCTAACGCAGTGCGGGCTCTGGGAGACGAGGTCCAGTATTTCTTTATTTAAATTGTTTTTATTCCAGTATTTATTGATTAAATAATGTTAGTTTAATTTAATATTGCGCATCATTATTTTCTTAACAAATGAAAGAATGAATAGCTGTGCTATATAGCCGCTGCTGATGGTACTGATCGACTCTTGCTATTGTTACGAAACTGAAAGAATTATATTTTAATAATTTATTAATTGATAATTAATTATAACTGGATCGCTATAGATACTGACAAGAATAACTAGATCGCTATTGATACTGACAAGAATAACTAGATCGCCATTGATACTGACAAGAATAACTGGATCGCTATAGATACTGACAAGAATAACTGGATCGCTATTGATACTGACAAGAATAACTGGATCGCTATAGATACTGACAAGAATAACTTCATCCTTATTGACACCGGCAATATCCCGTGCATCGAATTTAATCGTTTGAATTATGTCTTTCCTTTAATTGAGTAGGTATGTTAGAAAGTTTATCCTTATAATGCAAGAAATTTACGTGATGTGGCAGTAATACTACATGTTTATCATTAGCTTGACGGTCAACAAAAATTGTGTTCGTTAAATCTCGTTAAACCCATACTTTCAAAAAAGTTAAGAGATCGTAAGTTCATCAGCCAATCATTTACGGCCTTTTAAGCAAAATCCGCCAATCACAGACAAGAAAATAGATCGTAAATACTTACGTTCACTTAGGGAATTTTGAAAGTATGGCCCCTGAACGCCGCTCATAAGAAAATATCTACGCGTGTGCTACACGCATCACTGTTATTTATTCTGACACTGATATGGGGACTGCTATACGATAAAAGGATTGTAAGTAACTCGTGACCATGGAGACGTCTGATGTATCGTTCATAGTAACATATGTTGCAGTTGCTGACTAACGTACAAGACCTGGAGGATGCCGTGAAGGAGGGTAAGGCTCTTAAGGCCTGTCCTTACTATGCTGCCAGAACTGCCCTCAGAGATGCTCAGGTGAGCTTTCTATTTATCCGTTTAATTGACAATAGATATCACATCTTCTGGTGATATTTCATCGTACTGGCGGTATTACTGATTAATATCGACCGACGGTACAAGGGAACTTAACAAAGCAAAATTCTCTATTTCAGTACAGTACGTACTTTAGTTTGTATCTGCTTGACATTGTATCCATTAAACATTGTTCAAAAACATCTGCAGCTTGTTCTATTTTAATTTTTAAAATTTTAATTTGTTTAATTATTTCAATTTTTTTCTTCTTTATGTTGCAAAGTTATTGTGTACCGTGCAGCTGGTGCTGGTACCATACAACACGGTACTGCAGCCTGGTACACGAGAGGCGTGCGGTGTGAGGCTCAAGAACAATTGCCTCATCGTGGACGAGGCGCACAACTTGCTGGGCACCCTGGCCTCCGTGCAGGAGCTTACCCTGTCGCTGGCCCAGGTATTCCCTCCACCTTGTATGTTGTGTGTGGGCATCGCTTGAATATGTTGTATGTTTCTAGCCTTTAAAATCTGTGTAGAATCTTAGCGAACTTGGGATTTAATCCCTTTTTGTTTTAATGTGTAAATTGAACTCTTATCGTCTTGACTCCTAGGACATTCATGATGTATCATAAATACTTGATCCAAGTCGCACGTTCTTCTTTCATGTGCAAATATCGATGAGCTTTCAAATTCTACTTTAATGAATACTTTTTTATAAATATGAATCTTCTTTATCACAAAAGCCTAAAAACAAGAACTAACAGTGATCCTAGTGATCATGGCCGTTATTTTCCACGTAAATAACGTTCATGCGTAGACGTTAATTAACTTGTTGAACTTGGCGAAATCTATGGTTTTTGGTCGAAATTTTACGAAGTACACTCATCATAATGAGAACTGGTCCACATAGAGAGCTTACCGTACTAGACTAAGTTTAATTATCAATACCTATAATATAACGAAACGATATAATTTATTTAAATCAGTCTTCACTAGCCTGCAAAATGTGTTGGTTACGTTCACACAAAATTTTTGTGATTTTTTTCATTAGATTTTGATTTTAAATAGCATAGAACCTGCCAAAAAGAAGATAGATGCGTTGGGTACTCATCATTCCTTCTACGTCTCAAAAATCATCTAACTCTCTTGTCTCCTACCAGGCACCTCACGCTGAATCGTCGTTGATTAAATGTTGTTTCAATAAAATCTGATGTTAATGAATATTATTTATCGTCATTTATGTGATGGATTATTCTTGTATTACCTGAGTTTGTGTTGCAGGTGTGTAGGAGCCGCGAGCAGGTGCAGCAATACCTGCAACGCTACGAAAGCAGACTGTCTGCACGCAACCTGCTGCATCTCAACCAACTGCTCTTCTGCCTCAAAGCCTTCAGCAGCGTCCTGCAACCCGAACTCAGTGAGGCATGCAACCTGAACTCAGTGAGACATGCAACCTGAACTCCTGTCTCTTATACACATCTAGATGTGTATAAGAGACAGGCCAAGAACAATGCTACTGAAACTTTGTAACATTTCAGATGCCAAGACTGCCAAGAACAATGCTACTGAAGCGCCCGACATGGTAACGACATGTGCAGCGTCAGACGTCGGTGGAGCTGAGGAGGTGATGGGTGGAAACCCTTTCCTGGTGTGCGTGGAGCTCTTCAGGAGACTCGTGACGAGTCATGCCAGCGCTCGTGTTCTCGTCAATGTGTGAGTTGACTATTTTTAGCGCATTTTCTCATTTATTGAAAAAATGCACTATTGTGCTCGCCATGTCCGTCCGTCCATCCGTCCGTCTGTCTGTCCGTCCGTGACTTCACATTTTCGTCGACGAGAAAATGCGCTCTCTGTCAATCACTGCAGTTAGTACTGAGTTATATTTTTCATATTGTAAGTCAGTGCGAAATTAATGCAGTTTAAAATCAGGCAAGTTTTACTGTGGATTCTAAGAATAATTCCGACATTTAACAAGAGAAATTTTCAAAAGTAATTTATATAAGTAATTTGGTATAAAGGATGCACACCAATTTGTTTAAGTGACATTTAATTTTTAATTAATTCATTAAAAATAAAATAAATGCAACGCAACTGCTAACCTAAAACTTAGTACTATGCAACGATGTTTGAAATTCCTGGCTCCTTGGGTCAAGAATAGAAAATTAATTGTTAACATTTAATCATGAGAATTGTGAAAATTTTCTTTAATGAAAGGGGCTAATGGAATTTTTCCTTTGTTTTGTTCTCAGTGATGACTCTTCTCGGACCATCAAGTATCTGGTGCTAGATCCTGCCTCTCACTTCCACGACATTGTGCGTCAGTGCAGGTAAGCAAAACATGCATATCACCACCGTTGAATAAACTGCTCACCGGAACTATGTCTGTCGCTGAAATTGTTCGCGCATTTTGAATACAAGTTTACATTGAAATGTTTTCATTTCATTGAAATCTCCAATTTTACCTGCTTATCTTGTCATTCACGGTAATTTTGTAAGATTTATTCCAGCTTTACCGACTCGTTTGAGAAATATTGTTATCCCTGTCCATTTGATTGCTTGTCTCGGTTAAGGATCTCTCGTATAAACTTTCATGTTGTGCAGGTCAGTGATCCTGGTGGGAGGTACCATGAAGCCATTCCAGGAGTTCCGTGAGCAGCTGTTCTATGCCGCAGGGGCGCCCGAGACCCGCGTGATGGAACTGTCGTGTGGACACGTGGTGCCCTCCGAGAACGTCTTGCCCGTGGCGCTCTCCACGGGTCCTACGGGCGTCACACTCGACCTCACACACGCGAATAGAAACCAACCTCACGTGGTGACTTTAAATGCATCATTGGTATAACTCTTTGTTTTAATTCTCTTGCTGGCAATCTCTTGCTAAGATTGTTGGCAGGTGTCGAGAGAAGTTTAGTAGGGGTAAGATTGTTATTTTGATGCTTGTTCATTAATAAATCTCTAAGGAATTTTACTGATGGCGAAAGGTGATTAATTCATTTTGGTTGCGAGCGTACTACCTAGCATTATTGCTCCTTCCGTGCCGCTTATCATCAAACCTATAAACACAGCTTTCACTTTCATCCGTGGACTGTGACGTGTGTTAGTCCCTCACTTAGTTAATAGGCTCAAGCTTTGATGAGACTGAAGTGACAATTATCTCACTTTTTCTTACTTCAATTCTACTGACTGTCTAATGATTATTCATTAAATTTTCTAGTTCAGCCTTTATGCAATTAGCGTTCAATTGTTGGTAATGCCTGACATGATTTTTTCACTCAGATGTTTCTAAGATAAGGTTCTTGCTTGTCTCAGGTGCAAGAAGTTGGTCGTGTGCTTTACAACGCGTGCTGCGTGGTGCCTGCTGGCGTCGTGGTGTTTCTGCCTTCATACCAATACTCCGAGCTGTTCCTGAGCCTCCTACGCAAGCAGGGTCTCTTGGATAAGATTGAGACCAAGAAGAAAGTGAGCGAAAATGTAAAAAAATATGTACTCGCGAGATTAAGCTCTTAAGTAACAAATTAGTTGAAATTGTAACCGATAAAGTAAGCTCGCAAAATAACTACGTTGAAGTTAGTTTACGTAAAATTGAAAGTGTCAGGTTACTCACGACATTTCTCTCACGCACGCTGTATGGCAGGTGTTCGTGGAGCCTCGCTCAGCCAGCGCCGTCGGTGCTCTCCTCGCCGCCTACGCCACGGCCGTCCGCCGCAGCGCCGAGGCCGCGCCGGGGCAGTGCAACGGCGCTGTGCTTTTCTGTGTCGTTGGTCTGTGGCTGAATTACTTATCCCTGCTGTTATATATATCTGCTCTGCACTGATTATTCAGTAGATCTGCTATGAAGTGATTGTTCAATACTTCAGATTGAAAGTCAAGCTATTCCATTCATTTTTTTAAACTGATTACTGGCCTCGATGTTTATTTCATTATATGCTTTCTAATGTTTATAAATCACTTTTCTTAATTTGTGTGCCTCGTTATACGTTTTTGTTCCAGTCGTTCTCTTCCTAATTCCTATTTCATTTTGTCTGGTGCGTCTTGGTTCGTTCTTTCTTCATGAGGATTTATTTCGTCAGGTTAGGGAACTAAGACCCCTCAGGAGGGACTTCTGACGCGTATCTGTGCTCGTGAGATGTCCTATGGGATTTCGCGTTCCTAGGGGGATTGTTCCTGAGCGCCCCACCGCTGAGCTCGCGGTGTCTGACTGCAGGTCTCAGTTGTGGGGATAAGTTATTATGTAGGTAGGATTCCTTACATTAAGTTATTATGTAAGTAGGATACCTTACATTAAGTTATTATGTAGGTAGGATTCCTTACATTTCTCTTCTCTGTCTCTCTCGTGCGGGCCGCCGACGTCCCGTGTAAGCGACCTCTTGTTCGAGTGTCTTCGTTTCTGTTGCTTTTCACCTGTCCCTCATTGTCACTTCGTCTCTTTGAGATGCTAAAGCTGCTTCTTTCGAGCCAGCTTCAGCGGGCTGTACAATTGAGACCTTCCGCCCCATGTGGGTGATGAATGAATGTTGATTTAAGAAACTTTTAATAATTGAGACCTTCCACGTCGTTGGTGATTTTCATCTTGACTTTCGGTGCAAGATAACTAAATAGCTGAAGCGCTAGTAAACATCTGACAACTAAACTAATTTAATAGGCAACTGTGACGACGAATTATAAGTTGAGGTCTAAATTGTTCATATAGTTGAAGTTCTGATATTTCAAGCTGGCTGGCTGTAGTCTTTCCATTTTTATCTGCAAGTTTTAAAGATGATCCAAGTTTTTCAGTTGCAGTCTATTTTGTTCCCATATTTCTTGCTGTTTTATTCGCAGGTGGGAAGATGAGCGAAGGAATAAATTTCAGTGACGGGCTTGGCAGATGCGTCGTGATGGTCGGACTGCCTTACCCCAACACCCAGAGCGTCGAGCTCAGGGAGAGGATGAAACATCTCGACGCTAAACACTTCGAAGCTATGCGCCTCCACGGGAAAAAGATCCAAGAAAACTCTAAAGCAGTGAGTTCCCAGAGCCTGGTTGGTTTTCTTCTAAAATTTGTGCATAGAGGATCGAATTTTTTTATAACTGCACCATACGAATATGGATCGAATGAAATTGTTGCTACTGAACCAATTAATGTATTACTTTTTTATCAAAAAAGCTTTTTGGAACGGGCATAGGTTTTTGATTTTAATACCATAGGTGAAAGAAATTTTACGCACTCAGTTTCGAACGCTTACATTATTCGACTGACACCTCATTTATGTACAGGCTTTTTCTAAATGAATAATTTATGCACCAATTGAAAGATTCACATTTTTTTAAATTTTATAAATATTCGACATGTCCCCCTTGTGCTGCACGGCAAGCATCTAAACGGTAGCCAAACTCGTCCCACACACGAGGAAGCATATCTTCTGTTACTGAGTGCATCGTAGCAGTCATACGGTTCTTCAACCAGAGTTGCTGGTAGAGGCGGGACATAAACAGAGTTGCTGGTAGAGGCGGGACGTAAACAGAGTTGCTGGTAGAGGCAGGACGTAAACAGAGTTGCTGGTAGAGGCGGGACGTAAACAGAGTTGCTGGTAGAGGCAGGACGTAAACAGAGTTGCTGGTAGAGGCGGGACGTAAATATGAGTTGCTGGTAGAGGCGGGACGTAAATAGAGTTGCTGGTAGAGGCGGGACGTAAACAGAGTTGCTGGTAGAGGCGGGACGTAAACAGAGTTGCTGGTAGAGGCGGGACGTAAACAGAGTTGCTGGTAGAGGTGGGACGTAAACAGAGTTGCTGGTAGAGGTGGGACGTAAACAGAGTTGCTGGTAGAGGCGCGGGACGTAAACAGAGTTGAGGAATTCCAAGAGTTTTTGCACCGGTATACGATTGATGTAACCCTTGACAAACCAGGGAGAACTGTTGAAACAATTTTCTGGTGCAGGAAGAACCAAGTAGAGCGCAACGTTCGGGCGGAGAGGCGTACTACCACAACCTCTGCTTCAGGGCCGTCAACCAGAGCATCGGGCGAGCTATTCGGCACAGGTAGATAACCAATCTACTTTACTTCTGTACAGGTAGAGAACGGGTCTACTCTACCTCTGTACAGGTAGAGAACGTGTCTACTCTACCTCTGTACAGGTAGATAACATGTCAACTCTACCTCTGTACAGGTAAAGAACGTATCTACTCTACCTCTGTACAGGCAGAGTTAAGAACGCAGCTACTCTACCTCTGTACAGGTAGAGAACGCAGCTAATCTACCTCTGTACAGGTAGAGAACGTGTCATCTCTACCTCTGTACAGGTAGAGAACGTCCACTCTACCTCTACACAGGTAGAGGACTTTTCTTAGTTGTCTACTCCACCTCTACACGGGTAAAGCATGTGCTACTCTACCTCGACACATTTTTAATTAGAGTAGAATTAATATTTTCCTGTCAGTTTAGAAGTTTTCAGAACATTTCAAATCGCCATGAAGTTCTTTGCTAATTTGCTAATGCATTCTTAAAGTTAAAAATTCTTCATGTACGCAGTTAGGATATTGAGTTTCGCTAGACGTCGAAGCTTGTTAGAGGAGCGATTTATATTGGTTGATGCATCTGTTAAATCGTTTGCTTGGCTCTTCATAAATCATAATACATTTTTAATTGCAGAACTGACAACAAATAGTCAGATTAATGTGTACGGCCGCTTACGATTGGCATGGTTTCAAATGCAGAAACAAATGTGAGTCGATACTAGAAAAATAAACTTTTTTTTTTAAGGCAAGATTACGCTTGTATGTTGCTTCTGGACCAGCGATACTCGAGACAGTCGACGGTGTCTGCACTGCCGGACTGGATCTCTCGTTCACTGCTTCGTGCGGACAAATATCCAAGCGCTCATGCCGCTGTAGCTAAAGTAAGTAAAAGACGCTTATTCGTTAAGAAAAACTCTTAAAATAATCACAATTTAAAGTAATAATTAAAATACGCTTTCATTATGTTAGAATCAACGCAATTGCATTTCGTATTCCTCCTCAGTCTATTCTTTCCATCAATAGGTATGTTGAGTCACACCTGGGCCTATACTTTCAAAAAATTTAAGAGATCGTAAGTTCATCCGCCAACCCAACAATAATAGACAAGTAAATAGAGCGTAAGTACTTACGTTCACTTGGCGAGTTTTGAAAGTATGGGCCCTGGAGTGTAATTTATCATATAACCTAGCAACAATTACTTAAATGTCATTCTGTTTACGGAAATAATAATGAAAATGAAATGAAAAATAAGTAGAGGAGTGCAATAATACAATATTAATGTGAATGGCTTCGTACGCGCAGTTCTTCGCACATCATAAGCAGAAGCAGCAGCGGTAAAGCGACGACGGGGCGAGTGAAATGATTTGCAATATCTGTGATACTAACTGAGATCTGAAAAAAGTAAGGAAATGAAAGAAAGTAGAGTAGAAATTGAAGTTGTATATAATAGCATTTAGTAGTGAAGTTATACAAATTCAATCGTTCATAAGAGAGTATCTAAACAAGCATTTAAGGTTTAATGGAATGTTCGCTGCATAGCACCCAATCTGTTACGTGCCTACCTGAACGTTGATCATAACTGTAATAAAGTATCTTTATAATGTAGGTATATAAATAATGTGGTCATTTTGTTACAATAATTAAAATGCAGAGTAATGATATTAAATTTGGCTAAAAATTCTTATCGGGGATCGTAATGAGGAAACTAAAAGAAATTCGGACGCTTCATTGCTTGGTCGTATTGTTTTTGCGATCGAGGCGGAGAAATTTGATCTGATCAATTGTAATAAAATTAGAAAAAATCAAGATCATTTAGTAAATTTAACATTTCACCTTACGCAAGTCGTGATAGAAATTCTAAATTGAATACATATGTAAAGCCTATCATAAATCAATCAACGTCTTAGTGTTAAGCTTCTATGTGTATAAGTACCCATTACAATGTAATTAAGTTTATAATAAACTGAGCAGTAAATACTTGCAGGTTTTGTTCCGAATTGTAAGCCATGCGAGAAAAATCTGTAAAAAATTACTAATGCTATCGTCATTCGAACCTCAATGGTGAATGGAATAGAAATGTTTATGTAATATTTAGTATTCACTATAATCATCGACCTGAATCAGTGTTACATTGTTCAAGATTGGCATAGCAAAAAATTTCAACATAGAAACCTTACGCCAATAAGAAGTGAGGCGCTTCAAGACAAATTTTGGGAGTAGAGTCAATCATGTTGATGAATTATTTTTCCATAAGAATAGGCAAGTCCCTTCAATCGTCTCTTTACTTACATGAAATGAAGCCCACTCTATGAAACTAAAAAACAGACAGAAATATAGATATTTCTAATGCAGAAAATACACTCAACATTGTAGCACAACATAATCCTAACTAACTCGCACAATTTTCATTGAAAAGACGGCTAAATGAATTAATTAAATTGTTGATAACAAATGCAACTCTTCACTCATCGGCAAGAATGTGTGGCAGTGACGAGGGTTTGGAAGCTCAAGCTTGGGATACTTCAATTATATTCTTCATTGGAATAGTAGAACATATTCAACACTCATGTGAGCCGTATGTTACTAATAGTATGAATGCCAGAAGATATGTCGGTTGGCGTAGCAAGAACATATTCATCCGAATCCTCGTGAACTGCAGTAGGGAAGGCTCTGTTTATGCCCTAATGAAATCTAAACATACAAACTATGAAATATTTCATGTCAAGAACTGCATGAACAACGACTGCGAATTTATATAATGGTTGTTGCCGTAAAAGATCACCAGGCAGAGACTAACGTGCCTTGTCACTAAATTTTCTTGTATAGATACCTTCCTGGCGCTGCCACAGAGTACCATAACCAAGATAAATACTATTAACGATATTTTGTTTTTGGTCGCCTACGAAGAAAAATCAATTATTCCGTGCTAAATTAACAGAAGAATTTACTCTTAACGCTACTGTCTTAGTTTAAAAGAAAATCTGCCTTGCAATGTTGAGAGCGCACGAAGTTGCTAAACTAAAACTTGACTTCTCACCAAACGTCACTTCATCGCCTTTCATGCCGTCAAGCTTGTGTCTCGCCACTCGTTCATCAATAACTTGATCACAGCGAATGCCTATGTTCTGTATATTAAAATAACATCGCAATAAATAAAGATACAAGTCTATGCACATTAGAAGAGCGTCAAACTTTGCATGCAAATAGAATAATTAGCTATGATTTCTCATACTAATTGACAAGTAAAAATATATCCATGGAAGATTAAGAATGATTTTAATGCTAGCGTCTGTGTGTCGAATTGTTTGCCAAAGGGAAAATATAATAAACCGCGAATTCCAAGAGTAGCAATAATGCCAAAGCGTGAGATCAGAATAAATACAATGCCGATAATAAGAAAATTAAAAATTGGGTGGCAAATTATTTGAGCATGCTCTATCTACACATACCGTAATCGATTGTGTCAAAAAATAACAAATGCCAACAAATTTCAAGAAAATGGCAGTAGTACTAATAGAATATAGTCATTATTCAAAAGAAGTCCAAGGTGGCTTCTGTTGCTTTGTCGATTGAGTGGATGTTGACGATGTGACGGGTTCAGCAACTAAGCTTTTATTAAGTTTCATTTGCGCGAAAGACTCGCTAAAAGAACCCAACATTTTGGGTTCGATGACATTATTGTTGTTGGCAGCGAGCTGATCACCCGTTTTGATCATAGTGCTAGCAAAGGCTGCAGCAAAATTCGGTTTTCCGACGTTAGAATTGGCTGACATAGATTGAGAATTGAGCTCAGATACTGTCGATGCATCGCGAGCTCCCGAAGTTTGTATACTCGTGGCCAGATCATGGGCGTTGTAAAGTGGGTTAGCTTGCGCTGTGGGAGGCGCCGTACTCGTGCTCTGGAAGCGGGTATGGAACGGAACAAAACGCGGATCGTCGAACGCCGACAAATTCTTAGAACTGCTCCCAACAGGAGCTGCAGGAGGAAGAGGGGAAGACGAATTATTCTTTTGAGGTGTTCGGTTGAGTTGATTAGCCAGATGGTTTTGTAGGGCAGCTGGTAACGAGGCCATTGTTTGTGAAGGAATGTGGTGACCCGAACGCTGTTGGCCTCCCAAAGACCCTGTAAAAAATCCATGGCATTAATTTGAGAACATAATTTTAAGGGGACTAAATTGAAAAATTCTATGTATGACCTTAAGTCGAGAATATAATTTTAACGAGACTAAATTTAAAGTGCCAACAAGCCGAAACGAAGGCTTTCCGTAATTCCTTCAATGATACAATAAGACAGCATAGAATAATATAGCATTGGTTAACCGAGAGTTAAAAAAAGAGCCAAGTAAATTCACCATACCATCATCGTAGTGATGACTTGAACCAAATGATGATTAATAGAGATGACTATAATTATAAAAGTTGATTAATTTGCATTGAAATTGAATTTATGCTGCATAAAATAAAATTCAACAGATGTTATGGACGCGACCCACAAGTTTTTTCTTTCAAGCCTAAATTTGTATACAGAACTTTGGAAAAATGTGACGTGGCTTGAGACCGGTACAAGCATGCAGTACCTACATGCGTCGAAACTAATTAAGATGATCGAGAAACGCTCGAAGTTGACGCATTGTCAGAACAATATAAATTTTTTAAAATCAAGAAGAAAGGAGGAACATCATGCGTTCAGCTATTACTATGAAGAGGTAGCGTTCATCATGTCACGATGGTGCTAATGTTGAGGTCTCAAAAAGATGCAAGGAAATGAAATATAAGAGATTAATTTCCAGAACGCACTGATTTACGGAAGAAATTTGATTCGAGTCAAATTTATAAAATGTTGCTGAAAAGAACGAAAGAACCATAATTCAGGAACGTCAGCAGGCCCAAAAAAATCAGCAAAAAAGTTCGTAGATATGAACCTTTAATTTAAAAACCAAGCGGAAAAATGTAACGGTAATAGTGACGTATATTGAGATGTGTAGGATAGAGATCGGCCTATAGCACGCGCACCTCGCATTTTTTACCTCGAATTAGAGACAGAGTTTTAAAAATCGCGAAAAAGTCTTCCTCACCCAAAAAAATCACATTAGTTTACAGTTATATTTTCAGACTATTTGGATCTGGTAACTTTTTTATTCAAATTCACATCTGATTACAATCGCGAGAGCTCAAAACATTTCAAGAAAATTAATAGACAACAAATTTTCCCAACATCATAAGATTCATATCACAAGAACAAGGTAAACTAATCGAAGTGGAGTCATGCATCATGAAAATTCTAAAATTCCTCTAGATCCACAGTAAAAACAATACAATTCTGGTTGGACGAACATGGAGCACAGACATCGCAATGCGAGATCCTAAGAGGGGTTTCCCAAGTCCGTAACCCTCCTTCGAGATTATGTGAATAACTCACGAATGTCGTCATAAGAAGTAGGCGATCATTCAAGTTCACAATTATCAGTTGGAGTTCAATTGTCATGCAGAAATAATGAAGACTGAGAAGACAACCATAACAAAGATGTTTGATCCGCGGACGCATGCACATTTGCTCTTAGATTTGATCGAAAACACCCGTTGGAAGAACAACAAACAGACGACAGCACAAAATTCAAAATGTAGACCCGCCGAATATAAGTTATAGATACCCAGACCTGCATACCTCGCCACAACGACGTCCAGAAGCAAGATTTGAAACCAAACCAGAACGAAGTACGGTATCGGCAGATTTGGAAGCCTTCCTTTTTTGGCGTAGAAGAATGTACAAAAATTCAGGCCTTCAAATTTCGACATGGATGTGTAGGATAACCTTGGTAAATATATTTTTCAATTTGCTCGAGGTAGATCTGATGGCCACAGGAGAAAAGTATGACGAATTCGGCATTGGAATATAAATAAAAATCCAGCATCAGTGCACGAGAAACGACAAATGGGAAAGACTACCCTGAAAGTTTACCAGTTTTAGTAGAATCAAGTAGATTAGAAAATAAATTGATCAAGTCAGGAAAATTCAAAAACTGCGGCTAAAATTTTCAAATAACCCAGGATGCGACATGGTACAACAAGCGAATAAATAAAAAAAATCAAATCAGAGAGAGAAGAGTGATAAATACGGGTTATGCAAGATATTATTAGTTCGAACGTATTTGCCAGATAAATCATTGTGTTGCCCAACACGACCGCTATTCCATGTAATGATAGTGAAACATTCGTCACTAAACTGTGCAGCCTCACGATTTTGTCTCGACTGGAGCAGCTCTCATCAAATATAATCTTCCGCATCTGGAAATTTAAGTTTTCTTTAAAATTTGTTTTTGAGAGATACCAAGGTAAATCATAATTTACTCAAGTTATGAAGAAGTATGAGTAAGAAAAACACTCATTTGCTGACGTTGTGGAAATAAGTTGTTGACGTTGTTCATCAGTTAAATTGGTCGATAAGAAAATATTAAGTTGCTAAAAATTCACTTGTAAACCCCTAAACATAAATACCAGACTGTTGCGCCATTAAAAAATATACCTGCCGAACGTTGCTCGGTAAATCTGTTGTTATTGCTCGACAAATAAATATAAATGATACTAATTGTTCATAATAATTCTCGATTTCCGGTCGCCCTAAAGCACCTTATAGAAAATTACCTGAAGCCCGAGATATCGGTGCGGGAACTAAGTACTAAGACGTGCAGGAAATTTCTGCTTTATAAGTATCGATTTCAGCGCATTTGAGCAACTAAGCCTGCATGAAGTAGAAATTGCCGTGCAATGGTTAAATGGTTAGCAGGAAGCTGGGGTTTACTCCCAATAAATTAGTTAGTTGCAGAAGGAACCCAAGCTCAAGGTACAGCGCCAATTAAACGTCTTATATAAAAATCTCGGTAATTTCAGGAATGCACCAGAAAAGATGGCAGGAGGCATTACCAGACGAAGGTCTGCGGGCGGGGGATGGCAGCAGAGGAAGCGGCGTGGGGGGAGGGATACCTAAAGGCTGGTCGCTGGTGCCTCGACACGTCGACAACGTGTCCGTAGCTGTCGCCGTACAAACAGAAGAAGGAGAAGCAGAAGACGTACAGGAGAAGTCAGGGAGAGAAGAGGAGGTTGTGGAAGTGGGAGAGAGAAGTTCCACCGTTGGGCTCTTGATGTCATGGAGGGAGGAACTGAATGGGACGTAAGGCTGGTACACCGAGGATGAGGAAGACGACGAACTTGACGCCTCCAAGAGACGTGACGCCGTGGGGAGAGAATGCAGGAAAGAGGGCACTGGATGAGGGGCGTCTGGACGTGGGGGAGGACGGGGTGGTGGGAGGAGGTTGAGGTCTGGGGGAGGAGCAGTAGAGGGTACAGGGGGAGCCACACTCTTACTCATGAGGGGGTCGAACTCTTCCTCCAGAGGAGACCCGAGGAGGATCAGGTCGCGGTCCTGAGGGAGACAAAATAAAGTCAGTGTCTCGTTTGATCAGATGAGCTGTAAATTAAAGAACATCTAAGAAAAAAATGTAAAAAGCTCTTGCCTTTAAATATGGTCCAGGAAGTAACATGTAAATAATAACTAGTGAAATTGAATCATATCACGCACACACCAAAGAAAGCGAATGTTCAAGTAGAGAGTGATAAAATTCAGTAACTGAGTCAAGCGTCAAACTTGATTTTTAGAACACGAATTTTAGAAGCGCTGGTGGTAGGGTTGTTAGAAAAACACGATAGGCATCTGATATAAAACGTTTTAGAAATGAATGCTTTGCTGCGTTAAAATGAAGGAATATCACAAATATCAAAATAGAAAATAAAATAAGTGTGCGATCGCAGTATTTTAGTGTTCTGATGCTGTATCAGTGAGGTTCGTTCAACAACAGAAAAGCATAAAAGAAAAAAAAGTCGATTAAAAATCGACTAAAGATCTAATGATCAATTAGCTCAAAATTAATTTTAAATTATTGATTGAGACTAGACATTCAAGTTCATTTTTTTATTGTTTAGGACAAGACATTCAATTTCTTTTTCTGTCACGTTGATTGCTTTGACTACAGATTTTAGTATTTTGCTTCAATGGATGAACTAGACATGCCAGTGCCGCTACATTATAAAACTACAAGCAAGACATTATTCAGGAATTTCTTATCATTTCGTTCAGAAAACCTACATTCCTTACGAGAATTAAAAACTGAATAATTTTTTCAGCGAGAAACAATGTGAGGATGAATAAAAAATAAAGAATTTAAAGGTTCTAAAAAGCGAGATAAGGAACACCAGTGAACGCAAGAAGCAGTCACAGAGCCATGTTAATGAGTAATACAAATACTGCAGAGAAGCGTCCAGTATTTCATACAAAGACTATATACACATCGGAAACAATTTAGAAATATAAATTAATAATGGATAAACATACTTACGTAAGATATATTCTAAATTGTTAGCCAAGTAATGATTGTTTAACGGCTGTAAGTCGTAAAAGCAAGCGAAAAAAGCAAATTCCTAGTTTATAGTTATTTAAATTAAAATAATAGGCACTGTAAAGTGATGAAGTCAAGCACAAACGTGGTCGGTTAGTTGACGCGCTCTAGCCTCGTTATTGCGAGATACACCCACTACTTATGAAGCAATAACGCAGACAAGTTAGTTGTGCGGGAACCATGGAGATTATATAACACGCTAAGTACTACTATGCACGCAATAAGAAACAAGCAAAACGAAAACCCCCATACTAAACACAAGAAAATAAGTATATTACTAAGTACTATAAGTAGTACGATAAGTACTATTGTGTAGCACGTGTTAGTATCGAGGCGAGTAACGTTACTACAATGTTCTGTGCAAGTGGATTAACTTGTACTATTCTGTACAGCAGTGCCAGCACATTACAATAAACTCGGCAGGCTAAGCGACATCACGTCTATGAGAGTTGCTTACCACATTTTGTTATGCGTGTTAAAATTGAACAGAGATTCAAACAAAGCTTATTAATTAGCAAAGTAGCATTGAACGATACAAATATTTACAAAATGAATTAAATTTCAGATAAAGCCCAACACTAACAGTAACTGAAATTTTTTAAACGAAGCAGTACACATGTTAAAACATATAAAATAAAAGTCAAAAGGGAAATAAATAGAGAGGGGTGCTTTAAAATTGTATTTAAAATAACTCATGCTTAACATAGAGTTTAAAAATATAATTCTAACAAAATGAAGTTATAAGAAATATAAGAAATTTACTCTCGATTCCGCATCAAGAATTGAGTGATGGAAACTGGAAAATAGTTTGAGTCTGGTTTGTGAAATAAAGTGTAAAGCCCCAAACCCTAATTTGCCAAAAGAAAATCCTATTCAGATGGTAATCATTCGTCAGAATACCAATAGAAATAAAAAGACGTTTAAAGCAAGTCACCGAACGAGCCAGAAAAGGAACTACTATGAGCCGCCACGCTCGAAAGCAGCAAGCAGATCTGACGAGAACGACTCTGGCCGCTACACGAGATAATGACTGAAGATAAAGGTGATGGAGGGACCCTACCTCTGATAGCCTGCCGAAAACGCCCATGGGAGAATCCAGCGAAGAAGTCCGGGGAGGGGCACAAGGGGCCTTCAGCACGGAGGGGTTAGAGCACTTGGTTTCGCTACGAGGGATTTCAGAGGGAAAAAGACTTGAGGTACGGTTAGGCAGCAAGGGAAATGGCTCGTTTGAACGCTTTGGCGCAGTCAAAGAATGAGGCAAGCTAGTGAAAGAATCAAGATTGTTAGTTGTACTCTTACGAGTGGCGACTGTGGAACTGAGGAGAGGGCAGTGAGGAGAATATGAGGGTAAGCCTTGAGACGAGTTTGCCGCTCCATAGTTAGAGGGCAAGGAGTTTATATCAGAGAGGCCTGGAGGCAGGCTCATGGTCATGATGTCCGGCGCCTTGGAGTCGGTTCTTACCCCGTCCCTGGTTGTCTCGAAGTAGCGCCCACGATACGGGCCCAGTCGGAAGGTTGTCGCCCCATGATGTTGAAACGAGGAGTTTCTAAGGGAGTGATGAAGCTCGGGACAAGTGTCACTAGCTTCCAAGTTGTCGTTGTCAATGTGCGCAAGACTTCCGCCCCTGGATCGACTGAGGGTCGAGTAAAAATACTCACTGTTGTTGCCGCGAGAGGTGAAGGCCGCTAGAGAGTCGGAAAAAGCGCGACTGGCATCATATTTAGGGATATCCTTAAGTCTACCAAGCGTTGAATAGCAGTGCGACACTTCAGTGCTAGTGGCACCCACGCTAGTGACACTCTTCACACCACGCGGACGGTACACAGAACATGGAGAGTTGAACGACACACTTCTGTCTAGGTAATGCGATGCCTTTGGGGTGATGGCTCTTACTTGTTCGCTATTGGGGGCCTTGGTGATACCGATTTCTGTCCCGGCATTCGACGGTCCCGAAACGCCGACTCGATTAATTTTCTGTTCAGCCGACATGGCAATATTGCTGCCCACCGTATTTGACGATGTCAGGTTTTCATGCCTCTTAAGAACTTCAGGCAGGAGGATGTCGTCGGTTTTTGCAGCATTGGTTTGATTAACAAGTGTTCGCTGACAACCGGTTTTTCTGGTGAACGATGATGAGTCTTGAACATGCTTAGGGTAAAGCATTCGTGTTTTAAAATCATCCGCGGTACCATACAAGCTGACCACGTCTCGATCGCGAGGCACCGTAGGTTGGCTGGCATCAGCCGAGGATCGCGCTGTGATTCCGAGAGAATTATATACTCGTCCTGTAGTATTGCTACCAGTGTTTTGGGACGTCCCGAAAGCACTTCTCTGGGCCTTACCATTAGTAGGGGAGTCTGAACTGCAAAGAGATCGAGGTAAGGTGTTGTACTGCAACTGGCCTCCGCCTAGCTGCTTTGGCGAGCGGTAGTAGTGGCGGTGGAAGCGCTCCCGTTCCTCGGAGTTCGTTAATTCGTGATCTTGGTTGAGTCGATGTTTGTGAGGAAGCGTTTGGGATGCGATGGGCAGTATTTGGCAGGTGATGGGAGGAGGAAGCTCGATATCGAGACTCACGTCGATTGAGATGAGTGACGTGAGGCTTGCACTTGTTGCCTGAAGCCCCGCGAAGCACAAACAAGCAAACAAACATCACATTTTAGGCGACATGACAATGAATCATTTGTTAATTATTATTTTACCGTGGTAAAGACGTAAAGTAAAGCATAAGCGTCGAGTTGACACTAACAAAAATATGGAGCTGCAATAATGAACCGCAATTGTTTTTAGTGATTTCAACATTAATGAATAAATCTAGAGGTTAAATAAAAAAATTGCACACTAACATTGATGGACGCGGATACATAGAACACAAATTAATCTGACGTTTTTAATATTCTAGATATAATGAATTATAAGTAAACGATCGAACAAAAACGAAATTATCATTATAAACAATTACGCCAATGATCGAATTTTTTTATACATCAGGATGATGAGAGTGCACGTAAAACTTATTAGTGAAGGTCAGTTCACTGCTTGACAAATGTGGTCACATGGCAACGACGGCAAATGATTAGAAATAGAAGTCTTCTACGGTCAGTATGATTGCTAAGAGATTTAAGTCGTAAAAGCTTCATGAATAATTATTTGGTTCTGCATTCAAGCAAAAAAATATTATCTTTTACAATACAGCATAACAATTAATAAGTACACCGTGTCATAGGCGTTTTCAATTTAATCTTTAAATTAGGTCAAATTAAAAAAATGTAAAACGAAATTTACGGAAATGCTGCGATCAATTGTGTGTGAAATTCGACTTCAAATATTGAAAATATAATAAATTTTACGAGACACTACGGAAATGTTTTTGATAAAGGAAAATAGTCATTAATTTTTGTCTACAATTAGATATTATTTGACTGTTGCACACTACAATTGCAATTGTTTAGTTAGAGATGCATAGCTTTGCGTCTGAATAATTCATAATAGCTATCACGTAATTCACTCCCATTCTAACTCGGAATTTAACGCTAAAACCTGTGAAGCTGATGGGATACACCAGCTAGAACCGTTATGTCTGCTTCAGATATCAATGAGATTATATTTTAACAATCGGTTGAGTTCCCATCGCATAGATCATAACCGTCGAGTGGATGACTCAAAATATGTAGCAGAAGAAACCAAATCTTCTTCACTTACCTCGCACAACTATTTGCACTGCATATCTGCGTCAGTTCTACGCAGCGAAACTAAATCAATTTTCCGTATATTCGTTCCAAAATTATTGAGCGCTACAATACCCCTAAATGGAGAACACTTTGATAAACGAAGTATTTCAGCTGTGCTTCTTGAATATGCACTTCAATATGATCGGTACGCCCGAACCAACGAAACGTTCGATTGTCGAGTAAATTTCTCGTAAGAGAACATTTCAAAAGAGTTAGTGTGAAGCATTTTGTGAAGCAGTATTATTAGCAAGCAAGAGGGATAGTCTAAACACAGCGTTTATAACGTCGGTTCGTTGCAGTGTTCCACTAGGATGACTCTTGCATGCCATGGCATGATAAGAATAACACGATTGCTAGTTATAAATAACTTCAAAGCACTATTAAAGGCTGATAGTTGACGGAAATGTGAACAGAAAGATGTGTTATGAACACGTAATGCCAACCTCAGAGCGCGGTAATTTAAATAATGACGGCGTGATCAAAGTGATTAGTTTTTGCTTGATTTGTATGTCTGAAAACCTGCATGTACACCCAACACATGCGCGCTCAACTATGATAACTTCATTTATACGTACGCGAGAAATAAAAAAGCGTCGTTCCAGTCCACAAGCGGTGAAAATATTAAGAAGTGAATATAAATGGAAATGTAGGATGCTAAATTGTGGCAGCTTCTAGATTTCAGTATAATTTTCTGTGTCTTTAATTTTACGGAATAATCCGACAATACTTGAATACTTCTTACAATTTCATTTTTATAAATTCTAACCACGATGAGTAAGCAACATACACACGTGTACGCTTTGGCCTGGACCGAAAATAAGCAACGGAAAATCTAACGCCAGAGTCAGAGAACCTCGGCGCCTAGAAAGCTAACCACTGACAACGCGCGTAGAAACTGAAGCGGTCACTTGAACTGCAGTAAGCGACCCGACCAAACCGGCACATTAAATGTATGAGGCAAAAAGGCATCGTGGACACGAAGACTAAAACAAGTTGGCAGCATTCTTAGAATAATTTGGAATAAGCATACGGTTCAAGCACTCCGATACAAATACAGATTAAGCTTACAGCATAGAAGGCGCGCAGCACTAAGCACTATCGCGAGGCACAGCTGTGTCACATCTCCAAACTTTAGCTGTGCTCGGAATTAAATTTCCGAGACTTGAAATAAATGGCGAGCCACAAACGATGATCTCACCTCATTTTTCACACAAAGCCAGACTGATAAGGCGTGTCAATAATTTGCCGCTCTATTATATGTAATAAGTAGTAGGGGAGAGGTTTCTAGCGCTTCAGATATTATTTGTAATAAACCTAGCAGCAAATAAGCAATGGCTAAATATTTATGTTGCATTTCCAGCCCATAGCAGCATGAAGGCGTTGCGAGCAATGCAGTAGTGACCACTCACCCCCCTATACACGAGACCGCTGAATACCGGCGACGGGAACCACGGAAGCGACAGACTCAGCCGCTCATGCTGTGTGGACAACACTACGAGCGTCAGGCCATTGTTAGTGTATTATACAGACAGCTTAACACCCGAGTTTTATAGTCAGTCAGAGTTGAGGATCCAGTTAACATGAATCTATTCACCCCGTCAATATATATGAACTCGAGAATGTAGATAGGAAGTGTTAATAACCACAGTTGACCATAATTCATCTTTATTTACTAAATAAGGAGTTATTCAGGTTAACGAATGTTATGAGTGACATTTCTCATTGTCGTCGTTACATCTCGTTCTCATGGTAAATGATTGAGTACGAGCTGACGACGGATGATGTCTATAGCATTGGTTTCGCAACGATTTAGTCAAACGTAAATCTAAGGCCTTAGTTTTTTTTTAATATTTAATCATCAGCAGCGCGGTGAACCGCAGAATTGAAAAGCAAATATAAAGCCTTTGAATGATAATAACCTAAACTGTGCTAATTATCCCAATATAAACAAAATACTTGTCAAAGAAAAACAAGCCCAAGTGTTATTACAAAAATCCAATTAAAATCGAACGAAAAGTTTCCCAGGCAAATTATTTTCCACAAACCATAAGGACAAAGTCCCTGCATTAGGAGCCTGGCAGAGGCGCTCACCTTCGTAACCACGAGCCCCTGTGAGGTGGGCGACTCTTTGTCGTGCCCCCGCGTGCTGCCCAGTGTGGTGTGGGCACGGGCAGCGGGCACTGGTGGCGGGATGACGGTGGGTATGGGTGGCGGTAGGACGGTGGGACGAGTCACACTCCGCCGCCTACTGCCATTTAGGATGGCGGGTTGCCCGCCAGTCGTAGAGGTGGTGTTGGTGGTGGAAGTGGAGGAGGAAAATGGAGTGGAGAGAGAAGGCCGGCTGGAGAGAGCACTAGGCTCCGACAAGCGGCACAGAAGCTCCTGCTCCAATTCGCCTGGAACAGCACACCAAATTTCAATTTAAAATCTAATATGGGTTAACAATAAAACCATGTTCAGTTTCGAAAAACTTGATTCATCACTACAAATATCATATTAGTCATCCTATGGCAAAAATAACTAAAAACTTTCGTCAAGCTGGTCGAATGTTTTAGTGGTATAACGTGAACGTTAAATATGCGATGGTTGCAACGGTTGAGTACGGAGAGTAGCAGACGTATGGTCCTTGAGTCATAACATGTATAAATACATTTCAATTTGTTCACGGAACGGAAATACTACGAAATTAATCGTTTTCACGGTAATTGGATCAATTAATTACAAACTATTAAAATTATCATCGCAACGCTTGGATAACCATTCTTCAAACGATTTGATAAAGGCAAGAAAAACGTCCTCAGAAGTGAAGAAACTTGTTTGGGTCAAAGGATTCAACAGAAATCAAAGCATACCTAAGAGCAAAAATTACCTAATAATGGCTGAAAATAAATAAAATTATTATGTAATAAATGGAAAATTGGGAGATGAAAGACGAGAAAGAAAAGAGATGAAATAAATAGAAAAATGAAGGAAACGTGGACGAGAAGACGAAGAAAAAATAGCGGAGAAAAGTTGCAATGCGAAAATGAAGAAACGAGGGAAAACAAAAATAAGCAAAATAGAGACACAAATGAAAATAAGCAAGAAAAGAGATAGGCAAATAAAGCGCTGGAAAGTGGACGAGTTATGCACGGACCGACGAGGTCGATGGAGTGCGGGGCGGGCGTGTGGCCCGGGGAGTCCGGGGACCTGAAGGAGGAGGAAGACCTGCTGGAGGGAACACCGTCCTGGTCACTGCAAGGGCACACTTCGTTAAAAATACACACAACTCATGGTAATCATTACCAAGATTTAGTTCACTAATGAATGCTTCTCTAACACCTAAATGCTGGAGGGAACACCGTCCTGGTCACTGCCGGGGAAAAGTTCATTAAAAATACACACAACTCATTGAAATCATTACCAAGATTTATTTCACTAATAAATGCGTCTCTAAGACATAAAATAAAAATTATTTACCCTATGGAGACGTTACTTCGTCGATGGCAGAGAATGTTACATAGGAAAATAGTAAACTATGCTTAACCGTAGGTACATTTGAATAAAGTGGTAAGATTATTTATGACGACACACAACGCTTGAGTTCATACAAAAATATTTACAATAAATTTTGCCTTCTATTACTACTGAGACAGTAATCTACTACTACTGAGGCAGTAATATACTACTACTTAGGCAGTAATCTACTACTACTTAGGCAGTAATTTACTACTACTTAGGCAGTAATTTACTACTACTTAGGCAGTAATTTACTACTACTTAGGCAGTAATTTACTACTACTTAGGCAGTAATTTACTACTACTTAGGCAGTAATTTACTACTACTTAGGCAGTAATTTACTACTACTTAGGCAGTAATTTACTACTACTTAGGCAGTAATTTACTACTACTTAGGCAGTAATTTACTACTACTTAGGCAGTAATTTACTACTACTTAGGCAGTAATTTACTACTACTTAGGCAGTAATTTACTACTACTTAGGCAGTAATTTACTACTACTTAGGCAGTAATTTACTACTACTTAGGCAGTAATTTACTACTACTTAGGCAGTAATTTACTACTACTTAGGCAGTAATTTACTACTACTTAGGCAGTAATTTACTACTACTTAGGCAGTAATTTACTACTACTTAGGCAGTAATTTACTACTACTTAGGCAGTAATTTACTACTACTTAGGCAGTAATTTACTACTACTTAGGCAGTAATTTACTACTACTTAGGCAGTAATTTACTACTACTTAGGCAGTAATTTACTACTACTTAGGCAGTAATTTACTACTACTTAGGCAGTAATTTACTACTACTTAGGCAGTAATTTACTACTACTTAGGCAGTAATTTACTACTACTTAGGCAGTAATTTACTACTACTTAGGCAGTAATTTACTACTACTTAGGCAGTAATTTACTACTACTTAGGCAGTAATCTACTACTACTTAGGCAGCAATCTACTACTACTTAGGCAGCAATCTACTACTACTTAGGCAGCAATCAACTACTACTTAGGCAGCAATCTACTACTACTTAGGCAATAATTTACTACTACTTGGGCAGTAAACTACTATCTAAAGATGCTAAGACAACGCACCTCGGTGCACGGTTGTTCGGAAGAGGTCGCTTATAAGTAACTTTAGAGGTAACTTCCATGTTGGGGCGGTTGGTGGGCAGCCGAGATGGTGGTGACGGAGGTGGCGAGTGTTCAGGCAAATCTGTAATGGAATTTAACCATGAAATCTGTGGATAATCTTGCAGTGCCCCTGAGTATTGAAGTACGGTACATATTCATTTGTAACAGCACGCTTGCCTCATTGTCATTTTATTAATAAGGCATGAAATGTTTAAGTCCAGTTTTGCAACACGCAAAACCAGGAAAAATGTTAATGGAACGTTGAAATGGGTTTTATCAATTATCTAAATAATAATGCTAAAGAACTAAATCAATGGGTGACACTTAGGAACTTGAGACTGATGCAGAAGGCAACAATACTTATGCCGGAGGAAACATTCAACACCAATTCTTACAGCAAACAATTAAAATGGTAATGCAGATGCGCTCCACCCAAAAGTCCACTAAACTCTCTCTCTGAAGTCCACTAAAATTCAGTGGACTAAACGCTTCGCTAAAAAGTCCGCAGAATTTTCAGTGAATATAAGCGTAGCACTAACCAGGTGCACTCCAGACGATGTGTTCAGGAGAGCGTCCAGCAGGCAGCTTCATCTTGCCTTTAATTTCCTTGTATTTCTCAGCGCCGCGCTCCCGTACCTGCTTGCTGCTCTTGCTTACCTGACAGGTTAAGTCATTCTGTTATATTATTAGGTCAAGGTTTTATTTTATATACACATGTTACATTCAGTATTTGTTTTGTGGTTAGATCTTCATTCGAAGTTATTTTTTCATACACTGGTGTTCTCATATAAATAAACAAGTTTTCAATTTATTTTTCATTTGAATAATCGAGAATAAATATGAATAATTAAGGATAAGACCACATACAAGCATCAATAAGCATGGGCTTTCATCTGAAACCTTGGCTATACTCGTGTTAAAAGCCTGCTATTTTAAGATCAATCACAAACACAATAAACAATTCTTATTACATAAAATCTTTACGTAGTGAAATGTACAGTTAACGTACCACTTAATGTACTCTGGGGCAGCATCAGTATAAAACAACATCACTCAGAATATGAAAATTAGATTTTACAGGCCAGGAATGCAAATAAAAATAAGGTTCTAAGTTTTCTTTTACAACAAATCACGTTTTTCATTTATATAGTGATTGTATATCAGTATATATGATTGAAGTGAGTCTGTTCCCATTTTAAAAGACATGACACAATACTAAACTATTTAACAAACCCAAATTTCAGCAAGATAAAACCTGGACGAATTTCTTTTCCTAATAAACAGCCGTCATCACAAAATTACATTAAGATAACCAATTAAAAAGATACCCACATGCAAGTAAAAGAAGAACCTTACAATAGTTTAGCCTAAATACTCACACTCTTGACGGCAGACTTGACCGCAGGGTTGGTCTGCAGTGAAGAGAGACACGTAAGCAAATACGTCTTACATTAACAGGACAAGCTTCTTTACTATCTATTAGCACAACATGCTGACAACAACATGAAATAGACACGACCACATATATATAAGTAACAGGTACAAGAAGCTATTGCACAGTGAAAAAAAAAAGTTTTTTCGATCAATGGAATTTTGAACACTGAACCAGCTCGTAGATAAAATTATCAACTGCTTCCAAACCGATTATGATACAAGCAATCTCAAAGATATATCAAAACCACGAGCATCAATCAGCCAACGCACAAGAACACAAAGCTATTGTTTCATGGACAACACAAGAGGCAGTGCCACGACATAAAATATTTCAGTTGGATTTTACAAGAAACAAGGCCACATTTGAGCAATAGTCACCAAACAGCTTAAGCCCGCGCGCAGACATGAACTTTGAAAGCATGTTTCATTAGTTCGAACAATGATGACAATAGATCACTCTTAAGATCTTCTAGAACACAGAAGCAATGCTTTTTCGTACGAAATAACCGTTTTAAAAGCAGCCACGAATCAATGAGATTAAATAGTATTGAGCAGTCCAATAAATGAGATCCATTAGTATTGAGCAGTGGTTTCCGAACTTTCATCATCCAAAAGGACACGCTCGACATGAAGTAAGATTTTGTGCGAGGTTGACATGGTCAAAATCATGCGAATACTCTGTGACATAGCACAACTCGTACGTTTTTAAAGGCCAAGAAAGATGCTTTGGGTGATTCTAACTGAGGTTAATGTTTAATAATATAGTTTGATGACAAATTTTAGGAAGCATCGATATAATTTGAAAATAATTGCCTAATACAGAAGTAACAAAAATAAATGCACGGTACATTATGCCCCCACAAATAGTTGAATCATCATAAAACAGGAACCGAACCAAACAAAAGTGCAGGAAGTAAAGTAACCTCAATATCATGGTCATCAGGGACAAACGTAAACCAGCTCGTTTTGCTTCCATCACTTCTGCTGCTGCCAATTCCCTTGCTCCCAGAGGTGACAAACATGGACTTTCTTCGATCACTTTGATCAGCATCCAGACCATCGTTACGTCCTCCGTTGTCAGTTTTTGCATCAAGACTTCCAACTGCTACAAGTTTAGATTTATCGCGAGCAGTAGTAGCTTTTCCAGCGACCTCGCCAGTAGAAACACCGTGTGCCTCGTAATTGGGATCAAAGTCTTTCTCGTCATCAACACTGTTATGACCAAAACTGTCATTAGTAGAACTTTTATGACCAACACTTGTTCCTCCGTTGGCAGTCACAGGTTCAGTAGAGCGTTGTTTAGCGGCACGTTGCTCTGCTGCACGTCGCTTGCGCCGCATACTCGCCTTGCTTTTGAAGTTCTTGACGATGGCGCCGCCCTCCTTCTTCACTGCATGTACGAGGTGCTGGTAGTTCTTGCGCGGTCGGTCACTATGCACGCTCACCTCCATCTCGAACTCGTCGCTCTTCGCCTCGCCTTTGTTCACAAGATCCAGCCGCTCCTCGATGAACTGAAACATTTACCGACCATTGCACTTCAAGCTTTCTCACTTATTCACGATGATCGTATTTCTACCTCAACAATAGTTCAAGAGAATTAAATTAAATTACTCGCACCTATAGTAATAGTATATATACTTCAGTCAATGTTTCATAACGATAGATATATTCGAAGTGGAACCATAAAATGAAATTATACTACAAATAAACTATCTTAACATTTTTTCGTATGAAAATTTTAATAAAGAAGCACATGTTTATTGAGATAAGCAGTTGTAGTAATATCATCATGCCTACAACACATACATAACCACGCTGATCATTTCATCACAATAACGGATTTGGCAGTCGAAATACACGAAGAATATATTCAACGTTCCTAGTTGCAAGTACATTTTTCCTACAACTAAAACCAGCCCAAAAATCGTCACCATCAGGCACCAAATAAACTGCGCTGAAACAAGCCGCCATGCAACGGATTTTTTTAATGATAAAATATACAATTGCCACTTTACAGGACAACCGTACCATGGTACTCGATAACTTGCAGCTAACCTGACTAAATATTTGCAGCTCCAGCATTTTGGTCACGAAAACCTGAAGATGCTGCGGCCGACTGGCCACGAATTTATCGGCATTAAAGAATACTTTTCTGTCTTCTTCATTGAACTGCAATGCATCCCGGTAGTTGCCTGCGTATATTGACACTATTAGTAAAATAGAAATAAAAGCCTTTACTGATGCTTAGATGCAAACATTTAAATGTAAATTCTTTTCAAATTTCACGACTAATAATTCAACAGTGAACATACCTATGCAATGAACAAAAAATTAGAGGGTGAATGTAAAACACCAATTAGCATCACAGGCGGATGTAACACGTGACAAAAGGGAGAAAAGTAATAAGATTAGCCTTTGTCTGTTCGTCAATCCACAATTACGGATACAGAAGGTTAGTTAAGTCAGGTGAATGAAAACCTGCTAGTAATTATGCTAAAATAATGACTACTTATTTAAAACTAATATTATCCGAGTTCATCTGAAAACATGACAAATGTTCTTAGCTTTCCAAGCGTCAATATTTCATCCAACGATGAATGAGATAAATTGGCAGTTAATAGGTACAGCTCACCAAGAAAGATTACTGCAATGATATCATCACTACAATGACACCATCACTACAATGATACCATCACTACAATGATACCATCACTACAATGATACCATCACTACAATGATATCATCACTACAATGATATCATCACTACCACAATACCATCACTACAATGATATCATCACTACCACAATACCATCACTACAATGATACCATCACTACAATACCATGCCCCACTACCGCCCTGCCCACCTATTAGCATGACAAGAGCCCTGAGGAAGGCTCTAGGCACGCTGTCTCCCATGCCCTGGCCGGGCTGACTGAGCCTGCGCCGGAGCTGAGAGCAGACTTCGTTGGGCAGCTCAGCGAGGTCGTTGAACGGCGTCCTGATCACGTTCGTGTCTGCGTTGAGATAGACCACGTCGCCTACCTCATCCAGACTCACTTTCTGCACGAGCAAATGTGTTACAAAAAATACCTTTATAAGGACATAATGAAGCTAAACAGAAATACCATAAATTTCACAGCTAAGGCGGAAATTTAATTTGCTGAATATAGAATATAAAAAGACGAGACTCAATAAAAAGTAACAGAACTCACAATAAATAAACGTTACGTTCAAAGAAATCAATAGCAGATGTGCAAAGCTAGTCTCAGTGTCAATATAAACGAAAAAGTATATTGAAGGCTGTTGTTTGAAAAAAAGGCTAAATTTAGATTATAGAGCCCATGACACATGTGAGGATTCACGAGTGAATTTCTGAACCTTATTTGCCCATGTTACTATGTTTCTGCTTCGGGAAAGTATTTTTTCAATTTGTGTTGGGGTTTCAGATGAAGTTTTTTTTTGTTAATTATCAAGTAATTGACAGTAATATAAATAAGAATCCTATCATGAAGAGTTACACCTTTGACCAGGACATCAGGCAAGCGCAGGCAATGTGGCAATAACAGATTTATGCACTTTGAACCTACATCAGATGCTAGCATTTCAGTAGCGGCAAACTTCACTATGCACTTCATATAGCTACATTCAAATTTTTTAATAACTACATTCAAATTTTTAATAAATTCGAATCGAGAGTAACTGAAGCTATGAATATGCAGACCTTCATGAGGACGTCTGGCACGCCGATGAGGAATGGTATGGGCGCAAGGAGGTAGTCTAGCAGCAGCTCTGGCATGATGGGGATGTAGATGTGTTGCCAGGTCATGGGGTACAGCAGAGCGTTGGCGGCCTGAACACAAGCAGACACTCGGTGCAGGTGGCGGGAGGAGATCAGAATCCGGCGCTCAAAGAGTAAACTTGCAAACACGACCATCATCGTCTCGGTGCTCACTGCGTTGATGTATTCCAAGAGATTGCGCTGTGAACATGCATGTGTATGAGCGAGAAATGCTTGGGATGTTCAGTGGATTAATAAGAGTCAAAACAATCAATGGCCTTAGATCTTGTTTTTTTCCATCAGGCAAACCAAATATTCAATTTGAAGCAATGAAGAATAATACTGAAGGTATCATCACAATAATAATTAAATAAGACAACTACAGATGCAAAACGAAAATTGCATTTTAGTCATGAACTTCTAGAAGACCTTCAACGTTCAAGTTCATGTCACCGCAAGTAAATATAAAATTTTAAGCTACTGCAGTGTAGAATATTAGTGAGCAGGTTCTATAAACTCACGTTGTCAGGCAAACTCGGCAGGGAGAGATGGTCCGGGCATTTTGCCACAAACATCTGAAATACATTCAAGTTTAGTTGCTACATCATCTCAATTCTAATGGAATATAAATTTAATTAGAGAACTTACATTATAAGTCATGGAGCTAAAATTAGGTTAGAAAATCATCAGCTTCAACCATGAAAGCAGCCAACATACCGTCAATATCCCTGGCATTTACAAGCCGATCAGTTTGGACCATTTATCATTTCAGAGATACTTCTCTTCAACTTACAGAATAATGTGGATAGATTTACATACCTACTTTACTACAAAAATTCTTATCTAGTGGAAAAATACTGTATTGAAAAAGTATTGATAGTAGTAAATGGAGAATGATAATTTTGATTGATAAATACTATCCGAGTAATAATTCTAGAGAATAATAATTCTAGAGTATCAAAAAAATAAATTGAAAGCTGAGTGCCAATGCCATCTTAAAATAAATACCTATAGATCAACCAGTTTAATTGCATTAACATTACTACTTGTAGATCAAGGGTACATTGTCTCAGCAAGCAGGTGGAGAGCTGCTGTTCAGGCTGGGGTTCAGCTATGTTTTCTAACAATACATGAACTGATGGAATTAATCTTCAGGAATTTTTTTCTTTCCAATGTTATTGGTTCTCTAAATGGTGGCCAGACTGTAGCCTTAGTTAAAGCTGAGAAACATATAATATAGTTTCAATTTGTTTCTTTACTCAGGTTGTGAAAGAAAGACACCGAAATCAGTGTAATATTTGAACCTTTAGATTTAAATATATCAAATGTGAAAAAGATGGTGAGTTTCATGATACTTCAGGGGATTTCAAACTTGCTCAGTTTTCCTGAAATTTATCTTCTTATTTTATTTCCATTGAACTACTATACAGCAATTAATCAGCTGCAATCACAGCCTTGTCAAGCCAGGATTGTGAGCTACTATACAATGATTAAACAGTTGCAATCGCAGCCTTGTCAAGCCATGATTATGAGCTACGATACAATGATTAAACAGTTGCAATCGCAGCCTTGTCAAGCCATGATTATGAGCTACGATACAATGATTAAACAGTTGCAATCACAGCCTTGTCAAGCCATGATTATGAGCTACGATACAATACAGCCTTGTCAAGCCATGATTATGAGCTATGATACAATGATTAAACAGCTGTAATCACAGCCTTGTCAAGCCATGATTATGAGCTATGATACAATGATTAAACAGCTGTAATCACAGCCTTGTCAAGCCAGGCTTTTGAACTATGGTACAATGATTGAAAAGCTGCAATTACAGCCTGGTCAAGCCAGGAATGAGAAATGCCAATCACAGGTTGAAGGCAAGATAATGACAAAGGTATAAATGTCTTGAATATAATCAGGCCCTTAAAGATATGAATACACATGAATTGGATTACCTTATTGGCAGGAGGATAAGAGAAAGCCAAATCTGAGCCTGGCTCAGGTACAGGGGTGTTGTAGAGTGCTTTTAAGAATGACCACACATCCTCAGGATTTTCAGAACTCTGAAGCTCACTACACAAGTTCATGATCCTGAGGTGGAATAATTAGAATAATGAACCAGCATAGTTTGGTTCAAAGGATAAAGTCCAAACTTATAAACAAAGATTACAGAGAGATCAAAATTAGAATAATTGAACATTTTAATATATAGATGGTGAAATATAAACACTTTTCCTACATTAATCCACTGAGTAGCAAGCAGGTGAAACTTCTATTCAGGCATGTATCAAGCAATATGAACATTTTTAATAGAGAAATAGCAGGGAATAGGAAGATAATTTTTAAAGTTTCCTTCCAATTTCAGTAGTCCTATACATGGTGGCCAGGATGTAGACTTAAAGCTGAGAAAAGAGCATAAGTAACCAAATTTAACCAATAAGAACTGGCAAAATTAATAGCTCACTTGTAGAATGTGCTATCCCATGGCAGGAAGGAAAGTATAACTATGGCAGACTGTGCATTAGGAGAGTGTCGGCAAAATCCAAAAGTGAATTTTGAATCCAATGCTGTCAGAACAAATGAAAAGTTCTGCACCACATTCCTGTGAATGAAATGAGAGTAATTATGTTCATTAGCAATTTCATTCTCAATTCATAAAAATAAATATATTCCTATTTAATTCATATCCTGGAATAAAAATGTCAATTCATACAAATGTACACTACATTTTAACTTGAACTTATTATTAAAGACCAGCCAATTTACCTGAGAATGTTTATGCTCTATGTTGCTGAGAAGGCAGGTAACATTAGTCATTACTCATGTTGCTAAGAACTTAAGAAGGAAGGCAGGCTGCTAAGAAGGGAGGTCGAGGTAACATTACTCACGTTTCTATCTTGCAGGGGAAGACAAACTGTGGAACGCTGTTAAGAGTGCTATGGTCATCATAAGTGCTGGGAAATTTCTGTATAATCCAGGGGGGCTGATCAGGCCCTTGCCCAGCCACAACCTCACACCAGCACTCCAGCAATGTGCTGGGTGTAGACCTGCAAATAATTGTTAATAATTAGTGATCAACTTGAGCGTAAAACCATCCAGGGATCCAGCCAAACAAGATTAAAGTAAAAACCAAAAATAAAAATGTTAAAATTATTTATAAACATCTTCAATTTTGAAAATAGCCTAGTCAAACTGACTCAGACAGTCTTAAAATGCTGCAAATAACTATTATCCTCTTGATACCTTTCAATTTTTTTATAGGTATTTATGCTAATTATATTGTACCAGCTTTACCTCATTTCAGAGTTCAAACCTGTCATTAGCTACTATGTGTCATACAACTCTGTCTTGCTTCATGCTTGTAGGTACTCACTAGGTAGTTGTACTACCTAACAACCTAAGTGCTAAGTCCTTGTCCTACCGTCCTAACTATGCCTGTTATGCTGTTAGCAGCCTTTATCACTATTATGAGTGTATGCCAATGCCAGTGCCTGTGCAGTGTGCCACAACCAATTCTATTCTGTGCTCTGTCAGCCTCTGTGTTCACTGTTCAGTAATCAGTATAAATACCTAAGAAATTTCGAATAGGGCTAAACATTGAAATTCTAAATTGCACCTAGGTAGCGTAAAAGTGGTTAAGTTATGTGTCAAGAGAAGAGAGTTTGGTTGAAAAATCATTTGGTACTAACTATTTACATGTTAGTAATAAGTATGTAGGTTTTTGACCCAATAAAAGTAACGAAAGTTAGGTAGTGTTCAAATTAGGAAAGGCTTCCAACATCCAAGAGTCCAAGATCATTTTTAAACATCCAGCTTTTTTCAATTATACATAACATTGGATCTCGTATTAATTCCCATGCCTGAAAACTTACCTAATACGTGATCCCATGATAAAATTACGGCTATCTTCTCAGACATTGCACAAATATCGGTGATGAAATACGAGACCTCATAGTCGTACTTTCTTTATCAACTCCTCGATCCCTGTCCAACAGATGCAGATCGTTCGGTTCTAAAGAGCGGAGTGTGAATTGTAAGCTTTTCGGTGATTGATAACACGGTTTTCCAGTTCAACCATGGGCCAAACATCAATGGACAGGATGCAGAAGCAATATGGTACCAAAACCATTGGTGTGCACCGTGAGTCACAAATTTGACTTCAATTCTCGTCGTCCACAAACAATTTCTATTTATTAGCTTTGGAGTTAAGAAGCCAGAGAAACCTTCAGATTGCGGTTAACATGGTTTTACACCACAGAATGTCTTACATAACAAAACATGAAATGGTGATGGCGGCGCTGAAGAGTAAGCCTGATCGGCCTGTCGCCGATTCTTGTACTTTTCGTAACCTGTTCACAGAATATCTAAAAGCATGTCCTTTGACCGGATCTTTTCGAGACTGCCGATAATTTGAAATAACTACTAGACTTCCACCGGGTTTGTTATGGTGCTAGGCATTTCAAGACTGAACATATATTCTTCCATAACTTTATCTAGTGATTCTAGTCGGTTCTTGAACGCGTTTATACTCGTAGAGCCATCGATGTAATCGGGGGAGGCTGTTCCACTTATTTTATGCCGTACTTGAAGTAAGACATCGGGGGCGCTTGCCGGAGACCAGCTCCACCTAACTTCACCATTTAATCATATTCCTTTCCGTGGCTAAAAACGCTAGAGGGAATAATAACCTATTAAGTCTAGTTCTTGAAGCCATAACGCAATATGTCCACAGTCACAGCGTAAGCATGCCCAAGTTAAGCGTGGTCATACGGCATCTGGCCTAACCTACACACGTTGCAACATTTCACTACGCAAAACGAACCTCAGCGGACTTAACCTAACCTTATTGGCTGTTGGACGTTAGAGAGGAGAAGTAAGTGAGAAGGTAGAGCCAGTTATTAGCTGCAAGAAGGTTGTGAGTCTAGACAACGTTAATAGGTTGGGCCAGAAGATGTTAGGCCATAGTTGGTGAGGCCGGATGCAGAACTAACTGCTTAGGTGAGGATTAGGGTGTTCGCCGTGTTCCAGCGTAGACTGCGGCTTCTATCTCTGCGGCTGAGTAAAGTTATTGCATGCGGAGGCTGAGTGTTGGTTCAGTGGCTTATCTAAGAGCAAAACACTTGCGTCTACCTTACATTGCGTCTACCTTCCCAAGTCATGATTTAGGTCTGTTTAGGTGGAAAGTGAGGTTAAATGTTAAGGTGTAGACATTATAGATATATATTTGTTAAATAGAGACACATATTAATGGCTGTATACCTGTAACCCCATGTTACGTTTTATCAGAAAGAAATATCAGCTAATTGTAAAATTGATTATTACTGACATCTAACACGCATCTCTCTTTGATCAGTTCAAGACATTTGAGCGTAAACAGAAGCTAGCGAATTTACGGTCAAATTAGAGCAGCAGAAAAGTCGACTTAAGCAATATTTTTAGAGGGGTTGAAATTCAATTAAGAACAGAGTTCAGTTTGCGGCTTACGATAATACGATTGAGCTCGATTTTTTTTATAGTTTCCAATTCGTAATATTTGTGGTGTACGTACCTCTATGAATTAAGCCCCATGACTTGTAAGAAGGCTGTCTATAAAAAGGCGAATATACGTGTACTCAACTCAGGGCATCATCGAATGAAAATATACTTGTATTTCCACACGCCTACTTACTCGAACTATCACATATTATTCCCGGCGATAACGGAATAGCGTTAAGAAAGTTCGGGTATGAGCAATAATGTGGCATCTGTGGAATTTGGAAAGTCCTCAGTCTGCTTAAACTTGATTCTGCAATTTAAATCTTTAATTGTCATTTTATACCAGTATATCCAGTAAGTGATGAAGAAAAAAAGTGAAGTGTCATGAGTTTCAATTCCTCAGTTAAATGAAAATGGCAAATTAATTCATTTTGAGACGGTATCCTTGTATTAGCTACAGAATCATCTGGATATCTCATATCTTGCTCGCTGAGCGGCTTCATTGATGCAGTGTTGTTAACACAGGAAATTAATTACACAAAGGTAATTTGCTCTCATAACTCAGCTTTATGACATATCAGACTCATTGGCTACTTCACATAAGCTTTCCAGAGGGAGCTGCAAACAAAGAATTTGAAACAAAAGCTAATAAATTTCGCGAGGACTTAAATAAAATGTCGGGTAAAATGTTAAACGCGCCCGGCTGTAACCGCAATTTTATACCAATGATTAATGAAAAATAAATTTCATTGTCTTACACAACAAGGAATACAAACAACATCTTCAGAACGTTATACAACACTTTAAAACAATAACCAAACTCAAATATTCATTAACGATGAGAATGCATTACATAAATAATTTCGGTGTAGATAATAACGCACATTTTTACACGCTATGGCACTTTACTGTGCACGGACAACTAAAATCTCCTTACAAGTTCGTTGAATTTTCTTTGATATGAAAATGATTACAAATCAGACAAAATGGATAACACGATGGAAGTTCAAAGTATAACTGCAAACCCTATTGCTTGCTTTTCAGTGCAAAACAAACCTAAATGTTGACAGGTTACGCCTCTGACAATAAGTGGACACGCGAGAACTGGAATTGGAATTGGAATTGGGGTGCGTGGTGACCTACGGTCACGACCTTTAAATCGGTCATACACGCTGCCTAAAAAACTTTTACTAGCACCTTACTTAAATTCGCGGCCTTTGTTCTCTGACATCCTTCATGGTCCACGCACATCCCTAAGTACTTATACTCATTTGTCCTAACAATCTCATTCCCTCCCAACATCCACACTCTGCTCATATCCTTAATCGATCCATTCACAACAAGTACTTGGCTCTTCTCCGCACTGAATCGCACATTAAAGTCCCTCCCATACTCAGTCACACAGTCCAGCATACTTTGCAGTTCCTCGCTATTTTCACTCATAATCACAGCATCATCAGCATACAGAAGCATTCTTGACTTTTCGCCGCCTACACGCACACCAACATCCATTCTCCCTCGTGGCCATCTCTTCTGTGTAGAGGTTGAAGAGAAGCGGAGACAGGATACAGCCTTGTCGTACGCCTCTCCTGCTCCTCACCCAGTCCGTCTCAATATCCCCAAGTCTATATTTTGCTCTAGTATTCACATACATACTTCTCACAAGCCTTACACATTTTTCACTCATTCCAATTTTTCCCAGTATTTGACACAGAAGCTCTCTATCCACCCGGTCATACGCCTTTTCTATGTCTAGGAATGCCAAGTACACTTTCTTTCCATCTCTTTTCATTCTCCCTATCAGTTCATTCACAACATGTATATTATCTTCTGCTCTTCTGTCGTATCTAAAACCATTTTGCTCTTCACCAAACACTCTTTCGTTCCTAATACATCTTTGCATCCGCTCATTCATAACCGCACAGAAAATCTTACCGCTGGTGTCAGCAAGGGCAATCGGTCAGTAGTTCCTAAGTTCCTTTTTGCTCTTGTGGCCACCCTTGTGAAGCAAGGTAACACGACTTTCATTCCACGCATCAGGTACACACTCATTTGTCCAAACAACATTGAAAAGATCAGTCAGTCTGCCAATTGCACTCTCACCTCCGTACTTATACATCTCATACGGTATCTCATCCATTCCAGCTGCCTTATTATTCTTCAATCGCTCCACCACTTGTTTCACTTCCTCATTTGTAATTTCCTCGTCCATGCCACTACCTCCAAAATAGTTCAATTTCCCCAGAAATAGAAATACAAATTCAACCAATCAAAAATGGGGAAAATTACGTATGGGGAAATTCACTTGAACAACTGATCAATAAGCGGACTAAGGAGACTTAATCGAAAGTAATTAAATTACATCAATTGCAAATAAACATCAAAATATGTAACTAATTAAAAAATATAACTCAGTACTCACTGCAGTGAGTGACAGAGAGCGAATTTTCTCGTCGACGAAAACGTGAAGTCACGGACGGACAGACAGACGAACGGACAGACGGACATGGCGAGTACAATAGTGCATTTTTCCATAAATGAGAAAATGCGCTAAAAATTCATATTAGGACCATCAGTTGAGTACATATCCCTGCAGCTGGCCGTACCACAATTACAAATAAACATCAAAATATGTAACTACTTGAAAAAAGTCATATTAGGACCATCACTTAAGTACATATCCCTGCTGCTGGCCGCCGCCGCCGCCACAGGACGGGAAGACGGTGGACGTGAGCGTGAAGGTCTGGACGTGTTGCTCGGGTGCGGGCGGCGCGGCTGCCGTCACGGTGCGGTAGATGGGGATGTGGGTGGTCACTGTGTTGGTGAAGTACTGAACTTGTGGGAGAGTTTCTGTATATTTCTGGGTCTGGGTTTGGGTCAAAACTTGAGTTTGGATGTTGTTTTGCACCTGCAATGAGCAACGCAATATTTAAGAGATGAGAATTGTTTGGTAAACAATTTTACACGCCATAAATAAAATTTATCAATAAATAATTCGAAAAAATCAGGCCTGAAGAGTATTTAATATTATAGGATTAAATGCTTTTTATCTAAGAACTCAGGTTTACTTAACTTAAAGGGTTTTTCAACAATAATTTCGCTGCTTCCTGTACGGAAGTGAACCTAAACGAGCGTTCAACGAGCACGTGGTTTATTTTTTAAGCAACGAGCAAGGTAATTATTAACATACCCTTGTGGTGGTGACGGTGGTGGTGACCACCTGGAAGTTGTTGCTGGTGTGCGTGAAGGTCACGGAACTCACGCGCGTCTCCGTGAAGCGCTCTACACGAACGTCTGTCACGAAACTTGTCTCCGTGAAGAACTGGGCGCGTGTCACGTAACGGGTGGCCGTGATTACCTGCAGCACACGTGGGGTAATTGCAAAAATTAACTTATTTAAAGTAATATACTTATTAAAAATAATTAAATTGGCAAAATAAATTAACATTTATAAAAGAAATTAACATCGAGAAAGGGTATTAAGCTTAATAAAAGAAATTAAATTGACATTCTTTGCTATTTAAATTCTACAAACAGAAATCAACCCAAATATTTAAATCATACGGCGACATAAGAAACAGTTTAACAAGTCGGGCCATACAAATACAATTTTCAAATACACAAACGCACAACACAAACGTTCCCATACCGCACCTCCGTAGTGGTCTGAATGACAGGGGCTATGACGGAGGTCTGTACGTGGGTCTCGTAGAACGTCGTGGGCACGTAAGTGGTCTGCACTAGTTGAGTGAAGACTGTCGTGGGCAAGGCACGGGTACGAGTGACGGCAACCGTGGTGGGCAGCAGCACGGTTGACGTGACCACCGATAAACGAGTCTCAGGTTGACAGACGCCAACTTGTGGACCACCAGTTACTGGTTGCTGGTAGACACCTCCTAGTGGTTGACCGGGGGCCTGTTTCGATACTCTAATTAATTAGGCGAAATGCACAATAAAAAATTTGTACTAGTAGTCAGTGATGATAGAATTTATTTCAGAATAGGTAAACGCATTTTTAATCGTACATTTTTACTTTATTTGTTCGTCTACAGTGTACCGTCTCGTATTCTTAAGTAGATGTAAGGAGATCTTAGATGTGTACATTTTGGAGTATCAACAGCTTAGCTCGGCGTTGCTCGGGATCAATAATAAAAGCAATTTTAGAATACCGTGATCCTGAATCCCGTTTATAATAATATGCGTTTAAAAATGACCTTTTAAAGACAACACTTCTAATTTTATTATTATTCTAATTTCTAATTTTATTATCAAATATTTCAAAAATTAATTTGTGAATTTTATTTTTAAAATTAAACAAATTAAATTTTTAAAAATTATTTATTCTGTCAATTGATTCATGCATTGCCTCCGACTTTACGCAAGTGTGCGAAATTTTAGATCGATTGGAGAGGTAGAAGTGTGTTAAGTATCGATTATAAAATTTGTAGCAGACAGGCTAACAAACAAACAACAAGAAGTGAAGTTAAAGAGAAGTGTTGTAAAAATAAAATAGTGTATGCTAATTTAAAAAAAACTTTCAACCTCTAATTTTACATGTAACTCACATTTGACTTTCGGTTCCAAATGTCAAAACATTTTTTCCTTCTTTCAAACTAATTTGAATGTTATAATTTTTAAATGAAATTTCAATTTTCAGTTCAATCTTTTCCTGCCAATTTAGCAAAGCCTTGCTATTCTTCAGTAATGTATAAATTTTCTGGTTTAGCTAATATCCCCGCCCAATAAATAAATTTACGATGCAAAGCTTCAAATATGCACACATAAATAAACAAACAATCAAACAATAAGCAAACAAACATTTTTACGATTAGTAGTGACATTTGGGTCCTGGAACATCGCGGGACATTACATTAGTAGTGAATCACAAAAATTGGGAAACCCTGATTGACGGGACGGGTAGCTATCAAGAAAACCTGGTCACTAAATAATACGTGTGGCTCGACTTCAGCGTTCGACTCTTAAATTTAAAAATTTGGTTCACAGAAATTTATTCATTGCTTCACAACGCCTTGCCTTACTTACGCTGGGAGAATAATTAAATAGATTAGAATAATTACAGGTCCAGGTAATATCCCGACAGGATAGGTATCGCGAACGTGTGCAAGATTTCTCAATGAGTATACGATTTCTCAACGGAAGTTGAGGCTATAAAATAAAAAACATACCAGATTCATTCAAAAATTAATGCAAAATCTATGCTGATAAATTTCTCGTTATGTGTTTGAAGCCTGGCGCTGGAACATAAGAATAATCGGGACGCGTATCAATTAACGATACTTATCGTGTCCTTATCGTGTTATTCTATTTTAGTGATGAAATCACGTGGCTTCAGCCGCGCAACTCTTGATCTATTCCTATATGCATGTTCATTTCAGTGAAAGGGGCAGGGCCGTTACGAATAACTACGGTAGAGCATCGATCATCAGGTCATGTATGCTGTCAAAATCATAAACAAATGCTTGCAAAATAATTAAACAAATGCTTGCAAAACACGTTGAAATTAAACAATGATAAATGTTCAGGCACTCGAAGATTCAGTATGATTACTTTAAAACCGCAACGCTAATAATTCATGTCTCTTTCCTTTCCCTGCACTGTATAAGTGAGTTGACCCCTGGTAAGGTATAGTGAATATTTTTTAACGCAGGAATGCATTTAAACACTGGAAAATTTTTTGTAGTCATTTGTCACAAACAAGCTTAATTACAGCGGTCTTACACGTGGCCGAAGGCCAACACGTTAAAGGAGTGACTTCAACAAGCTTACACGTTGAAGGAGTGACGTCCGTTTAAAAATATTCCTTAAATGAGTAATTTGGCATTTCTTGTGTAATTTGCAGACGAAAAAATGCCATTTCAGTGAAATATTTTAACGTGCACGATAAAAAAGTGCGAGTGTCAAGTCTCAAAACTCGGTGGTCTGAAGGACTCACGGCATGACAGCACAAAGGCAAAAAGACTAATGTTAATAATATACTTATAAAAATTAACTTCTATAAGTACTCTTATAACTATAATAATTACTGTTAAGTAGCAAATAATTGACGAATAGATAAAAACAACGAAAAACGAACAATACTAACAATAACAAACAGAAAACAAGCAGAAAAAATGTAGTCAAATCAAGAGGCAGGCAATGAAAATTATCACCAAACAAGCGGATAAATTATTCTAACATGCAGACAAGACCTGAGGGAAGCCGTCAATGTTGCTCCCGAAGTTGTTGCCGAAGTTGGCCTGTCCAAGTTGGTTCTGGAACGAGGGTTGGAATCCAGGCTGAAACTGCGGTTGAAAACCACCTCCATTGCTTGAAACGAACAGCGGGAACAGCAGCAGAAGCACCAGGGCTGGATACATCAATAAAATAAGTCTCACTTCGATAGAGAGCATGCCTGCCTTAAATCAGATACATATTTAAAAAACAGTTCAAAAATGAACGTATCACAAATTGTCTATAGTGAGAACTTGTTTCTCGCCACCCAATTATGAAAGATCAGCTATCTACAAAATTAAAATGCGATGATCATAACACCTGGCGTTTCAGAATGTAACGGAAAAATTTAGAACTATCGTAAAATCTGAGCTTCATAAACTTAAAATCAAGTGATAAGCAACATTAAATATCAATCCTCAAAATACGATAAACGTGAAACAAAAAACTGGGCAGGGTGGCCCAGTGGTTAAAGTTCAGAGCACCAAGATTGTCGCAGAGAGTTAGTTTAGTTTAGTGGCCACATGTTTACTAGCGCTTCAGCTATTTAGCTATCTCGCACCGAGCAGCGTTAGCATCTCAAAGAGACGAAGTGACAAGGAGGGACAGGTGAAAAGTAACAGAAACGAAGACACTCGAACAAGAGGTCGCTTACACGGGGCGTCGGCCGCCCGCTCGAGAGAGACAGAGAAGGGAAATGTAAGGAATCCTACCTACATATTAACTTAACCCCACAACTTAGATCTGCAGTCAGACACCGCGAGCTCAGCGATGAGGCGCTCAGGAACAATCCCCCTAGGAGCGCGAAATCCCATAGGACTTCTGACGCGCACAGACACGCGTCAGAAGTCCCCCCTGAGGGTGTTGTCGCAGAGAGGCGCGGGTTCGATCCCAGCTCTGTGCGCCAGTTTCTGGTCAGAATCGGCGAGGAGGCCGGGCGGTTAAAGCAAAGCAAAAATTGAAGCACTGAGTTTCGCGTTCGAGACCGCAAAATGCTGTGAATGTTCTGCGATGTTAAGAATCGGCGACAGGCCTACAGCCTAATAAACGCTGAAATAGCTATTATTATTATTAAGTTAATCCTCAGGTCCTTGGCGAAGCTACCATTTTCAGCCAAAATTGAAAAATTCACTTCAATTATAATCTTGCAAGTACCACGTTAAATAAACTAATGCAAATTAAGTAGCTGTAAATTGATTTATAATTAAGTTCCTAATAAACCTTCACAAGCAATAATGATAATTGGATTACCAACGGTCAAGGCGAACAAATCTATCCATATTGATTTATTGAAATAGAAAAAATACTATAAACGTAAATAATTATTGCAAGGGAGAAAATTTCAGAACAGGCGTCATTAATTCCTTTAAATTACTTCACACGGACTGGGCACGGTGGCAAATTACCATTACTACAATAAACCAAAGTCAATACAAGATCCCCGAAACAGCAATTCCGTCGTTACCGTTGTTGAATGCTGACTGTTTTGAGCGGCGCGGTAGGAACGTGAGCGAATGTGCGAGGATACTCAACATTGGGACTGCGAGGTCCGCACCATATGGTGGACAGGCACGGGCGAAAGTTGGTTAATGAAGAGCTAATTACGGACACACGACGGGCTGAACTGAACCTCCTCATCTGGCCGAGGTTCCAAGACCGCTCTACTAACATGAACGTTCAATTTATTAAAGCGAATTAACCGACCTGCGTTACCGCTGGATTATGACAAAGGATTCGTGTATCGGTCTTCATTTTAGAAGAGGCGAAGAAATAAACAAAATAATACGGTAGTTACGGTATAGGCGTTGCGATCATTCAATCAGAGAAGACATTACAAACTAAACCATCTAATTGTCAGTAATTGATATAAAGAAAGGTATTCGTATGATCAAGCGAAACAATGAAACATTTAGCAGTACTTTCCTAGTGTACACAGCAGACTACATTCATATACAGGAGAACTTCTCAATTCCTCATAACTTAGAGGCCAATCTAAAAATTCATAGTTCCGTTTTTTGATGCGTGTACCAGAAAAAAATACTCTATAAATTATTATTGATGACCAGAAGCAGGTAATCCAGCGAGCCTAAACCCTCGGTAGAATTGAAAAAAATACAAAAATTATGCAATGAAGCGTTTCTTAGTTTGCATTGAAGCGTTTTCAAAGAAAAAATAGAAGGCGAATTGCATGCCAGTGTGCATGATTCACCACAATGTAGTAGATTTACTCACCCATCCTTGCGTCTCGCACCATACCAGTCGTGGATGACGTCGGAATTACAGAGTTGATCCGTCGTTCAGAAGCCCGAAAAAGTGCGGATGGAAGTGACTACACAGCACCACATGCCAGGGAGGACTGCGCTGTCAGTTTGGACGAATTTCGAGCAGGTAAACGAGAGAGCGAAAGTCCATTTGCAGCAGCGAGGAAATGTCGTAACGACGTACGTCAGAAGGTGACAGTAGAGTTGTTCTAAGATTAATTGTACAGTATGGTGCAATGTTCACAGAGTACGTTAAGCTTTTCAATAATATATTCTTTACAAATTCTCAGTTGACAGTAGAAAATCGCGGAGCTTATAATCCTGAAAGCTGAGGTCTTTAGGGCATGTTTTGAGAAATCATGTGAAGCTAAAATAAGGATCAATAGAAATACAGACAAGCTTTTCAGCACGGTTTAATAGATGTTCCGATGGCATCATCAATAGCGACTATAGGATAGACACGTTGAATGTACACGATATTCCGAATAGATGAAATGACTACAGCAATAATAAATACAACGGGTTTAATATGCACTATTCTTATAGATTCCGTTAGATAATATTTAAAATAAGCACTTAAGCGGGCGCTACATATGAACTAGACAATCTGAGTATCCAGGAGGACGTTTCATGTTGTCTTAAGAAAGCATTGTCTCAGAAGTCCCACATTCCCACCAGTTTGAGGAGGAAACATTCTGTAAAATAGTCGTACTCGAACAAAACCGTAAGTGTGCTAGCTCAACTATACAACTAAGAAGCTTCGTACAGTTCATTACGAACAATAATTTTGTGGGAATTACGGAATGGGAATTACAGGAATCGTCGGTTTTTACGAGTTAATTTCAGCAAATTAGGTTTTTACAAGACAATTAGCAGATCGTATTGGATACAAACGATTGTCGAAATACTGTAATGACATAATTGATGTCTTTCGTTCTAACAGCTACAAACATACCAGTACTGGAAAGATTTTCGTGCAATCACGAAGCAAAAGACGCGAAAAAATCCGCATAGGTTCTTACACGCACCAATAAATTGGGTCTACGAAAATGTTCTGCAGGAACCAGACCATATTGAACATAATTTACGAACGGCAACGAAATATATCATAATATACAAGAATTTACTAAACACGTAGTAACGTACGCATTAGTTGAGTACGCAAAAACCTTCAAATGAAATAAAAGAGTCACTAAAGAAATTATGAAAATATGCTGCACTCATGAAGAAATATCCAGAACAATGAGTGCTAAAATAAATGTAAATGATAGCTGATAAGAAAGCAGTAAACATCAACATTTGTAGTTAATACAAGGAATAAATAAACAACGATTAACTCCAAAATAATGACAGGTTTTTACATCTAAAGTAAGCGGGGATTTCAAAAAAAAAAAAAAAAAAAACTTATCAGCCAAAAAGGATTGAAAAACAGGTTCGGATGTTAGCAGTTTTCCATGATAATTATTATTATACGAAGTCATCCTGGCGTCTTTTTCAACCGAACTTCGAGGGCACGTTCCACGTAACTTCAATAGCAAGCCAAAAATAAATAGGATAGAGAAATACATTAATCCTTTTTCATCCGTTCTCATCCTTTCTAATAAAAATAAAGGATGAGAACGGATAAAAATGACTGTGCACTTGATTCATAAGCTTTTCGAAACAGTTCCGTCACGATGGTCGTTCCACAACCAATAATCTTGTGTGCCATTCAGAACATTTTCCGCACGATAAAAAATGAATAGAAACGTCTCTTCTTTCTATGGAATGAACATAAAATGCGGCCATTCAATTTTGATTCATAGCGTTAAGTGAATATTTTAGCTGTGATATCACAAGATAATCAACTGAATACGGATAATTATCACCATCACCGCAACCAAGCATGGCTAACTAATTTAATCCCAATGGTCCCCACCAGTGTCGCAATACTGGATTCGTATTTTTTTGGAGCTGTCAACATTATCAAGAGGCTAAAATAAACAAGCCGTATTAAGAATATCCAATGAATGAATACATGAATATCTGCTAGAAGATGAATATCGACGCATGAATATCTACTAGGATGTTCCTATCTTGCTACAAGAGATATTCGATTTCGAATACAGAGAAACAAACTAGGTTCACTTCACATCAGCATAAAATAAGGGAAACATGTGCAAATCCTGTTCTTGAAATATACTTTATCCCAGGACCAAGCCAAGCTTAACATCACTTCAAGCAATCCTTTTTCTATCCCGAAATCCCATTTCCTCCTCAAAAATTGGTCAGATCATTTACAATATAAACGCTCTAAACAGCTTTCAATTACAGATTTTCCGAGACCAACAACATGGTTCCATTAAGAAATAATGCACCAGTGATACAAATACAAAGCAAGAGTTATTAGATATTATTAAACAAAAGAAAGGCTGCAAACATCAAACAAAAACGGTAAAAGCTTTAATTTAGTTACAAATTAAAACACGAACAAGGAAATTCTAGCAGCTGAGGATTTTCAAGTTTAGAGTAAAAATGTTCGAGGCAAATTAATGAACACACAAGAGCGAAACAATGCCCGGTCAACAGAAGCTGAACATTTTACAACATTCAAGAGTAACAACATTCAAGAGTAACCACGGTATCAAAAAGATATTTTCAACTAATAATTAGGACACAAGCCTTAGGACACCTGTCACCAAATGTGACTATTCCGATTAATTTCAAATTTACATAGTAAACATTGACCGTGTAATCCTCAAGATTGTTTAAAACATGATTGATGATGCGCAATAAAGCTTCCATACATTTGCCTCGAAAAAGCTTTACTTCGCAGTCTTAGAGCTCACTGCTCCGATGGAAAAGATTTCTGATTACACGCAACAGAGTCCTTAAAAAATATAGAGTCGAACAATTATAATGTCGATAGTTGACGTGATTCTTCGATAAACGACAATACCACTGGAATCAAAAGATAATATGACATACAAAAACAGGGGAGACAAGCACACCAGAAAACCTGTAACCACTAATAATCTTCAAGAAATTTAAACTAATGAAGCATCCCAGTAGAAGTCTGAACTACATCTTCAGACAAATCCATTTCCTGAAATGATTTGTTCGAGTCTAAACTAATCCGACTGTGACTTTCCGATTCACTGGCTTGGACAACATTGACGTCAGAAGATCCAGGGCAGTTGCTCCGTAGTAACGCTAGGTGGTGGGGAGTCTGGTTCTGTTCGTTAGATTGAACTTGGTGATCCATTGGTACTTGTTGCGTAGGTAGCGCTAGATTATTATCCTCGGTCATCATCTCGTCCACTGATATGGGACGTATGGGAGCCGCTGCTACAGGAGCGTCCGTCACAGTACCAACTGCCGCAGCATTGACAGCAGCAGGACTCACGGGTCGAAACAGATGTGGGTGTTGAGAGCCTGGCGAGGAGCCAGCACTGGCTGGAGCGCTGCCCGTCGATGGTATATTTGATATCCGTGGAGCCGAACTTGTTCTCATGAACGGATTGCTGTTATCTGAACAGCGGTTCTGGTCAGAGGGGATGCACTGAAAACCGCCGTTGCGTCGCGGGCTGTTGCCAGCATGGAGGAATGGATTACTCAGAGGCCGTCCGCCATTCGCACTCTGTCCTATAAATTGATTGTTGCTGGAATGGGAGGATGATGTTACACTGAATGGATTCTTAACCAAATTATTGCCTGCAAACATAGTTGAAACGTGAGATGGAGGTTTTGCAGAGCTGCCGAAATTAGGAAACGATTGTTGTGACTCAGATACCCCAACATGGAATGGACTAAAAGGTACATTATTTTCAGAATTACTTTTAAGATCAGTATTTTCATTCCTATAATGTCCGCTAAAGTGACAAGTAGTTTCGATATTGGATGTACTGGCATCGCTTTGTGGAGAAAACGCATTCAAGGAGCTCCCTGGCGAGCTTGCCGGAAGGAACTGCTTGAAAGATGAAAAAGAACCGGAGAAATTTGGAGGAACTGTAGCTGACGAAGGACCAAACGCAGATCCGAGACGTAGACCACCGCCTTCAGATCTGAGAAGTCATGAAAGAAATTACGTTAAATACGAGTAACAAAGTTGCAAACTTGGTAGCACGCGCATTTCTTGACTTAGCTTGATAAATTGTAATAATGTTGTTGACAAGACACCATCGAGATATCAGTTATTATCCAAGAATACTCAGACTAAAAAGATACCTACTTCATAGAAAAAATTACTCGCCTAAAGCTACTGAAATGATTAGACACAAAATCCTCATTATTGTGTACGAGCTATCATGTCAACATAGAATAATAAACCAAAGTATCCAAGATCCACGCAGACAAGAAACAGACCGGTGGGGCTGTGTCATGAGAAGTCCCCCGCCTTCCCCGCCGCTTCCAACAGACAGCCTCTTGCTGGGCGTAGCGAACTCCTCGCCGCCGCTCTCGCATTTCCTCTTCACCGTCCGCAGGGGTGACGAACGCGGTGTTATAGGTGACAAACTCCGTCGCGCCATGAAGGGTTGTGGGCGCTTCGAGGGCGACGGAGTGAAGGGCGAGTTGCGCACGCACTGCTGCAGGGACGGTGAGAAGCACTGGCGCCCAGGGCGTGTGGGAGACGCGGAGCCTCCAGGGCAAGGGGACGTGGCAGATGATAAGGACGCCGCAGCGAATCCAATGTTCAGGTGCAAGGGGTCTGAGTAGTCCAGAGTACGGATGCGGGACTCTCGTTTACGGGGATCGTCATCCTGTTCAATGAACAGAGAAATTAGCAGAATATACGACATCATAATTTGAAGCATCAGCAACTAATAAAGCATGACATGGCGGACGAGTCTAGATCAGAGATTTTTATCTAAACATAAAAATTGTATTACCAAGCTCAAATTGGTTCAGTCAGTATTTGTAAATATGATTTGAGAATAAAATAAATGACTAATACACTTCAAGTGAAGTTTGTTAACCAATTTAATCAATACCAAATAGTTAGATAATTTAACACAGGAAAGGAGCATATACCAGTAAAACCTGAGATAGATTAGAAAAATTGAAGAGATTATCAACGAGACTCACGATGACAAGATCTTCACAGGACTGTGATAGCGTGCGGGCCATCTGAAGACTTGACTGGACCTCCCTCTCGTGCGCCACCTCCCTGTTGACCACGTCCATGCCCTCCTCCTCTCTCAGCTGGCACACTCTCATGCGGCTACACGACCGTCCACTGTTGCTAGCAGGCACGCTCGCAGTGCTGCTGCCTCCCAGGGGTGACTGCACACCAAATAAATACTGGTTATTCTGCTGTAAGCATGTATTCTGCTGTAAGCATGTATTCTGCTGTAAGCATGTATTCTGCTGTAAGCACGTATTCTGCTGTAAGCATGTATTCTGCTGCAAGCACGTATTCTGCTGTAAGCACGTATTCTGCTGTAAGCATGTATTCNTATAAGAGAAAGCATGTATTCTGCTGCAAGCATGTATTCTGCTGTAAGCATGTATTCTGCTGCAAGCATGTATTCTGCTGCAAGCATGTATTCTGCTGCGAATAGAAGTGCTCATTTATGATGCATTCAGACTAGAGAGAAATCGAGTGAGACATATCACATATTGCTATCTGAACTGCAAAAGATGATCTGAACTGCAACAGATGATCTCAACTGCATTTGAACGAATTAAAAAAAGGAAAAATTGAACACATCAATTGTAAGTGTTGCCATTTTGTCCTAGCAAAAACCTCACATGTGGTGAAACGGGGCCAAAAGATGCGCTGAAACGACGAGCTCTTGACTGGGCTGAAGCACTGGAGTCTGAAGAAGTCTCTGGTCGGCTGTGGAACAGTTAATTTGAATAAGCATGTTGGCGCTGGTGCGGGTAAAATAAGTGGCAGTTTGATATTAGACAGAAATTACACAGACATACTTCTTGAGTAAATAAATAAATATGTGAACATTTATACTATGATGAAGTTTCATAATCTAAAATAAGATGTATTCAGGAAGAAGGCCTGTCAGAAACTAATATGATTTGCTCTTTTTGACAGTACCAAAATAATTTTCTGTGAAATTCATTTACAGCTTTTAGATTTGCAATTCTTAGATCCAATTTTTTTGTTAATCAGCCTATTTTCAATTTTATTGTTATTCATTACATAGGTAGCCATTTTAATTTTACAAAATGCATCTGTTTATAGCCTCCTCCTTCTTATTGAATTTCACGAAGAATTGATAATTATACTGAGGAGTATAAATGAGAATCTAAAAACGAATCTATTTAATGCATAACTACAACAACATGAAAAAATGTTTCTACTAAGCATTGATTCTGGGGTCTAATGAGGCTATTGTTTTAAAGAAGTAACAGAAACACTAATATATATGCATGAATAAACACTAATATTATAATATATAAATACACATATACCTATATATGCTAGGATACATAAAGTTCATTATTTTTTACTAGTCATCAAGGAACAAATGCACTATAAAAAGCACTCACCTGGTCACAGTAGCAGCATTACATTGAGGTGCTGATATTTTAGCACCAGGTAATAGCTGATTGATCATTGGGGCACTGCAGGACCTCTTCAACTTGCCACCACAACCCTCATCTTCACCAGCGCAGTGAGTGTTATTATCAACACTATTTGATAATCCAGCATCAGATGAAGTACCATCATTGCTGTAGTTACTGCCACTCATTTCTACCACAAGACCATTGGTAAGGTGAGAGATAGATTGGCTGCGGGTAGTTTGCTCAGGCCTTCTGATGCCACTATTGCTTTGGCTGCTATCATAGGCATCACTGCTGCTCACTTCCATATCCATGATGGGCCTGATTTTATTAGACAATTGATGATCTCAGTAATTTCAATTTTAACATTATTACTAATACATCTTTATAATATAATAGTTGTACAAGTATCCCTGAAAATAGTAGAAAAGTGATCAAAGCTCAAGAGTCTCTTATCTAACTTTATTTAGTCTATGTGCAAATATTCAAAATTTTTAATCCATTACAAGAAAGTATGAACCATTTTAATATCTGTTTAGTCAGATGGATTATTTTAAATTCTGCGTATTGAAGGAGCAAATTGCAGTTGAAGAATTTTGTAACCAGTCACTATGCTTACAGAAATATACGCAGTACCGTCAATCGGGTCTACTCGGGATGGGCGGGGTAACTCGGGACAGTCCGACACGGTGTAAAACTGTTTTAGTAGTAAAACTAATTGGAATATTGCAAAACTAAATATAGTGGCGTAAATGTCAACATTTTTCCTATCTATGTAGTATAAAGGAAGTTCAAAAATACTACTGGTACATTTACTAGCTTTGAAAAATTCCTGAAAAAAATGTTGAAAAAGGATATTTGAAAAGTTACTTCTGCCAAGGTCTGTAGTAAAAAAAATATTTGCCGTATTAAAAAATTTTGCTTAGAAAAAAGTGGCAGACAAGTGTCAGCATGAAAACTTTATTTGCGGAATTTACATACCTCAAAAAATGGCGGCCATTTCCGCACGGCGGGGCTACTTGGGACACCCCCTGGGGCTATTCGGGACACCCCCAAAAACGCATTTACTGTAGAACCTCAGTTAGCAAAGGCTCCAGTTACAAAAAAATCCATTGAAAACAAAGAATATTGATTACATTTACCTTGCTCAGCAAAAAAAATTTCACTTATCGAAAAATTAGTGCATCATCGGTCATCACAAAATTGTGCATAGAATGTCATATACCGTTAACCGGGGCTACTTGGGACGGTTTTGAGAGTTTTTTGTTAATAACTTCTTACAATGAAACATTTCATTAACAAGTTTAAGCTCGTTTTATAGCTATTTGCGAGGGCTATCGAATGGCATCTTCAAAAAATTCCATATGCTATTCATAAGGTGCCAGAAGCAAAAAAGTGTCCCGAGTAGCCCCGTCGAACGGGGCTACTCGGGGCACTGGGAATAAAACTTCATTTTAAAATATTTGAAGCATGCAGAGCGTACTCATTTATTACTAACAGACTCAGTACTCTGAAGTCCTCTTTCACTGTAGATGATGTAGAGGTAGAATAAATGACATTTTCTGTGATTTTTACTTGTTTTTCCTATATTGATATGATATTGCCATTACATTAATCACCGTATTATTGATGTGACATTATCGTATTATTGATGCAATATTACCGTATCCATGAACAAGCCATTGAGCATTTACAACAACCTTGTCCACTACAAGCTTCATATCAGCAGCCATATAGCATTTTTCTGTATCTGTAAGCTTACACTGGATACACTCAAGCAAGCTTACGGCACTGGATGCTAGTGGGGAAAATGTCTACTTCTTTCGGAAATTTCGCGGCTGGCGAGCCCCCTTTTTTCAGTGTATATGAAATCTCGCGGCTCCATAGTCACGGAAATTCATTAAATTAAAAATCTCGCGGCTCCTCAGTGGGTGACGTGTGGGGCAACCTCTCGGAACGACCGACAGAGGGAGTTGCCGGCTATGAAATAACATGAAGTATTTTAAAGCGTCGTCAATACTCAATCGTAATGCTGCGCCGCGGGCAACGGCAGCCGGCAGCGAATTAGTTGAGCTCATGTTCTTGCCACGTGTGGTTATTGAAGGACGACTCCTGCCCTAGTTTGCACGACTTCTAAATTTAATCAAGACTGTGCGGTATTTATACAACTGTGAGTATTCCTGTCATTCTATGGCCATAATTAGTTTGGACTTTGGTTTTAATACAGAACGTAGATCAGCGTCAAATTTCATACGTAATCATACAACTTGATACAAGACTACGCCTTGTATGTATGATTACGCTTTACTGTACCTGGTAACTTGCGTAATATTGACTGAAAACGTTTGCCACATTAAGCTGAGTGCCGACTAAAGTTCTTTAGTTCTAACTTAGTCTTAGTTCAAGCCCGAGCTGCCGACTAAATCCAGCACCTTACTAACCTTTTTCTGTCCGTCCATGGAAATGGAAGGCTGGAACCTGGAAGCAATGACACTTGAAAGTTGAAAGCTGTTTGTTAGCTCTAGTCAGACTAGTGTAGTATAGTTTTAATTTTCAGCCTCTGCTATTTTCAATTATTTTAATACGATTTTTTATTGTTCATTTTGGAATTTGATAGAAACCTATCGAACAGTGAACCAGATATATTCTGCGCTCAAATGTTTAGGTCAAACACACACGTCATCCTGAGACGAGTGCTGATTGCAAAATCGTTAGGTCGAACTTCGATGAAATCGAAGCCGCCGACTACCCTTAGTACCTACCCTAAAGCCGCAGTTGATTTTGTGACTGAAGTAACACAATTAGCATTGCACTGTTGGAATTGATGAAGTTCTGATCGTGCTCGTATTCACGATACTTGTAGTTGTAGAGTTACAGTGTCGAGGATATTTTGTAAGTTTTATCGAAAAAAGAAAAACTTGTATTGTGTTCTAATGCAATTTTGGAGTTAAATGCGAGTTTTATACTAAGAGTATATTATAACAGGATTAGGTATGCATGTAAATCGAAACTGGGTTCGGAATAAGGGGTTTCGGGAAAATTTGATTCTTTGATTGCTTGGATCCTCCTTCCCGGATAAATTATTTTTGATTTCTAATACATTACGAACTGCAGTACCGGATACAGGCCTACGATTTTAGGTTCCCAAATGAGTGTGCCCAAGGGTACAAGCAGCTCTATTGCCGACTGCTTGGCCGATGACCCCGAGGCCGGCCCTTCAATGGCAAGCCTGCCAACCCAACTCTCATCTTCTCGTATGCAGGTGATTAAACAAACTAATTTTATCAATTAAACTACTTTTATTGATCTTTGGACATTTGCTTCATGAAATTAAAATATTCTATCTCTCTCCAGGCGTCATGACACAGGAGTTTCCATACTTGGATTACCTAATGGCATTGAACATCGTACGCTAATTCAATCAATGAAATAATCAATCCGTACCAAAGTCATTGAACATTTTAAGCTAAATAAATCGATTAAATTAATGAAAAATATATTGTTTTCAACTTAGTCAACTTTTAAGAAATAATTTAACTTGTTCGACTTTGTTTCCATATCAAAGATATAGAACCGAGGATTTGAATAGTCACTGAACTATATTATAGTGAATTTGATATGTAAGAAATAGTACAGTAGAGCATGGACGTACATCCAAAATTTAGAGAACTACGGTTAAGTGTTCAGGAGAGCCTGCATTCATAATGATACTTGAGTTGTTCAGAGTACCGTATTCACTCATTATTGTTTAACTTCGGCAGACGCTTGAAGAACAGAAGCGGGCTTGGAAGAAGGTATTAGGAGGCGGAGGAGAGTCTGCATCGAAGAAAGCAGGCAACCAGGCCAGTGACATAAAAAAGCAGAAACGAAAAGAATATGTATGTCTTGAGTGCGGCCACCTGCTCGCTCGAAAGACACGAAGTTATTGCGAACGGCATGCCCAAGAGCAACACAAAGGAGAACCTGACTATCAGTGGACAAAATCGATTGTTTTTTGTGACTCACCTCTGAACACTAAAAAACGAAAAATAGATAACATTCCTGCTCTTCACTTACCGTGCGACCATTCACTTGAGCCTCGCGCCCGCTCGCCGCTGTCTCCACGCACCCGCTCGCCGCGGTCTCCACGCACCCGCTCGCCGCGGTCTCCACGCGCCCGCTTGGCTCGGTCTCCACGCACATGCTCGCCGCGGTCTCCACGCACCAGCTCGCCGCGGTCTCCACAGCTTTCTTCCATGACTGGGCCCATTGCATCAGTCTCATGAAGACCTAACACTCTCGAGTCATTCGTTAAAATACCTGGCAAGACCAAATCTTTGCTCGTTGAAGATGTATCTAAGTCGGACTCAATTTTGGAGGCTATCTTTCAACGTATTGACTCTCTTGGTGAGAAAATAATCGAAAAACCCACATCAAGCGCTTGCTGTTGTGTTTCATCCAAAGAAAAGGTCAGTTCTGGTGTTAGAAATATTTCTCTTCCTTTATTTTGTTAATTTCTAGCGAGATTTTTCTGGTTGCATTTTGTAATTACCAAGATTTTCCTCAATTTGTATTTGAGTGATATTCAGTTTGAGTAGCTGAATGCGATGGAATAATGTGACGTTGAGATCATAACTAATCAGATAAATAAATTTTAGTAAGTTATATATTTATAATATATACAATATTTTCATAAACAAACTGTCGTGTTCATGACATATGTGTGCGAAAAAAGTCGGACATGTTGTTCTCGCGCGTAAGTAGTACAGGTGAGAGTATCAATCGTAATAAGATCGCAAATAATGTGTTGCTGATATTTAAAGTGCTAATTTGCACTTCTTCCTTAGGAAAAGTTCAATAGCTTCTGCTGAAGTGTCGAGCAGTAATTCGCTAATTTTGTATCTCTCATTTCACAGAGTCAGAGTTTAGCGACGGAGTCTTATTTGATGACGGCTAGAAATGTGGCTACTCTTAAGTCATGCACATCTTTACTTGCTATTAGCCAGAATTCATCCATCATAATCGAAGAGGGAGAGGGAGCAAGCTGCAAAGTGTATTGCAGTGTATGCAGGGCTGCATTTGGATTGCAGGGGAAATTTGACCATGGCAGAGTGTGAGTTTGAATTAATTTGCACGGTAGTCATATAATTTAATTTTTTTACATGGGAATTAAATTGAAAAATTTCACTATGCTTAAAATGAAATTGAATTTTACTAGCTACTTCTATTTCCCTTTAGAATGCGCATGCTCTGTTTTCTTGCTCCGTTTTAGCAGTTCGATTGCCAATACTTGTGCGATTGTGCCGTTATATTCTTTTCAGAATGGAATCTTCAAGGGAATTCTGCCGTGGCTTCCGTGTTGAGTCGACTGAACTTTTGTCCTCGGAAACTCAGCGCAGAAAATTCTATAGCATCCGTCGAAAAATTGTCGACCATCTTCTCGGTGCATCATCAAGTGGCGACGCTCACATTCAAGCTGTTCTTGATTTTAAGAATAAAACGGAGGAGCAAAGCCGAGTACAGAAAGTTGCGGTCTCTCATGTGTCTGCAGCCTTGGCATGCATCAAGATGAAGTCGGCAGGAGTGAACTATGAGAATATCATAGCACTCCTAGCGGGTCTCGGTGTGGATGTGGGGACACTCCAGCATTCTCGGTAAGCAATATTCTTTTTGCTTAGGAAATCATTTTGCAGCATTCAAAATTCAGCTTATTTATAACTAAGCAGTGTTTTCTCCAACCTTAATAAATATATAATTATTGAAGTAACATTTTAGGCCCCTTTTTTCGTGAACCATTATTTCAATCATAAGATGTGTTTTTGAGCTAAATGCATTTCATCTAAGAAAATATCATTTGAAGTAGTGGAAAGTATTCGAAATAATAATATACGAGTAAAATCTCTAAACTTGCAGCAAACAAGTGAAGCCTCTTTGCGAAGCTTTACTTGGTCAGTGTCGCCTAGGTATGCATGCTTACCTGAGTACCTCACTCGTGAGTACTGGATTCCCTCCTCATTTTGCTAGTGCATGTGACAAGAGCACACCCGGGCGAGAAACCAATCATGCTATCATGTTAATCGTAAACCCCGATGGTGTGAAGAAAGCTGTACCAATAGGAGCACCTAAGGTTTACTCTTGTACTGGGGAGCATTCAATTGGTGATGAACTTGCTGGAGGAACAGCTGAAGAGCTAGCCACTCAAGTCATTAATACTATAAAAGAGTTTTGTCTCATATCAGAAGAATCCCTCTCTTCTCATACTGGTAATACTGTTCATTTGTTACACTACTGGGAAACTTTCACTTGGAATTGAGTAAAAATTTTGCTTTTAAGCGTATTTTAGCTCCGAAGCGCGAGTAGTGTTTTGTATTAATCTCTCAATCTTTTGTCTTAGTCAGCTTTGACCTATCCACAGTCCTATCTTCGTTATCAATTTTTTTCTATGTACCTCAATTTTTTAGTTTAAAAATTTTGAAGTCTTAATACTAACATGGAATAAAGAATTACTTATTTTATTGCTTCAGGTTGTTGCATTGGCATTGATTCAACTAGAAAAAGGCTGTTTGACAATTATCTTTATCATTAATCGTTTCCAAATTTGCCACAAAAAAATCAGCTTAAATGAAAATATCTTCATATAAATACAACACAAAGCAACGAAATTAGGTTTACTAGTAATTCTTATCCTCTGACCTCCTCCTCTCTTTATTTGTGCTCTGCTTCAACAGTAAAGTCAAGAGGAAAAGTATTGGTACCAAAAAACATAATTTTAAAATTGCATGCAATACAATAAATTTGCTATTACAATCAAGTTAAGAGTTCCACGAAGTAAGTTTGGACTGATGATCGACTCAATGCTTCTTAATTTGATATTCCGTTGCTAAATTAAAAGGAAGTGAACGTTGAATTAATGGGCCTACTCCGTGAATTAGCCTCAAGTTGCCAGTGTAGTAACGCTTTGCATGTGTGTCGTGCCGAAATCGCAAAATTGCCAATTCCATGGAATCGGCTGACAGTTTGCCAATCTGTAGAATCAGCATTTTGTTATTACAGGAATCTGGGGTTAGGTCAGTCAGCCAAGTTCTTTTTTTTTAATTTAAATTTAAAGGAAGTAGACCTAACCATTTCGAACTCAAACTAGATTTATGTTCTAACTCTTGACTCTAACGTCCGATGTTTTTAATCGGCAATGAAATGCTTTTCTACAGATTTGGTAAACTGGCTGCCGATTCCATAGAATCGGCAGTTCCGCGATTTCGGCACGACTTGTGCATATCTTGTCTTGTAGTGCTGGTTTATTTCCATATTTCCTTGCAGCGTTGTAATTTGAGTACCGGTATTGGTTGCTTTTCGCTGACATGTTCGCTGCTGGACGTGGCTACTCGGAATACATAGCAAGCTCAATCGGGGGGGATTCGAAGGCCACTTTAGCTTCTCGTCTTGTAGCCACAAGGTAAGAAATTATTGTTGAATTGTTATAGTTTTATGCTAAGAATATTACTTTAGAACTGGCACCAGTATATTCAAATATACCAATCTAAAAAAACTCTGACTAAATTCTTTACATGTAACTGAAATACGTAATTATACATTTTTGGCAACGCTTAATTGATTTAGATTTGAAACAGTCACACAAGTTCCTCTATACCTAAATACTGTTTATAGCAACTCGGTGTACGAAACGAAATATTGGCATCTACTGACTCGTGGACATTCCAGATTCTTCAGCTTTTCAGTCGCGGTTCTTGACTTGCTCTACAAGAGCTACAAGCCACTTGTTCGAGTCTTCATACAGAATCAAGCGACAGCAAGCCCGGTAGATGCTGTTAAGTTTAAAATTCGTGGACAAGATTTTGCAGTGGAACTGGTAATGATCCTGGACATATTGATACCCCTCAAAGACTTGATGGAACGATGCCAACGCGTCGAACAGTACATCTGGAATTCGGTTTCGTGGATTTGAGACACTTTGGGGCGATTGGACCGCATCAGTGACGAACTCGAACAGCTCAAAACGTTAGCTGATCTCTCCCGCCTTCCTGTTCACTTATTTCCGAACACCCGAAAACACTCGGAAGAACTATGCAGGCGGACGTTCTTTGGTCTTGACCTTCTAGAAGGCTGGCTAACACGGCCAAATCCCCGACGCAGCAAGTCGGACGGCGTAGAGTGGGTGCTGTATGACCCTGAAGAGTATCTCCATGAAGTGGCAGAGCTTTGCAACAATTTGAAATTAGCTCTACGAAAGCGGTGAGTTTGATTTTGACAATAATTAAGGCTCCCTCATTATTGCAATTTATTTTACAAAAATTATAAGTACCTATATTATTTTTATCTGCATTTGCATAACAGTGAATCAATAAATACATAACCGCAAGGATTGGTAAAATTATATGTTTCACTTTAAAATGTTTGTCTTTAATATTTTTTAAAATTTTTATCCAGTTATCAAGATTGCTCAAACCCTGTAGCCCACCTTCTTGACGAGTGCATGAATCCGCGGCGTGTTCTGGAGCGTTTGACCGGCAGTCGAGCTGGGCCTGGTGGGCGACCAAAGCTGGACCAAGGCAATAAATTCAAGCTTGGAGGAGCCACATCTTTTCATACCTTCTTCAGCTTTGTTTGCTCCCTCTCCCAAGTCTGTGATGTGAATACTTTTTTGTATAACTTATTGTTTCTATGTGTAAACCTAATAATGCTACAACTGTTTGCACTTTTTAACAAATTTATATAGTTGTTAATGATTGGTGAGCTGATGAACTTGTATATCAATTTCAGCTAGACTTCTTACTTAACGTTTAAGTTGTTATAATTTGATACAGCTCCACTTACTTTGAGAAATCAATTCATAGTGTAATATAAACCTTACTAATTCACTAGAAGGGATATGAGCCTATTTAATCAAAAATATTGGTAGCCGTTTTAAATTTTTCTTCCTATGTAAAAACTTGGTTGCAAAAGAACATTTAGATTATTAAAAGCTATCAACAATTTCAGGTACAAAAAAGGCAGTCTGAAGAAAATCTCAACTTTGACCCTAAGCTTTCGAATGAAATTTACTTCGTGTATTGCAATTTCATCTACGATTGTGTATGGGGTAAATCGGGTTTCTCCCTCAACACCTGGTTTCCCGAGCTCCCAGAAGTATCCTGCCAGCTGGTGAAAATGTCGCGTTGCTCAACAGAGGAGAAGTAAGAGTTCAAATTTTCAAATGGCGTTTCTCATTCAAGCGTCTTCGATGAAACGTCCTTTTTGCAATCTTTCTACGTGGATAAAAAGAAGAGTGCCAGGTTGAGAGAATGTAATTTTGTCACCAACAAATATCATATTAAGAAATACAGTTCTTGATATTTATTAATTATAAGCGAAGCCACATAAGTAGTATAGTTTTACACCCAAAGAAATCGTCTCACTGCAACAAACTAAACATGTCTTGCAGGTGTTTGAAAGGGTCGGACAGGAACTCTGCACTGCTTTTGATGTGGCTGTGTCCATGGGTGGGTGTGAAGCTGTGGTTGAGTCCTTCTACTCCGTTGTGGATACCCAGCGGAAAGGAAGTACTATGTCAAACGAGACATTGGAATTGCAGAGTATTATAGATTGGTGCTACCCCGAACCCTACAGGTGCCCTGCAACCATGGAGACAGTTGCCAACTTGATGCTGGATGGAAATTTTCTCCTGGGAATAACTCCTTCTTCCCCCTCGATTCGTACGGACACCAAGAACAAGTCTCCCTTCTCAGAAGTGAGCAAGGTTCTACAAAGGCTCAAAAATGAACCAGTCAAGTATGCATTTCTCTTGCATACTGATGATTCTAGGTAAATCATATAAGACAAGTGCACGAGCAATGCATTGGTAATCGGCTTCCACTTCATTTGAGATGCGCTGTCACTTGCAACATTTTGGGCAGCCATTTGCATTTTTATGTATGTGAAGCAGTGACCACTCCAGACACCCATCACTGGGCTGTATTGCAGTCTATACTTTAAGGGGGAAGATTGTGATGCGATGTAGTAATCTTTCGTAATCTCTTCGTTCCTTAATACCAGCTTGATTGATATTGTTATGCGCAATACTACAATTAGAATTAATTTGCGTGCTACTCACGTTTGGTCAATATTTCTTTTATCGTTGGCTGAATGCACGTTTAGTTTGCTTAGCATTCGTAAACCTTTTTGAATATTTCATACAATGGTATTAGAATAATAAGCAGGTTTCACTAAAAAGTATTGTTGGTTTAACTATCTGTAAATAATAATCAGTTAACGTTTACGCTAAAGAAGTCAGTTTGGAGATTTTACGTTATGTGTAAAAACTGGAATTTTTACGTTTCTCGTCTCGGAACAAACTTTTGCCTTGAGTAATACAACACATCCTAAGCTATTCATTAAAAAACTTTATGCAACAAATTTTTTAGTTCTAAAATTATTCGAAATGTTGCCAAAATGTAAAAACATTCAATGTGGTTCTGTTCAAGCCATTTAGTTCTGTACAGGCATACGATGTTTAGTCATCTTCACTGGGGAAAAAAAAAAGCCTAGGTAGAGCTAGCCTTCATAAGTAATGCTGTTAAAGTTGTCTACAGATGTGTCTTTTTCGTTTTTCCACTGGTTGTAAGAAAAAATTATTCTAGCAACTGTATCCCGGGCTTTACTGATTGATAAGGTCCGCGGATTAGTACCACGTAACCACGCTCCTATCGTACTCCACTACTGAACTAATTTCGCGGTTCAATAATGGTTTTCCACGGCTTGTGAAATAGACTTACGGCTTGAAAATTCCTTAATTCACGGCTCCAGAATTCCAGTCGCGGCCCGGAGAGTAGATTTTTCCAGACTAGATATGAACTAATAACGCGCTGAAAATCTTTAATTCCAGAAGCACAGAAACTGTAGTAATTATCTCAGGATTCAGGGCTTTCAAAACGTTTGGCTCTGCAGATCTCTCCCCCAGGTAATGAGACGCC